TGGAGAGATGTCAGAGTGGGGCTGCTACGCAGGGAACGCATGAGAGAAGTTGGGGGTGTGGTGCCTTGCACAAGGGCACCTCTCCACCTTGCAGACCAACTTCCATAATATGGAATTTGAGCCAACCTGAGCCTGGAGTGTGATAAATATCTGATATATATATATTTTGATATGTGTTCAAATAATTTATTATAGATCCTATTTGTGTTTTGTTTCGCTCAAACATTGATTCACGATATCACTAAATATTACGTTTTAATAATATGAGCAAAATAATAACAAATTATACTCTGATTAGTTGTTGAAATATCTTTAATATAAAACGATTTTGTTTAGTGGAACAAAGTCATTTGGGACAGGATGATAATAAAACATTTAGTGGAAGAGTTTCTTGGAGATATTTTGTTGATTGCTTTTTTTCTTTTGCTTTAAAGGGGAGAGGAAATATCACAAAGACTGTTCTATGTTTTTCTAATAATATAAAATATACATCTTTGTAAAGACCTCTAAACCAAAGATCACAAGTAATAATAATACAATCTTTTGAAATCACAAGGTGAGATTACAACAGATATTATACTTTAACTGTGATGACTGCAAAATCTAATTTTGAAATGATCTCCAAAAATATGACGCCCTGAAGAGGACATGTGAGGAAAGAAATGTAAAAAATAAGTTTCTGGTGCTCATGAGAATATGCACATGCAATACCTTCTTGTGAGCACCAGAAAGTACCTGGTGGGTACGGAGTCCCTAAGGGGACATTGGCAGGTTTCTCCTCAGCACCAGAAGCATCTTGTGCGCATCAGAAACCATCCCATTAGCACAAGAAGGTAGCCTATTGTGTGTGCACAAGATACTCTCCTGGTTCTCGTGAGAAGATGTTGCATGTTCATATTCTCATGCAGACGTTAATCTTTCTTGTGAGCACAAGATAGTTTCTGGTGCTCCAGAAACTCTTTGATGTCCCCTTAGGGGCTCCGTACAAAAATATCTTGTGTAGTGGCTGTATGCATCTTTCATGCAACTATTGCCATTAAAGTAGAGAAGAAGAAGAAAATCTTGTGTAATATTAGATTTAATATTGTGTTGTTGTCGAGCTGAAACCAATGAGTGTTTACAGCTCTGACGGCCGGCCAGCAGGGGCGCTGTTGTCGCTGTCCATACCCATAAGCGGGGGAGTGAGAGGTGCATGAAATGGAGAAAAATGGCGGATCATGTGCAGGTAAGCAGAGGTTTCATGTTTTTGTAACCGACAGTTTATCCCGGAGCCTGAGAATGGGTCTGAACGTGGATTCAGGTGCTGTGTTTCCCGCACAGAGGCAGTGCACGGCCGCTGCGTGCGGGAGGCGGCCGTGCGTGGCTGTCGGTGGTAAAAGAAAGGATGTGTCCGGGCCGCCTGTGTTGACTTGTGGCCTGCTGTCACTGCTCGCTCAGTTAGCTCGGGTTAGCTCCGAGGGTGATACCTGGCTCCAAACAAAAACAAACGCCAGAGATACTCGGGGTTACAGCCCGTATTATCCCCGGCGTTTGTGCCAGTCGATCGCAGTGTACCACCGGGGAAATGTCGTCTTTTAACGGCGAATCACCCCGAAGTAAACAATAAAACACAGACCGTGGAGAGCTAGCTGTCAGGCTAACACGAAGTGGTCAACCTTTAGTTTGGCGCCAGTGAGACTCCTAGTAAAGACACTACATACAGTAGGATTAAAACTTACACTTGTTCTTTTGTGCCATGTGCTAAAAGAACATAAATAAATATTGCAGGCGTTGTTATGATGAAGCTAGCCACCAATGCTAACGTTAGCTGCAGCCCAGACGTCAACTTCTCCCGCCCGAGCACGTTTGAAAACATGACCGTGTCCCCGGTACACCGGGTACATGTCCGTGAGTGCGCTCATCAGGCTGGATAAATAGACATCACACTGAGGCTGCAGAAGGATTCACACCTGTGTTGTTCATGTGCGTAACTAAGCAGTGCCGTTTTGTTTAGCTAGTAACCGGTGTATCGATGTAGCGTGTGACCGTGCTAACTGGTGACTTCTGTTGTTGTCGTAGTTCCAACAGCTACTGTGTCCCCGCGAATGCCTATTTTGTGTATTGTTTCATTAAATACATTATGTGATGAGTATAATTCGACATTACACCTGTTGTAACTACGACAACAACACACGCGTTCGGCCTAGAGTCTCCAGATAACACGGTCACTCGTCAGAGCGAAACACCTGCTATAAGCTAGCTGCACCGTGGTCAGGACGGGACACATGTTTGGGATGCTCGCAGAGGACATGCTACAGTGTTTGAAGTGTAAATGCAGTATTTCATCATGTTACTAACATGTCAACCAGTGAACCCTCTTTGTCCTCCACGGGGTCCTAAAATACTCGAGCTGTTTGTGATTTAAAGCTAACTTCATGCACCTTGTTATTGTTGTACTGCTAGCTTGTGGTGTTTTGTAGCTTTGTGCGGTTTAGCTAACAGGGCATCATTGTATGCCAAGAGATAATTAGCTCCGAAAAAAGGTTTCTAAGATCAGAAATACTTAATTAATCACCAGGGGGGAAACTGTGCTCCTTCACAGATTATAAGCAAACAGATATTCGATAGAAAAATTAAGATATAAGGAAGAAAAATGCCAAAAAAAAAATTAAATAATATGTGTAATAAAATACAACAATATGTCATATTATTTCAATCCTTTATGTATTCTCGAAAAGACATCAAGGTTTCCCTAATTTTTAAACGCATCGAGATTACAAGGACATTGGGGGGAAAAAAACATAAAATCATTTATAAACAATAGAAATCAACAAAAACATTGGAAACAAAGATGTTAGAAATCAAAATCCAATTGTGCAAGTCAAAGTTTATTTATTTAGCACATTTAAACAACCTAAGTTCACCAAAGTGCTGTGCAGCTTTCTTTCTTTTTAAACGGTAAAGGATGAATCTGAACAAAAAGAACAATAACAAACGAACAATAATAATAATAATCAATATCAACATCAAATTGTTCCACAAACTGGAGCAGCCACCGCAAACCGTACCTCGACCTTCCAGTCTGCATCTTGGGACGTCTGAAAGCATCTGGTGTGTTGACCACAGCGCTCAGACTGGAGCATGTTAGTGCAACAGCTCAGACCAATAAGACGGCGCTGGCCCATGTAACTTTTTAAAATCAAGTAATAGAATCTTAAACTGGACCGTGAAGTTGACAGGAAGGCTGAGGGAGAGAAGCCGTCACTGTAGTGTGCAGCGATGAAGAGATGACTGAAGAATTACAATAATCTATAATGCAAGAGACGCAAGAAATTTAATCTTTCCAGTTTGCAGGTTGAGCGGTCGGAGTGCGCTGGGGGGGAAAAAGGGACGCTGGGCGCTGCGCCTTTTCTCCAGGCGGCTACTTTCTGCTGCGAACGCTCTCTACTCATTCAAAACAATCGAAAAAAACCTCTTGGTGGACACAGAGCTTAAAGCAGCGTACAGAATATGAATATGTACTGATGTGTGCATCAACAGTTAAACTCGGGCTGCGCGATGTGTCCAGGTTTTAAGTTGTAGCGATATATTTTGACGTCATTTTTCATGAACATGTCGATGTTGTGCAGTAATGAAAGTACCTGTGTGACATTTGGTCCGTGTGGATTTGACGTCGAACCGACCCGCCTAACTGATCACAGAAAGAATATCGAGACATTTTATCTCGTATCGCCATTCAGCTAAAAAATATATGAATTCGATTTTTGCTCCACATCATCCATCCCTGAGTACATCATAAATAATAAATAATGAGGAGAGGATGACTGCTCACATTAAACGCACAGGATGTCAAAAGAAAAAAAGGAGTGATTCTCTCTGCTACTTCACCCCCTCCCCCGATGAAAACGACCTCCATGTTGAGCGTAGTCATGACGACCGGGTGAAACCGGCCTGAGAAAGAGAATATCTTTACCAACGAGCTAATGTATCCGAGTATAATCTACATGATGTTTTTATCACAGCAGCACAAACGGCAACAGTACGGCAGCTTTCAGTAGCAGCTCGTCTTTGACGTAACATCCGGTGTTTCCACGGCAACGCTAAAGATGTTGTGTCTGTCATGGTGAGGGCTTGTTGGTACCGAAACGTTGTTGGTGTATTTGAGACCATGAGAGCTGTGGATACTTTAGATAGATAGATACTTTATTGATCCCGAGGGAAATTCAAAATAATACTTTGTGATATTATCGAAAATTAAAAAAGGTTTAAATCTAAAAAACTTAATTCATATGAAAGTTTCTAAAAACTGGAATTGGAAGGTTGTTGAAATAATTTCTTAATTTATTTTCCTTTGCGGTGACGTCATGTGATGTAAATGGTCCTGATGTGATATCAATTTGAAACCCACAAACCGCTCTGCAACAGGAACCCTTTCAGAGTTTTTATCAAACACACGAATGTCTCCACAGAGTTATAATCACCGATGACGGAGAGAGAAACAGTTTAACAGCGATCCATTAAAGGAACATTTTGGAGGTTTTCTTTGATTGTAGAATGACATGTTCTTCGGCAGCAGCTCAGTCTGTAGGGTACCATAGGGTCGTCGGTGCGGACAAAATCTGGAAATTGGTCTGGTTGCTGGAGAGGTGCAAGACCGCTTCCTGAGCTCTGCAGAGGGGCTCTTTAGCAAGGCATCAAACGGGGTTCGAGCTATTTTTGATTCAAAACGATTCTGGATTCAAAGTCTATTTTTTTAATGAGTACATACTTCAGGATCTACTCCAGTCATCTTTGAGACTGGCTGAATTCCTTGCTGTTCCATTTTGCATTCTGCTGAGTTAAAGAGCTAGCATTAGCACTTAGCAGGGAGTGACTGATTTGCCAAAAACAAAAAAAAAATTTTGGGAAGTTATGAATCTATTTAAAATCTGAGAAGGGAAGAGTCTTGTTTACATTATATTATATATATTACATCGATTTGTTTCCCCCCCCCCACCTCTAACTCTGACATCTCTCTATCAGTGCATGTCCACACAATCCTGTTTGTGCATGTGCGTGTGTTTCAGCCTGTGTGTGTGTAGCATGTTCAATGACAGAGTAAAAATGAATCTACCCTCGCAGTATCAATAAAGTGTATCTTCTTCTTCTTCGACCTCCTGAAGAACACCTCCCTGTGTTTATGTTGAAGCTCACCTCGTGCACCATGTTGTTGTTCCAGTAATGGTGTATGTGCTGTTTGGTGGCATTATTCAACTGCCATAGCGACTCAAATCAGGCAGTGTGCATCATCACGATGAGCATTATTAGACCCCCGACTGAAGTGTTGTTGATGAGCATCTTCAGCCTGCATGCTAACACTGACAGAGCAGCCGCACTGAGCGCTGCGGCCTGCAGGAGCTGCAGCAGCTCTGACATTGACACGGCGCTTCTCTGGATGAGTTCCAAAGCCGGCTGCTTTTACATCACTTTATCACATGAGCTCCACGGAGACGATCGTGATCTGATTGTTAAAAATATTCTTGAAAAAGGTCATGATGGTCTTACAGTTTATTTTAGTCTTAGGACGTTTTTATTGTTGCAGCGCATCAGAGAAGACAAAAACAATCAGTCGAGTTTAGAGCTGCAGATAACAATTTATTATTTACTGCTGGATGAATCTGCTGATCTCATTATTAATACAATAAATATTAGAGTTTGTTTGTTAAACGATCACGATAACAAACATACACAGTGCACGGAGTGAAGGACTCCGTCACACAGGCAGAATCCTTAAAACTAGAAAACTTACCAGTGTTTCCCCTAGGTTTGCAGCTTTGGGGGGGGTGGGGAGGTGCGGGCTGACGGACGGCGACACAAACACTTGAAGGAATCTTGGTGTTCACGCGTAACTTTTAATGACAGCTGTCCTGTTCTATCGGAAAAGGATTTCCTTAAATGACTTCTTTCCCTTATTTCCGACTCTATCCACTATCCCATTTCTACAATAAAGGCACAAAAAGCTTTTTTAAATTAACTTGACCTTCAAGGGGGGCGGGGGGTCCATTGGGGGGGGGTTGGGCCGCCCTCCTAATATAATGATAGGGGAAACACTGCTTACAGTAAATGTATTTAGGTGCAAAGGACTGACATTTGGACGCACTGCGGCTTCCTCAGAGTCAAACAGACGCTGAGTGATTCACGTGCGCCGTTACTTTCTCTGGATTCTGTCTGTGTGAAGGAGTCTTGTGTCGTTCTCTCAGAGCACCGACCTCGACCTGTGGACGGGCTGAAGGTTTTTCCTTCTGTTAGAGCCCGACCGATTAATCGTCAAGCTGATAACATCGGCCGATATTAGATCACCAAGGACTATCGTTAAAGGCTCATTTTAGCGCCGATTTCACTAAATTCACTGGTCAAATAGCATTTCATTTGAGTTTCATTGTATTACACTAGCAGTTCTCTTTCACCAGCAGAGGGCTCTGTGTTGATTACAATAAGCATCATCACTCTCCAGACTGTCGAGCGGTGATGTACGTTCATGCTCAGATACTTTCCAGTCGAGAGACCAGCTTGTCTTCGTTATAAATCTTTTCACACAAGTGTTTGATACCTGAGAGATTCACACAAAAAATGTGTTTATATCTATCTGTACAGATCCAACAAAAATCAAAGATGGGTATCGGCCGATGTATCATCAGATTTGATCTCTTCCTAATATCGGTATCGGCCCCAAAAATCCGATATCGGTCGGGCCCTAGTTTTTAACGTAATTAGTATTTTGAAAATCTAAATATTAGTGCAGCACCATAAGTAGCTGTTCCATTGTTGTCTGAGTATAAGAATTTGTGATGAAGTCAATAAAAAAAGGAATGAGAGAATCTTATTTTGTAAACTTGGGCTGGGCGACGTGGACCTGAGTGGCGGTACACTATATCTCGATGAGTCCTCAGTCAAATCCACATGGAACAAATGTCAGACAGGTCTGAGTTGCACGTATTTAAGGAGGTTTAAAAACTGTGAAGAAGGCAGATATCAAACTTAAAGTGTTCCCGTCTATACAGAAGTTTCTAACAGTATTTTCAAACAGCTTGTCCTGTCATCTCGCCACTCTTCACTTGATGTTTTATAACTTTCTGGTCGGCTCCAAAGTTTTGGTCGGCGTCTAGCAGCAGATGTCTCGTGTGCTCTTATCTGAGGCCAGCAGAGAGTCGCAGCGAACAGATAATAATGATGTAACAGCGTGTCATACCTGCTGCAGAAACACTGCTGCTCACGCTGCTCTACAGAGAAGACCCCCCCCCACACACACACACACATCATCCCAAACCTTAAGCCAGACCCCCCTCAGCCTCCTCCGCCTCTGATCTTCTCTAACCTGCTCCTCCATTTTGGACTATCAGAGCCTGGCATCTCAGCGTGACTGTGCATGACTCAGCACTTCTCCCGCCTGCCTCAGAAACTTGATATCTTAAAATGTTTGAGGGGGTAAAAGTCTCACGGTCGGCGGCTCCAAACGTTCATATTGACGACTGAGTGCCAGGTTCTTAGTTTGTGTAAAAAAAAAAAAAGGGTCATCGTGAGAAGAATGTAGTGCCAATGAGGACGTGATGAACGTGTGATTGTTGATTAATTTAGTGATGCTCTTTTATTATTTAGTTTGAGAAGTACTCCATTCTGTTGCCCCCCCTAGACGATTACTTTGCCTCGTCCCGACTGTTTTCCTCGAGGTTTTCTGATATCACTTCTATAAACCGGGGACACGGCGTGATGTTTGCATGCCGTGGATTCACCTCTCCTCCTCCTTCATAAGAAGCTCCTCACGCGTGTAGCAGTCAGCCAACCGTCAGCTGACAAACCAGAAACAAGAGTCGGCCTGCAGGGAAACGGGCCCGTTAGCGGTCTATGTTGGAAAATAATCGCCGTCACGGAAAGTTCTTGACGGCTCAGGGTTTTTGCAGGCGTTCACAGTTTGTGTTTTGGTATCGTTTGTGTGGATGAATTCTTTATATTTCAAAAAGGCCTGCAGCTCGCGGCGTTGGTTACCAGGCTGTATCTTCATCCTGCTGTAAATTAACGTAAACAAACCAGGAGATCTGTACCCGTTGTCCGGACTCTGGATAGCCCAAAGATGGAGCACACCGGACCTTCTGCTCTCCCTCTTAAAAATTCAAATAACTTTATTTATCCGTTAGGAACTTCATTTGTGTAAAAGAGCATCAGTGCGCATACAGCTAGACACAAAAACAACAGCAGAAACACACACATAGTGGCTCTATTAAAAGCATGATTAAAAAAGCTGTTTGCTTTTTTAAATAAACTGCTGCTCCTTTTCAGAAACTCACGGTTAGATTTTCAATCACGCCGACCTTGAATATAACCAAGATAAATTAGAAAAGTATGGCTCAGGCTGTGCTTCTTCACAGGTCTCACGATTCGGTTCGGTTTATGGTTATCCTGCCAACGATTTGATTCGATAACGCGATGGGTTCATCCTCAATGTTCTACCTTTTCCTCAATGACGATGATCGGTCAGATGAATATGGACTCCTTTTTATTATGTTTGCTTTGGAAATTAATGTCAAGTCAAATGTCTAAATAAATAAAATATTAATGCCCAACCGATTAATCAGCCAGTCGATAATATCGCTGATATCAGCTTATCCAGTGACTAGCCGCATCGGCTAATTTTATCGCAGAAATGCACCGATAATACTCGATTTATTCACCAGCCAAAAAGAATTTGAGTTTCAGAGGGCGCTATATGGATTACAACAAGCATCATCACTCTCTAGATTGTCAAGTGGCGAGTGCAGGACATCAGCCTTGTGTATCCTGCGGCGGTTTGGAGCATTGGTTGTGCACTTCCTTAGAAATTCACGCTAAGCGTCCACGAGATGCAACATGCCTATAACCACTAGGAGCAGTGTGGAGTTGTGTGGTGATGATACCTGATTTGACATCATCAGAGAGAGCCGCTACAACAATGGAGGAAAGTTTAGAAGAAAAGTTAACAGATCGAGTCCTCAACTACCCGCACTCTGATGTGTCATTGCCGTTGCATAGCAACAGACAAACTTGTGTGATCGTTTCATGTTTCTGGACGTGACCATATTGTGTCAGCCCTCGATGTCTCACCTCTGTGTGTTCACCAGGGCCTTGCCCAGCTGGAGATCCTGTGTAAGCAGCTGTACGAGACCACCGACACCGCCGTCCGACACCAGGCAGAGAAAGCCCTGGTGGAGTTCACCAACAGCCCCGACTGTCTCAGCAAGTGTCAGCTACTGCTGGAGAGAGGCAGCGTGAGTACTGAGACATACACCCCCATGGACCTTCAGCACAGTTATTTAACTTTAAGGAGAAATTAAGTAAAAATACATTTTACTTAAAATACAACGTGCCGCCTGAAATTGAATAGCCTGCTGTAAGTCCTGTAAGCGGAGGTGTCATAAAACATATCAGAAGTTTTCTCTTCTGATGTTCGATTCTGTTGCTTTCAGATGTTTGTCATTAAAGAATGAAATGATCACTAACTGTCTTTGTTTCCCTCTCGTCACAGTCATCATATTCTCAGCTGCTCGCAGCGACATGTTTATCTAAACTGGTTTCTCGAACCAGCAACCCTCTTCCACTCGAACAGCGCATCGACATCCGTGAGTAACCTTCAGTTTGAGGAGAGAAAATGACCTTTGTGTTTTCGATGTAACCCAGAGAATACGTTTGAGAAGTTGCTCTGATGAAGTTGCATTTATTCTTTTTTTTTTTTTACTGCACAGGGAACTATGTTCTGAATTATCTGGCCACGCGGCCGAAGTTAGCAGCGTTTGTGACGCAGGCCTTGATCCAGCTGTACGCGCGGATCACGAAGCTCGGCTGGTTCGACTGTCAGAAAGACGACTACGTCTTCAGGAACGTCATCGTAGACGTGACGCGCTTCCTGCAGGTCAGTGTGTGTTTGAATCGTGCAGTGTGTGTGTGCGTGTGCGTGTGTGTGCGTGCGTGTGCGTGTGTGTGTAACATTATCTGTGTGTGTGTGTTTTCAGGACAGCGTTGAGCACTGCATCATCGGCGTCACCATCCTGTCCCAGCTGACCAATGAGATCAATCAGGTGCTTTAATTCGCTCTCTTCTCTCTCTCTGTTAGTCGTGTGTTTATAAACGTTTTAACACTTTTGTGTGTTTCCTCTTCAGGCGGACACGACGCATCCTCTGACCAAACACAGGAAGATAGCGTCATCATTCAGAGACTCGTCGCTCTTTGACATTTTCACGCTTTCCTGTAACCTCCTCAAACAGGTACGCCGGCATTAAGGACTCTCTTTATATTTCTTCATATGAGGAACATCTGACACCTCCGCCTGTCACTGCATCCGATCTGCTTCCACTTGATTTCCCTCTGCAGACGTTTTAACAGCTGGAGTGTTTACAAAGTGTGACCTGCTGTTAAAATCAGCGGATACAATCGCTTTATGATGGAGTTAAATAAACAACAGAATATGAATTTATTGGTCTTTAAAACTTCGTCAGAGCTCGAGCAGGAAGTTTAATCAACTCCTTGTTCCTGTTCACAGAGACGTTTTACCTCCTGACAGCTGAAGACTGAATCTCAGTGTTGTTTCTTTTTTTTTGTTTTTCAGGCGTCGGGGAAGAACCTGAACCTGAACGATGAGTCTCAGCATGGTCTGCTCATGCAGCTGCTCAAACTGAGCTACAACTGTCTGAACTACGACTTTATAGGAACTTCCACAGACGAGTCGTCGGACGACCTCTGCACCGTACAGATCCCCACATCATGGAGATCAGGTAGCTGCTCAGGATATGTGTCTTTAATGTGAACTGTTATGGGGGAGTTTCAGCTGAAGTCAGAGGCTGAAATAGTCTGAGCGGTTTGTGTAAACAATGTTAAACATAAACTATAGCAGGCTTCAAATTCAGAGTGAGTGCATATCATTCATCTTTGTACTCGCGGTTTTGGACGCCCCTCGGTTTGCCAGATATGAGAGCAGTTATCAGGTCAACAGGTGTTGCAGCGATGGAAGCGGGCAAGAGAAGTGGTTCAGATAGAAGTGATTGTACTCGACCTAAAAAGCCTCTGCATGTTTCTAATAAGCTCCACGAGCAGAAACGTGCTCAAACTAGGATCAATATTGGAGATGCTTTTGAAAAATGGAGAGAGGTTAGAACACAGAAAGGTTTACAGACCGATGCAGAGCTGGCTAAACACTGAAGCTTCAGTGTCCACCACATGGTAACCTGAGTGAGCATGGACTCTAGAGAGGAGGGGGCAGGGGGAGACAGCTCTAGAATTTTTAGTGCAGTAAATATTTTAAACACTAGGTGTCAGAGTTACATACTGCGAGAGTTATGATCCCTGTTTAATGTCCATTTTAGTATCATTGTGGGAGTTGTTGAACTTGTTCTGAAAACCTTTTCTTGTTTGTTTCTCCCTCTCAGCGTTTCTTGATTCCTCCACCCTGCAGCTTTTTTTCAATTTATATCATTCCATCCCTCCGTCCCTGTCCCCTTTGGTGAGTGACATAACCTTCACATTAGTCAAATATATCCAGAGAAACATGTGCAGCATCCTGTTTCACACCAATGTTGTGTTCTCTGTGCGTGTGTGCAGGTGTTGTCATGTTTAGTCCAGATAGCCTCGGTCAGGCGGTCTCTCTTCAACAACGCAGAGCGAGCCAAGTTCCTATCACACTTAGTGGATGGAGTGAAGAGGATACTGGCAAACCCACAGGTCTGTAACACACACATACACACACACACACACACACATATTAACATACACTTCCTGCTCTGTGTCACCAGCAGGTTTATTGACATTGTCAAATGTTTGTTTTTCAGTGTTTGCCGGATCCGAATAACTACCATGAGTTCTGTCGTCTGCTGGCGAGGCTGAAGAGTAACTACCAGCTGGGGGAGCTGGTCAAAGTAGAAAACTACCCAGAAGTTATTCGACTCATTGCAAACTTCACCGTCACCAGTCTCCAGGTGAGAGAGCGACATTTTGATCCAGAGTTCAAATGAAGGCTGAACAGAACATTATGTATGGTTCTTGGACTTTCTTTGAAGGCGTTTTGACAGTTACTATGTTTGTTTTGGAGTAAGTTGTGGCCATATTTGGAAGAGAGGGTGGAGCTGCAGAGGAGGGAGGAGCTTAGCAGACTGAACATCTGTAATTCACTGTGAAGCCTGATTTATACTTCTGGGTCAAATCTAGCATTCACAAAGATTCACTTAGCCTTGTACCTACGTAAACAATAGTAACTATTGTGACGGAACCATTACAGAGAGCCCTGTGATTGGACCTTTTGATAGTGGGAGATAACACACAAACCAGCAGGCTTTAATCAACTGCTGCTCAATATTTATCGGTTCCATCTCCAATGTAGTGCGCTTAGTTTCAGTCGCCATGGTTTCACAGCAACAAGCAGAGAATGTGGGGGAACTGAAAACTGGGGATACAACAAGAATAGAAATCAGACTGCCAGCTAGTGTTTGTAGTTAAACTCTACAGGACTCTACAAGTAGTCTTCGCAGGGTTCAAGGATTGCAGTGAACTGTTATTTATTTATTTCTGTCTCCTCCTCCTCCTCCTGTGTGTGTCAGCACTGGGAGTTTGCCCCCAACAGTGTTCACTACCTGCTGAGTCTGTGGCAGCGCCTGGCAGCGTCGGTCCCCTACGTCAAAGCTACAGAGCCTCACCTGCTGGAGACGTACACACCTGAGGTCACCAAGGCCTACATCACATCCCGACTCGAGTCGGTCCACGTCATCCTCAGGTACAGATCTTTTTGTGCTCAGGACTGCTTCAAATTCCTGAATTTTTGTAGACCCAGACAAGGCTTTTACAACTCCTTGGCAATAAACATAGCAATGCATCGACAAAGACTGGCTGTTAGTAAACATGGATGTATTTGACGCAGGTTTAATGAGGATGGAAACGGATTGCAGACCTTTGAAACCCTCTAAACTGAATCTGAATGTGTTATTTCTACAGAGATGGTTTGGAAGACCCTCTGGATGACGCCGGCCTTGTTCAGCAACAGTTGGACCAGTTATCCACCATCGGGAGGTGTGAGTATGAGAAGACGTGTGCTCTGCTGGTCCAACTGTTCGACCAGGCAGCTCAGACGTACCAAGAGCTGCTGCAGTCCACAAACTCGAGCGCTGCCGACATCACTGTGCAGGAGGGTACGGGTAAAGAGCTATACAGGAAGTCTTGTTTTTTTTTATTTAATATGTCTCAATGAAGTTTGACTGTTTCAATTTTCTGATGTGTGTTAGCATGTTTAAATGTGTCACTGATTGGGGCGCTGAGGGGCCTAGCGGTTAGGTCCAGCCCCATGTACAGTGGCTATAGTCCTCCAAGCTGGCGGCCCAGGTTCAAGTCCGACCTGCCACTCCTTTCCTGCATGTCATTCTCCACTCTTTCTCTCTTCTGATTGCCTGCTCTATCCACTGTCCTATCAGTAAAATATTTAAAATAAATCTTGATAAACAAAAAAAATAAATGTGTCCTTGATGTTTCTCCTCCCTGTGCAGGTCGGTTGACATGGTTGGTGTACATAATCGGGGCAGTCATCGGAGGACGGGTGTCGTTTGCGAGTACAGACGAGCAGGACGCCATGGACGGAGAGTTAGTCTGTCGGTAAGAGTTCAGTAAAGCGTCACCTTTGGAAAAGTATTTCAACCTTTTTACACTTTATGTTCGGAGAGTTTTAGTTATCTTGACTTAGGAAATTGACTTAGTTGATGCCACACCTGTGCATGTAGTGGTCTGCTGTCAGAAACCCGTGGGGGGGGCTGGTGGCGCATTGTTTAGTGCGCACACCCCATATATGTCATTCCCTACTCTCTCTCCCTGATTTCCGACTCTAACCACCTCTATCCATCTCTAAATTAAAGACACAAAAAAAGCTTTAAAAAAAAAAACGGGTAATGCTTAAACATGTCACAGTATCCTGTTGTCATTCTTTGCCGATGACTGCAAAACATTTTTGGAGCAGGAGCATGTTTTAGTCGTATACACATTCATCTTCTTGATAAAAACATGCACAAACTGCAATAAACCATTTTTATGGACACCGATGGGCTAAGAAAGTAAGTTAAATTGTATTGCTGGATCTGTGATGCAATGTTCAGCTTTTTTTTTCTAACCTTAATGCATTGCAAATATTTGTATGTGCAGATATCTTCTTTTAGAACCTAAATTTACACACAAATGTAGAGGACCCAGAACGCTTCCCTGTGGGACTCCGATTGGTTTCAGTGTGATGTCTAGATCCCTAAAACTGTTGAATTAATTACCGAAACATGTCGAGAACTACACTAAGGAAAAAAGACTGACAGGTCTACATATTCAAGAGAGGAATGGATGTATTTACAGTGGTATGTTATAATTGAATCCATGTCCTTTTTTGTGTTGTTCTCAGAGTGCTCCAGCTGATGAATCTGACCGACTCTCGGCTCGCTCAGGCTGGAAACGAGCGGCTGGAGCTGGCCATGCTCAGCTTCTTTGAACAATTCAGAAAGATCTACATCGGCGACCAGGTGCAGAAATCATCAAAGGTAAACAGTACTTCTAATCGTGTAGCTGTCTGTCTCTGTGAGACATTAACCCTAGCCTGGCTACACAACCCCTCCCCTCTGTAACCTTGCACTGTCTGCTGTTAGCAGGGGGGGATGGCTTATTGGGGGGAATGAGCAGGTCTTTTGTCCTGAGCGTGCTGGTGCTGATGCAGCTCTTTCTGCAGAGACACGCAGTCTCAGTTTGTGTTTTACTGTTGTGTTAGTGAGACGTGTGTGTAGTGCATCGCTTCCTGCTGACTGACCGAGTGTGTGTTCTCTTTGTTCGGGCCAGAAACTGCAAAATGTGAACGTCCCAGATAAGTGGTTGGATGTAGAGATTGTAGTCTGTGCTTCCGATCTGGTGTTAGTGCCTCCGCCAACCCCAACCTTTCAGAGGGTCCTCACAGAATTATCATCATAAGCAGATAGTGACACCCTCCCCTAGTGCCAGAATACGTAGGATCAGGGTTAGAAGTGTGTCTGTGCTTTCACGTTCTGCATTTGTTTCCTCTGAACTTAAATATTATCTACCGCTCAGGAGAAGATACAGATTAATTCCTCCAGGTGTCTCAGGGTGCTCTAGCTCACTTTGAGGTGAAACATATCCATCCTCACATCTTCTACCTCTGCTGCATGAGAGGTGTAATCCCTCCAGGGCATTCTGGGTTTACATTTGCAGTTTATCTATGTTTTTGAGAAGTGTTAGGGTTGCTTTGGTTTTTACAAATCAGATTATGGTTAGTAATATTCTTGAGCTGCAATAATCCACAAATTGTAAACTATAAAATGTGTAATAAACCATTTTTATTTGTATAATTGTACGTCAAAATTTGATGGTTTTGGCACGGATCAGCTTTAATATTAGCATCTCTTAACTCGGTAATGTATTTTTAATCATTTCTGAAGCCAGAATATTTGAGAAATATCTTCTTTCAGAAATATCACGCGTAGACGCTACTCAGACGGGCCGCCCAAGTATGTGTCCCAAACTCTTTTATCCAAAGCCTAGTTAATCACCATGGCGAGCTAGAGGGGCGACATAAAGAGAGAGTAAACACACTTAAACGCGCTGACTGAGGTGCAACATAAAAAACCGCTGTTCACACGGCCGGTATACAAACCTGAATCCCCCGAACATGGGGGACACCAGAGACATTTTTAAAAACAGCAGAGTAGGTGTTACCTGCTCGTTGATGAAACACAGAGGAAATGTGAAGCAGATCTGAAATGTTTCAGGGCTACAAGTTTCAGGTTTTGGGGACGTCAAGTTGAAAAAAAAAAAAAACAGCTGTCAGTAAATGTACTCTGTAGAAATCGTTTGTACACGATGCAGCATCAGAGGAGCTGTTTTTACGAGCGACGGGCCCCACTGTCCCAGTCAGTTTAAGCCTCACAGTGAGGCCCCTCACATCTCCTCATGCTCCATCTGTCTCTGTGCTGCTGGGCCCCACGCTACTTTGTCCAGCTCCTCTGCAGCGCCTCCATCAGGTCTTAAAAAACAGCTGATGGTGCACAGATTCACTGCAAAAAGCTGAAAACACTCCAAAGAAATCTGACAGACAACTTATGTGATGAGTGGACAAACCAGCGTCCCTAGAGGTCATAGTCCCCTAATAATACAAGTTATGTGCTACGTGTGTGTACAGCGGTGTTCACATTAATGATAAACTGTGTGTGTGTGTGTGTGTGTGTGTGTGTGTGTATTTGCAGCTTTACAGACGACTATCAGAAGTTCTGGGCTTGAACGACGAGACGATGGTGCTCAGTGTCTTTATAGGGAAAATGTGAGTAACATAAATCCTTAATATATTTTTACACTCTAAACTAAAGTTTGTCTTTATAAGAATAAACATACATTATAGGTAATTGAGGAATGCTCTTCTTTTCTGTGTTCCAGCATCACAAACTTGAAGTACTGGGGCCAGTGTGAACCAATCACCTCCAAGACACTCCAACTACTGAACGACCTCTCATTAGGATATCCTTTATCACAGCGTCTGCTTATACTCTGCATTAAGGGACTTTCTCTCCATGTTTAATGTCAGCGTTGATGGTAAATGTAGTCCACTGACGCAGTAAATTCCTCAAAGGGACATAGCTGCTTTCACACCTGCACAAAACTCCTGAAACACTGCTGATATTTACAGACTCATCACCCGGAGTTTCTCCTCCAGCCTCCTCGTATTTATTCTGCAGAAAGTCAGAGGAGCTGATGTGAGAACGCAGCAGGATATAATCAGGAGAATTCACCTGGAGCGAGTGGGAGGGGGTGGTGACGTTTATTCCCTGTGATCGCTGCACGACCATAGACTGTCTGCACGCCACCTTACCATCTCCATGCTCTAATGAACCTGCTGCTGCATTATGTTTCCTGTTCTCCAGTATGTTCTCCTCCACTCTTTAGTTCACATTGAGATTCTGTTCAACTACACGTAGCTTTGATAGAAAGACACATATTCTCATTATAGCGTCGTATAACTCAGCGTGCAGCTCTGACAGTAATCGTGTTGTCGTGCGTTGACTCTGCACGTTTTCTCCTTGACTCTATTCGTTCACGTACAGCAGCGTGAGGAAGCTGGTGAAGCTCAGTGCCGTGCAGTTCATGTTAAATAATCACACAGTGAGTACACACACACACACACGTTATCAAACATACAGACACATGTTTAATGTATAACTTTAATAAAAACATCCTCTGTTTGTGTGTGTGTGCAGAGCGAGCACTTCTCCTTCCTGGGAGTGAACAACCAGTCCAACCTGAGCGACATGAGGTGTCGGACCACCTTCTACACTGCACTGGGGCGCCTACTGATGGTCGATCTGGGTAACTACACACATGCTGGTTTATTTTCAAACTGTAGGTGCACAAGGAGCAGATTTTCAAAAGACACAAAATGAAGACTCTAGAGAGGAGGGGGGCGGGGGGAGACAGCGCTCGACAATGTTTTGAATATGGACTGCAGTACCCATTTTGAACACTAGGGGTCAGAGTTAGTCTCTCTTTGAGATGATTTCTGTTATGTTCTGAGTCTTGGTTGTCCCGTTTGTGTGCTGCAGCAGTTTTTGTTGTTCATGTGTGTAAACGAATCAGAGAAGGTGTGTGTGTTGATGCTGTTGTTTGTGTGTTTGTGTTTAGGCGAGGACGAGGACCAGTTTGAACAGTTCATGCTTCCTCTGACGGCCGCCTTTGAAGCTGTGGCTCAGATGCTGAGTACAAACACCTTCAACGAGCAGGAGGCGAAGGTGATCAACACACACACACACACACACACACACACTGAAATGTTTTCTCTTACATCTGTAGGATTTATGAGCCTGACTGTCTCTGCAGTGTGAGCCGTGACGCTTCCTTCTCACAGTTTTCTTCTTATGTTGTTTCTTCGTAGAGGACTTTGGTGGGTCTGGTCAGAGATCTTCGAGGGATCGCGTTCGCCTTCAACGCCAAGACGAGCTTCATGATGCTCTTTGACTGGATGTATCCTTAACACAGCGTCATTATGAATACACTCGTGTTAACCTGATTATGTGTCACAAGCGGTCAGATATCATTTTTCCTGAACGCAGCCGTGCAGGTATCCCGCCTACATGCCCATTCTGCAGAGAGCCATCGAGCTGTGGTACCACGACCCAGCATGCACCACTCCTGTCCTCAAACTGATGGCTGAGCTGGTTCACAACAGGTAAACCTTCCAGAGAGCAATGATGATGATGAGGGTTTACTTTAGCTTTCAGGAGAAAACGTCTTACAGATGTTTGAGTATCAGAGTCAGACGTTTCTGCAGGAGATCAGAGCGAGATGAAGATAACCGCCAACATTAACTCTCCAGTCTTAAACACTCTGCAGCTACATCCACCTTTTATTTCTGCATATTTCAAATCTATGAGAGTCATCTCCAAGGGCAGTCTCACGCGGTCCTGGGGAGGGGGGACAATCAGACTTTGGCCCGGTACGGGGAAACTGGGCCTTAATATGGTCTGTCCCGCTGTGGTGTCATCATCTCAGATCAGAAACAGATTCAGAATCAGGGTTTATTGCCAAGTACATTATCACATACAAGGAATTTGACTTGGTGTATTGGTGCTAAACAATTAACAAGGAAATAAAGCAGAACTAGCAACAACTTAAATAATACATAAGAAGCTATTACAATATATAAAATAGAATTTAAAAATATAAAAAATGAAAAACACGAAATGTACAAAAGGTGCAGATCTGCGTTCATCATGTACTCATGAATTTAAAGTATGAGGGTGAAAGCCCCAAATGTTGAATATGATCATCATGAATCTCTGAGATGATTCATGTGTGATAAACTAACCCGTGTGTTTCGATTTCTTCTGCAGATCTCAAAGGTTACAGTTCGACGTGTCGTCACCAAACGGCATCCTGCTGTTCAGAGAAACCAGCAAGATGATCACGACATACGGTGCTCAGACTCTAAACCTCCTGTCACGTTTATCTCACATGTTTGATGATTTGTGTATTTCAGATCTGATGATTTAGAGATCGAGTGAAAGGAGTAAGCTTCTGATCTGAGCTCTGAAAACGTCCTGATGGTCGGTGTCTTTCGTTCCTGCAGGGAATCGCATCCTGACACTGGGCGAGGTCCCGAAGGATCAGGTGTACGGGGTGAAGCTGAAGGGGGTCAGCGTGTGTTTCGCCATGCTGAAGGCCGTGCTCAGCGGGAACTACGTCAACTTCGGGGTCTTCCGTCTGTACGGCGACGACGCTCTGGATAACGCCTTACAGACCTTCATCAAGCTGCTGCTGTCCATCCCTCACAGCGACCTGCTCGTACGTCCCGCACGCCTTCTTTCACAGTGTCGAGGTTTTAAGAGGCGTTCAGAGGCGACGCTTCATCAGACTCGCAGATCGCACATGTTTTTTTAAAGATTTAATTTTGGGCATTTTGTGCCTTTATTGTAGAGTTAGGACAGAGGATAGAGTCGGAATTCAGAGAGAGAGAGAGAGTGGGTGGGGAATGACATGCAGGAAAGGAGCCACAGGTGGGATTTGAACCTGGGCCGCCCGCTTGGAGGACTACAGCCTCCGTACATGGGGCGCACGCACTAACCACTGCGCCCCAATATGGTGTTTTGTTTTAGCTTCACACACCTCACTACTGCAGGACAACAAACAAAGCGCTTTTACATCCACTCCTGGATTGTTTTGGGCTTGACCTCTTACCGTCAAATCCGGTTTTTAAGATGGAGTCTGATGGAGGAGAGAAAAAAGGTTTAACGTGTCTGCCTGCATGAGGATTCGTATCGTGTTCAGCCAGGTCTACAGCGGTCAGTTTCTGTGCAGCTGTGTCGCTCTTTTAGTCTGTTTTCACTTAGTGCTGTTTGACAAGCTTTACTTACCGAACACTATACCGCAGTTCACTCTAAATGTACCACGATGACCTCATGACGGAGAGAAGATGGTAACAAGTGGCACTGCCAGACTCATCAGTGTTGCTATATGCCAGGACAGCTTGCCATACAAAAAGAAAGGGAGTGAATTTTCAAGTGCGGTTATTACGGCGTCAGTATTTTACTCTTTAGGATCATTTAGGACGCAGTGGAAATCATCACACAAGACGACACTTTAAGGCCGTGACATACCAAGGAGATCGTCGGCTGTCGGCCCTAGTTGGACTCTCTGTGAGCAGTCGACGCCCTGCTGCTAGGTTTCATTTATCTCCAGCTCTCTCAGGTTCAGGAAAGCCTCTTGAGTATGCTGCTGTAGTATCCATGCTTTCATCCATTAATGCGGTTTCTCCTTATTTGTCTCCTCCGCCTCTTCTTTTCTTTTTCCACTAAAAGACCAAGAGCTGACAACGCCAGCGCCATTTTAAACTTTTTATCAGACATTATTCTCCATTAGTAGACCTATAATACGAGTGGTGAGCGACAGCGGTGTGAAAATGGTCTTCTCGTATCATAACAACGGACTACCGCCCCCTGCTGGCATGGAGAGTTATTTCCTCACGAGCAGAACGTACGTGGTGGTTAGCCATCGGCTGTAGTCTTTGCGGTGTGCTCAAGTACAACTTTTTGACCAAGACATGAGGCGGCCTTCGTCACTTCTAGTTCTCTGCCGTCTGCTTGATGTGTCAGGACCTTTTTAAAGCTTTTTTTCTCTCTGAGAGACCCTCAAACACAGACCGACACTTAACCGCTTTTACGGTACATTTTCCGAGTTAATTTTCACGCCCGTTATCGTCCTGATTTATGAATCATTGAAACATCAGAAAGTAGACGAAGCACAGATCCTCAAAGACTTCAAATATCCCTCCGTGTTCGACTAAAGACACTCGGCCTGCTGTGAAGGAAAACTGCAAGAAATACTCAAAAGCTAAAAAAAACAAATAAAGCATCAGTCCTTATTTCCTGGATGCATGTTGTTTTTCTGCTGTGTAACTGTGAAGCCTGAATGTTTTGCACTCATCCTCATGAAGTTGTTCACTGACCTTTGAAGCGTTCTTCTCTTTGATTCTGTTTCTTTAAATCTCTATAAACGACCTGTAGAAGCTCTGAAACACTGACCCGTCTCTTTCCCGTCCCTGCAGGACTATCCGAAGCTCAGCCAGTCGTTCTACTCTCTGCTGGAGGTTCTGACTCAGGACCACATGAACTTCATTGCCAGTCTGGAGCCGCACGTCGTCATGTACATCCTGTCGTCGATATCAGAGGGGCTCACGGCGCTCGGTAAAACGCTCTCCCGCCAGGTCAGAGCAGAGTGTCTGAAGAGAGAGCAGCACATTAAAACGTGTGTGTGTGTGTTTCAGATACGATGGTGTGCACGGGCTGCTGCTCCAGTCTAGACCACATCGTCACGTACCTCTTCAAACAGCTCTCACGCTCCACCAAGAAACGACCCACGCCCATGGCAACGGACGATCGCTTCCTGCACATCATGCAGCAGCACCCCGAGATGATCCAGCAGGTCAGAAAACCAGAAAACACCATAAATATCTGCAGGGTTCATGTTTGCACGATGATGCACTGAACCAGACAATCGTCAGGATGAGAGACGCGCGTTTGTGTTTTTACGAGCATTCATTTAAAACATCGACCTCGTTTAATGACGTCAACGCAAAGTTCGTAAAGGTCACGCTTCTCATGCCTCCCTCAGAGAGTGGGACTGACTACCCAGGGATGAAAGAGGCCGATACCAGAAGTTTAGACTCTAAATGTTCCTGAGGAGGGCACTGCACGGTGGTTAGCGCTGTTACCTCACAGCGAGGAGGTTCCTGGTTTGAATCCCCGTCTGACAGGAGCCTCTCTGTGTGGAGTTTGCATGTTCTCCTCGTGCATGTGTGGGTTCTCTCCGGGTACTCCGGCTTCCTCCCACAGTCCAAAGACATGCTCGTTAGGTTAACTGCTGACTCTGAATTGTCTGTAGGTGTGAATGTGAGTGTGTCTGGTTGTCTGTCTCTACATGTCAGCCCTGTGATTGGCTGGTGAACAGTCCAGGGTGTAAGCCCGCCTCTCGACCAATGACAGCTGGGATCGGCTCCAGACCCGCACAACCCTAAACAGGAAAAAAGGTGTAGATAATGAATGGATTATAAATAAATGAGCTTGTTTTCAGTCACAGATAAATTAGTTCCAGTTTTGGTTTATTAAATTATTAGTTCTCTAAGAATGTCCACCATGCCGTCATGAAAATAAACTTTATTTTAAAAGAATAGAAAACAGTGGGTGTTAATGGTTTCAGATCAGCTTTATGCGGTCTGTGTCGGAGCAGACGAGTCAGCACTTCTTTAGACGATGCATTCAGGGACCAACTCGGTAGATGTTTAAGGGAACAACAAGGTTAAATTCAAGGGAATGTGAATTTCCATGAAGAGTAACATCTGTGAACATGCATCATGAAGAGAAACATGGGCTTATGTTGCCTTCAAGGACATGCATGTTGCATTCAGTGACCTCCAGTAAATGTGATCGTCCATTTCTGCTGCAGATGTTGTCCACGGTGTTGAACATCATCATCTTCGAGGACTGCAGGAATCAGTGGTCCATGTCTCGACCTCTGCTCGGCCTCATCCTGCTCAACGAGAAGGTAAACACACTCACACTCCTGAACCTCCTCCCAAACATCAGTGTGTGTGTTTTACTGTGCTAATGTGTGTGTGTGTGTGTGTGTGTGTGTCCTGCAGTATTTTGCTGACCTGAGGAACAGCATCGTGAACAGCCAGCCGCCAGAGAAGCAGCAAGCCATGCACTTATGTTTCGAGAACCTGATGGAGGGAATCGAGAGAAATCTACTAACAAAAAACCGAGACAGGTAAACACATCATCAGTTATAATGTTTCTCCATCACGCTCAGGTCTGATACGATACTGAAACTTAACCTGTAGGATCATTTAGCTCGAGAACAAGTGGAATCAGATCATCTTTAAAAACTGTTTATTTCTATTTTCACTTTCTGTTTGAAAACATGAGTGAAAATCTGAAATACATAAAATATGTAATACAGAAGTGTGGGTTCAAGAAACGTCTCATGTATGTCCGTCTCTGTGTGCTCCCTCCTCCCCCCCCCCGCAGGTTCACTCAGAACCTGTCTGTGTTCAGGCGGGAGGTCAACGACAGCATGAAGAACTCGACGTACGGCGTCAACAGCAACGACATGATGAGCTGACATTCCACACAGACGAGTCTTACCCAGCCACAGACAGAGCTCTCCCCCCACCTCTCTCCCCCACAGCCTCCCTCCCTCCCCCCTCTCTGCATCAGCCTCCCTCTCCCCCCTCCCTCCCTGGGCCAGGATGCCTGGGGATCATCTCCCGCCCCTCCCCCCAACACGACGTACCCTCCCTCCTTTTTGATATAAACATATATAAATATATACAGATCTATTTTAACGCGATGATGGTCTGACTCGTCCAGCAGAGGAGGGGTCAGGAGGGCCGAGTTTGGGCGTGTGATTGGGAGGGAAGGGGGGGGGGGGGGGGGGGTCGCATGTTTAAGCACTCTAAATCACTCACAGAGGAAGAAGAGAGTGCTGCGGAGGCAAACGAGGGCGAGGAAGGGGATGAACGCCGGTAATCGTAGTAATCCGCTTCTGCCTGCCTTGTATAGAAAAACACACAAAAACCAAGTGTACATTTCTTTTCGTAACATTTTGAACAATGTTTATAATGATCGAATTTAAAAACACAAAGAAGAGTTGAGGAAAAACACAAAAAAAAATAAACAAAAAATGGTGTGATTGAGCTTTTTACAGTGTAGTGAGTTAGTGCAACTGTTTGTCTGCGTGGGGAGCGAGAGAGGAGGGAGGGAGGGAAAACGGGTGACGTGAGGGTGGGGGAGAGAGTTGGGGGGGGGGGCCACAGGAGCACTTAGGCTGCAGAGAGGTACACACACTAACAGGACGAGAGAGTCAGAGCATCCATGTTGTACATTTTTTTACTCAAAGTCTCTGGATGAGGTGTTGTAAATTACCACGCCCCCTGAAGGCAGCAGGCCGGACAGACAATAAAGGGACAACTCAGCTGTTTTTTTTTAACCATTTTATACTAAATAAGTTCCCCCCGGATTCCGGCCCACAGCCCTGCAAGAGAGTGAGTTCTGTTTCCGGTTCCTATTTGTCACCTTTTAGAAGCTGTAACGTCTGAACAGACAGCTTGTTTACCTGCTGCAGGTGAACAGCAGGTAAACAGACAACTTGTTTACCTGCTGCAGGTGAACAGACAACTTGTTTACCTGCTGCAGGTGAACAGACAACTTGTTTACCTGCTGCAGGTGAACAGACAACTTGTTTACCTGCTGCAGGTGAACAGACAACTTGTTTACCTGCTGCTCATGGACTGAACACATTCAGACACTTCTCACACGTATAATAATTATGTAACATAAACAAAGTAATGAATCTTGTATCATGATCTCCCTCTCTCACCGGTGCAGGATTATGTTTTGGTTTTGGACTTCAGAGCTCCTTCCTGTTTTAAGCGTTATTCAAACATTCCTCTGAAAGCAGAAATCGCTCTTGCATACAGAATGACACTAAAAAGCGGATAAATGACAGAAACCAGGAAATTCTCAAGTCGTGTGTTTATATTTTCGATTTAGATGCAGCTCCTGATCCTCTCAGGCAGCTTGGACTCGGGTATGAGGTCAATAAAAATCAGCTGACTGTCCCTTTAAAATCGTCCCGCTCTGCTCTGCCTTTTCCCCTCGCCTCACACACGAGGCGGCCGCGTCCCATCTTTGCGTGTTTGTCGTCCCCCCCCCCCCCCCCTGCACGCGCTGATCGATGTGTAAACATGATGGTCACGACTCGGTTTTCCCCCCTCTGGTAGGCTGGCTGCAGTCTCACCATTTTGTTTACAATCTCGATTCCTCGGACCAGGTTTTTGGGACTGCCCCCCCCCCCCCTCCTCCCCCTCCTTTTTTTTTAGGTCCTGCAGTGGAGTCTGTTTGGTGTGTGTGTTGTCTGCGTGTGTGTGTGTGTGTGTGTGTGTGTGTGTGTGTGTGGAGTGGCTCTGCTGCCTGGTGTGTGCGTGTGTTGCGCGTGTGTGTCGTGTGTGTGTGTGTGTGCGTGTGTGTGCGCGTGTGTGTCGTGTGTGTGTGTGTGCGCGTGTGTGTGGCGTGTGTGTGGCGTGTGTGTGTGGCGTGTCATGGTGCTGAGGGTCTGTGCCGCCTCACAGGAGAAACTCTGACGACGATCGGAGCTCCGCTGAAGGATCACGATGAGACTAAAATATCTGCAGAAGAAGTAGAGCGGTGTAGCGACCTCTGCTGGAGTCAGAACAGTGTACAAAGAGAAGCCGGTGGAGTCTTTAGCAACTTGTGTTCCTCTCTACGATGTTGCTGCTAACTGTTTGTGACAACTAGCTCATTTCTAACACGTCAGCACTCACGGATGTTGATGGAGTTTCTCAGTTTTTGGTTTGTGTCCTGATGTGAATGTGTTGGGTCCATAGAGTGAGTAGCTGTTTGAGTTGTTTGGATGTCTGCTACATATAGTGTAAGCATTGTGACTGCAAATAAACCTCATTGATTTTTACATCACTGCTTCTCTCTCTCTCTCTCTCTGTGTGGCGCTTTAATGCACCTGAAACCAGATGTTTGAATTACATCGTGTAAGAACAAGAACAGTGCACGCTTTTTAAAATCACTTTTTAAAGGTCACATAATTTCCTCCTTTTCAGACAGTTTAAATAAGTCTGACGTCTCGCTGAAGATCCATCAATCAATCGACCAATTAATGGACCACAGTGTTTCAAGCTCCGCCCTTTAGTGTCAGATCAGTACACTTGGCCCCCCAACAGAAGAGTAGCAAAATAGTAAGCTTGTCCAGATCGGTTGTTTTGGTACCATTCTCAACTTTTAACAATGAATGTGTACTGAACTGAACCGGACCGCTTTGTTGAATTTCAGCCCTGCTCAGAACACCTAGCTGTGGTAGTGTCACCCACCTGGGGGAGGGGTTACTGCCCTTTGTGATGTCATGAAGGGAAAATCTACAAACAGCCTGTTTGAGCACACATTTTCTGAAAAGTGGAGCAGGTAAAAGACGGAGAGGATGGACTTTTCTCACCATTGGGGGGTTTGTAGACAGACTAGAGACACATATTAGGGTGGGGGGAGACAGCTCTCTCTTACGTTTTGAATTTAGACTGCAGTACCGATTTAAACACTAGGTGTTAGAGTTACATGTAGCTCTTGGATCAGGATGTTTAAAGTGTAATGAACTCTGCAGGTTTGAGATGAACACTCGGACACTCGGCAGTAAAATTCAGCTGACTTTAATTTGTCTCTTAACAACAAACGAAAAAAATCAACGTCTGTGTTTTTTTACAAAAGAAACAAACTTTGTTATGATTGGCACAAAAACAAAAACTTTACAGTAAATACAAAAAGAGTTGACGCGTGCGGACGCCGTGGAACAAATCGGACTTCAGTGGAAATCAAAGTAACACTGACGGATCTTTTTTTAAATAAAATGCGTCTGCTCCTTGTTGGGGGGGCGATGTGGAGGGGGTCGGGGATGGACTGGTTCACCACTGGCTCCTCATTGGTTCCTTACTGGAGGTTAGCTCTTGCTGCTCTTGGACATGAACACGGCGTTGTTGTAGCCTTCTCTGTTCCGGGCGATTTCCACAGCAAAGAACTGAGCTCTGGTGGCTGAAAACACGAGAAAACAGAGTTAATGTTTTTTCTTTTAAATAATAACAATTAAATCCACAGTGAGACGTGAACTGACCAAATATGGTGTTCTCCTCTGTGTAGTCCTTCTCACAGTCCAGACGCAGCAGAGTGCCGTAGTTAAAATCCTCGATGAGACCTTCAAACTGGTTACAGAACGGACGCCACGTCTGCACACACACACACACACGAATGCACCGTCTTAAAGGTTTGACTTATCAACCTATCAGAGAGGAGGGGAGTTTGTTCTCACCTCTTTGGCCTGCTCCGACTTCAGGTCGTCGACTTTCAGCAGTTTGATGTCGAGCTCTTTGAATGTTTCTCTGAAGTCCGTGTAGATTTTATCGTCCAGTTTCGTCAACTTCAGGAACTTCGGCTCGACCGACGAGATGAGCTGCACACAAAAGAATGGGTGTGTATGTGACTTCCTGTGCTTCTGCAGCCAGCCTCTAGTGGACACTCGAGAAACTGCAGGATTTTATACTTCAGCATCGGCTTCATTTTCATTCATTGTTCACACTGCATCTGGTAAACATTTTATTCTCTGCTCTTTCAGCTTCCCCTTGTGGACATTATAACATGGTGCTTTTATTTTGAAGGTGGACAATCTGAAGGGTTGTGTTTCATATTGACGAGCTTTTGACTCAGATCTCAGCACTCAGACTCGTCAATTAGCGTCTCGCTGTGAGCTGAATAAAGTTTTTCTCTGATGTTGACAATCAGGTCAAAATCTCAATCATGAGGATATTATTAATGAACTACTCTCTCCACTTTGTACAACAAGCTAACGAGCTCTGCTGAGGGAGGAGAGAGAGAGAGTCAGTGTCTCCTCTCTCGTTCCTCGCCTGTCTAACGCGAGGAGGAGACAGAGGAGACTAGAAACGGGGCGCCGTTACTGATCAACATATTAAACACAGAAACATTTTGTTTGTTTTTTTTGTTTACAGCTGAGAGAACAGAGCTAACGCTGAGCTCATGTTGGTCTTACATTGAAGTAAACCTCCGCGTGGTTGTAGGCCTTCATCGCCCACATCTCCTCCAGACGGGGCTGAAAGAAAACAAAGGTCAAAGGTCAGTGTTGTGGCCCAGGGCATGCTGGGAGATATCTTCACAGACACCTGTGTTTCAGCAGAATGAACACATGTTGTTGGGGCGGATATATCTGAACGTTTGATCTTTGATACGATTCTATTAAAAACGATATCAATGCCACGACAAGAAAACTGAACTTCCTGTTTCAAACATTTCAAAGAGTTGATGATGTTTTGGTGCAGCTTGCAGGAGCTCACCTGCAGAGAACGATCCTCTCCCACACCTCTCCTGATGAAGTTTTTTTTTTTTTCAAAGCTTCGGCCCTTTCTGACGCTGTCGATCATTTATCAGAGATGGTTTCTTTTTTTAAACGTGTGGTATCAAAGATTGTGTGTAATAAACCTTTTGTTAGCGCTTCTTGTCTGTTTGGACATTCAGTGACGAGCTGATGAAAATATGAAGGACTGTGAGCGAGTCGACTTTTTTCCATGAGCGCTAAGAGAGCTGGTTCCCCTCCTCTGCGTACGTCCGGCTGATCATGAATTAACTGACAATGATTTCTTATGTTATGTTTTATTTGATATAGAAACATCGCTGTCTGTGAGACTGACGGTGGGATCGGCTCAGCGTCGACTGTAATGCAGGCGTCGAACCGTCTTGCAAGAAGGGAGCTGAGCCTGAAGACAAAGCTCTCCATTTACTGCTCGATCTTTATTCCGCCCCCCTTGTGAGCTTTAAGTAGAGACTGAAGGAATAAGAAATGGCAGATACAAGCAGCTGAAATGAGTTTCCTCTGAAGGGGGTCTGGGCTCAGCCTTAGAGAGAGGGGGAGGAGCTTAGACATTCAGGGGGAGCTCGGAGTAGAGCTGCTACTCCTTTACATTGAAAGGATCCAGTTGAGGTGGTTCGGGCGTCTGATCAGGATCCACCTGGACGCCTCCCTGTGGAAGTTTTCCTGGTATGCCTAACTGGGAGGAGATCCCCAAAAAGTTGTACCAAACAGGCTCGTATTGGCGAGCTAAGCGAAATGATTCAGATCACACAAAAAAAACAGAAAAAAAACACAGAAAACAATCTCTAATTTAAAAAATGTCCACTTACATCATTTTCATACTCTTCTGCTCGCTGAGACAGCGCATGCGCAGCTGCTGATGCTCCCTCCACCCCCTGAGAACACAAAACACACACAAACACTCTGAAACTACAACATTATCTACAGTAAAAAACTACAGTGAGTTTCTGTACAGCCTGTCAGTGAACAGGACGCAGCAGTCAGGACCCTTGAAGGGGTCTCTACATATTTAAAGACCCCCTCTCTCACGTTAACACACATCAGATGATTTAAGTACATATTAAACTCTTGATCTGACAGCAGCAGTACAAACACATGTCATCATGTCATTGTTCAGTGTTTATCACCTGGACTGTTTCTGCACGTGTTCATAACCAGGCTAGCTGACTTAGCATTAGCAACGTGAGCTAACTGTCGCGCCTCGGTGACAGCTTTAACTTTAATTCTTTCTCAGATTCGTCACAGAGCTTTAATTCAGCCTGTTCACTGATGTTCACCTTTAAAACTTATTTAATTAACTCATGAGTTCACAGCTTGAGTCCTACCAGAGAGGCTAGTCCGTTATCCGACGCCATTTCTCTCAAACAAAGATCGTCTATGATGACAGATGGATCTCTTTAACTGTGCGCATGCTCTGCTCGTCTGTGGTGCTGAACACCTGAATGTTGTTACACTGGTTTATGTAGACAGATGTCTGAAGAGCCGAAAGCAAATGTGCACCCATGGTGGACAATAAAGATTTATTCTGTTCTATTGTTTGTGTGGGGAACTCGGTCTATTGTACTTACACTTTAGAGAGTCTTAAAACTGTTTTTAAAAATTATCCAAACGATTGAGACAAACTGTCAGTAAATGTATAAATAATTGCTTTGTGAACGTAAAGTGCGACTTCTAGTGGCTCAATGTTGTCTGTAGCACCTTTTATATGAAGAAATAAAAGAAAAAGGTACCAAATGTAGTTGTATATTAGATTAATTTCTTTAAATGAAGACTCAAACACACAATTTATAAAACGGGTCAATCAGGCTCTTACTCAATGATGCACGCCTCTTAATAAAGACGTGCCTGCAAGTTACTTGAACAAGTGCGAGAAATGGAAAGCAGTGTGCATGACAAAAAGAAACATGTCCATGTCACCTCCTGGGCTCTGTGGGTTAGCGGCCTTAGCGTAGTAGATGATCGATATGACCACAGGATGCTGGCTTATGAGAGATAACCACAGACTGTAAATATGAATGTTTGAAGTCAGAGTGACGTCACCCGTCTGTTCCTGCAGGGGGCGCTGGAGTCCCATCGATGGCGGTCTTCATGCTGGAAATGCTGTCTCAGTCTAACTTTCAGTCAACCTAACGACAGACTGAGAGCTGGAGCTGAGGCGGGTTTTAAGCCTCCTGACAAACCGTTACACCGCGCCCACCTGTCAATCATGTCAGCTACACGCCTTATTGTGAATAACTCTTATCCTTCATCAAATCAAAACTGATGAGTCATCAAAACATTCACCCCCCCGTACAGTGTGTGTCGATCGAGACATGAGCTAATCACACCTATTTGTTTTTTTTAACCAGGCTGTAAACATGTTAATCTCTGCTGTAAAAACAGGCTTTTTAGAATGGGTGTGTATGTGACTTCCTGTACTTCTGCAGCCAGCCTCTAGTGGACACTCGAGGAACTGCAGGATTTTAAATTCAGCAGGTTGCTGCTTGGAGATAACCTGCTGTCTGCTTAACGGTATAATTGCAAAAAATATAATAACCATAAAAAAAGAGAATTACAGTGTATGTTGGTTTCTTGAGTTTGAAGTTTTTAATGTGTAGCCTACAAAGGGTTTGTTGTGATTACTCTATAAGGCAGACTAATATCAAACAGAGTGAGACGTCTCGCGTGTTTCTCACTATCTTTGCTTTAACTTTCACGTTGTGGTGATGTCACATGTTTTAAAGGGACAGTACCAGATTTAAAAAACAAATTTCCATTCTTTGAATTTCAGGATTTAAAAGATGATTTAATGAGCTCCACAGATTGTTTGACGAGTTTCAGTTCACCTCAAATCTCAGATTTACATCATATTTTCACGATGGTCAAATCTTACACTTATGGGCTGAAAATGTCTCTTTAATTTATTTATATCGCTTATTTCACATATTTTTTAAATGCAAAACAGTCATAAAGTTCGATACAATTATTTTACTAGCCTACTTTACATTTCCTGTTTTACCTGAATGTTTGTACTTTTCAAGGTGAAAACTTACTTTGATATAAACTTAATTCTGTTATTCTGTTTTTGTGCAGTAACTGTTGATGGTTTATTCCTCTCCTGCACACCGGACCTGTCTCATGAAAAGGTTTGGATACTTTTTGATCTTAAAACAAACAGATTGCATGTTTTTAAAAGGCGTATCGATGACGTATCGAACATTTTGACGACCTAAATGTAAGTGGCTCTACAGCTCGTTTCCTCTGAGCAGGGTCGATGATCAGGTTTCGTGCAGCAGACACGATGTGAGGTGATGACACAGCGCTGATTGTTCCCTCTGAGAACAGGAGCAACAGGTACACATCTCCTCAACCTCCTCCTCCTCCTCCTCGTGGGAGTCACAGCAGCTCTCTGTCCCGCTTTTAAAGGCAGGCTGCAGCCACATCCCACATCACCCCTCCTCTTCCTCTTCCTCCTCCACCCTTCCTCCTCCCTCCTCCTTCCTCTCCTCTCCCCCCCCTCCCCCCCTCCTCGGCTCTGACAGTCGAGGAGCGTCACCGTCTCTCTCCTGGATGATCTCCGGCTGCTCTCTGATTCGTTCCGCGCTGTTTGGAGGTAAGAAGCAATTTTTCTCTTTATTCTCTATACGAAATGAGATTCCGTGTGTGTTCCGCGTCCAATCCGGGATATCCAGCGTGTGTGCGTGGTTTTTTTTTATTATCGCGCTGCTGCAGACGCACTTGCCTCCTCGCCTCCTCTCCTCCCTCTTCATCCTCGGTGTTATTGAGCCTGAAGGCCACATGATGAAGAGCAGCAGCCTGTTTAGCGACGAGCAGATCTTTTCAGATCTGCAGTCTGTCTGTGTGTGTGTGTGTGTGTGTGTGTGTGTGTGTGTGTGTGTGTGTGTGTGTGTGTGTGTGTGTGTGTGTGTGTGTGTGTGTGTGTGTGTGTGTGTATGTGTATTTGATGAAACCTGGATAAAAACATGCAGATGTTCTCAGATCCGCTGCAGGAGACACCTTCCTCCTCCTGTTTCTGTCTTCATCACAGTGATCAGGGTTATTATAACATCTCTGAACACACAGCAGGCTGCAGGAAGGCCCGGGCCCCGAAGACATCGAATCATATAAATATTCTAAAAGCTTTCTGCCTCCAAAGATTAGAGGTCTGCTCTCATCACTGAGAAGATATTCAGTTTATATCGCCATCATGCACAGAGCACACACTCACACTCACATTCACATTAACGAAGGTGTAACCAGTAAATGTTTGGTGTTTAGACTCGGTGGCGATTCTGGAGTGTGCTGGGGCCCTCGGCATGAAATGAATCGGGGGCCTCCTTCAACCACCATCATGTCCGCCCGTGTCCTGACGCCCCTCCTCTTCATTTCCCTTCAGTGACAGGAACTTTGGCTTTCACAGTCATGATGCATGAGATGCTGAGCAGGGCAATGAGAGTGAGTGCTGTTAGATGGGGCCCCATTAGGGAGGTGCCTGCCTTACCTGTTGACAAACCTCTGTTTAAACTCTAACCATGGAGCATTCCCACGATTTATTAAAACATTAAGTCTCTGATAAATGTAGTGCCCTGTGATTGGCTAGCGATCAGTCCACTGTGTAACCCCGCCCCTTGGCCAATGACTGCTGGGATTGGCTCCAGCCCCCCCAACGACCCCGAACAGGAAAAAAACGCTCTACATGATGGATGGATGGATGTTCAGTTTTGACGCCTTATAATGTCTCTCTGTCACAGGAACAGGCGAGCAGACACCAAAGATAACAAGTTTATAAAGAACCAGAGACATTCGGTAATCCATTTATGTTTGGCTTTAACTCGGATCGTCGTGTTTGACTGGTTGATTCTACATTTTTTGTCGCGCACATGGAAAATTGAACTCAAAAAGAGTGACAACAGACGAAGAAAAAAAGAGAACTTAAATCCAGTAAAAGAAGCTGAAGACCTCTTTCAATCACAGTTTTTTATTTTAATATTGTAAACTGTAAACAGACCTGAGTTTGTTTATTTCTTTTCTAGTCTTCTGACCAATCAGAGCGCTTTCACACTGCAGGTCACACCTACACATTCACATGCTGCCGATGAAGCAGTGGGAGCATCTTGGGGTTAAGTATCTTGCCCAAGGACCCATCAAACATGTGGCTGCAGGAGCTGGGAATTGAACCCTGACCTTCCAGTTGAGAGACAACCTACTCTACCACTGAGCCACAGCCGCCACCATATTGTGTCATACTTACATTTATACGCCCGGCCCGAATGGTCTGAGGTGGCGTGCAGACAGTCTAATGGTTGTGCAGCGATCGCAGGGAATAAACATCACCACCCCCTCCCAAATCCTTCCATCCTGATTTTAAACATTAACTCAACAACACCAGCGACTCTAGAGCCTGCTGGGGCCCCAAACAAAACTCACTTTTGGGGGGGGGGGACCCTCCGACCAGCACTCATCCCCATTATGTTAAAAAATAATCTGAAGTTTTCACAGGAATATTGGAACGCTTAGCAGTGAGGGCTTTCAGATGGGGCCACCTTGGGACCCCTGGTCACCTACTGACCAGGGGCCACCTACTGATCCGGGCCCTACTGACCAGGAGCCCCCTACCACTGACCAGGGGCCCTCTACTAACCAGGAGCCCCCCTACTGACCAGGAGCCCCCCTACTGACCAGAGGCCCCATGCAGTTGCCTGCCTTGCCTGTTGACCAGCAGCACCTCTGCTACATCATGTGTGATATATTCTGAACCTTAAAGACCGGTTCAGATGTCCCGTTTCTGGTCGTCCAGGTCAGGGTGAACTGGTTGAAGGTCTTGTGGTACTCGAGATTGGTCTTGGTCTCGAGATCTCAGAATCTACTTGGTCTTGTCTCGGTCTCAGACTGGGCGGACTCCAGATTCTAAATCAAGACTCGGTCTCGATTAAATGTCTTGGTCCTGTCTCGGAGCACCTTGCCTGCCTTGGTCTTGGTCTTGGTCTTGGTCTTGGTCTTGGTCTTGGTCTTGGTGTCACCCTGCCTTGTTCTTGGTCTTCGTCTTGTCTCGGTCTCGGAGCACTCTGGTCTCGATTAGTCTGGTCTTGACACTAGGTAGAGGTGAAACGTCTTCAACCAGTCCGGTTGTCTTTGGATCAACGTTCGGAGGTTCAGATCCTCCTTCAGTCTTCATGTTTGAGAAAGCAGATGTCAGAGTTCTTAACTGAACGTTTTAGATATTTAAGATCAAAACAAATAACTGATAAATATGAACGATAAAAAGATGATTTAAAAATGAAAGTCAACTTTCACTTTCTGAGGAAACATCCTGATCGTGTTCGTTCTTGTAATTTGGTACAGAAAACGTCCTGGACTGTATAAAGGAAGTGTGTGTGGTTTCACTAATGGGCCACACACACACACACACACACACACACACACACACACACACACACACACACACACACACACACACACACAGAGCTGGTCTGCATTGATGAGTGTGTCAGTTAAAAGCTCTTAGTGATAAGACTATCAGACAGGCCGAGCACTCAGACCTCTGCCACTCCGATGGATCACTCGCCCCTCAGAGACTGACAGAGAGAGAGAGAGACAGAGAGAGAGAGGGGGAGAGGGAGAGAGAGAGAGAGAGGGTGAGGGAGAGAGAGAGAGAGGGGGGGAGAGAGAGTGAGGAGAGAGAGAGGGGGGGGGGGGAGAGAGAGAGGGTGAGAGAGAGACTGACAACCCAGGGATGAAAGGGGCTGAAACCAGAATTTTAAACTTTAGCGTGATTCTAGTCAAAATCAAAACGACAGTTTTAAATGAATCAAACTGCTGCATGCTGTCTGAATTGCACAACAACTTGCTTTGAGCGGTCCATCAGTTCAGACGGCGTGCAGCAGTTTGTGTTGGTGCCTACACGCCCGTCTTATGGAACATATTTCATTTTTAAAGTTGCAGATCGTTTTGATAACAGATTGCATTGTTTTAAAACCGCCTGGTTTCAGCGATTAAAACTCGTAGCAACATCGTCAACCTGCCACAGCTCGCTCGCTGAATCTGCAGACACAGAAAGCGTTTAGGCCTCGCTCTGCAGTCGTACGGAGGGTCGTGTTGCCAAAACGTTGCCGATGTTTTTGTGCAATTTAGACGAGGTGCAGGAGGTTTCCTCTCCTGAACATCCTGTCTGATGAGATAGTTTTTTAATGCTGATAACAGACTGCATCGTTTTAGACTCATAGTATCAAAGAGTATCGAACGTTGAGATGACCTTCATCTGAATGAAATAAAATACTCCGAGCAACATCGATAAGTCCGACTGGTTGACTGTTTTATCTCCTCATACGGAGGGTTATATGATTTGTTTTTTGCACACACTGAAATAATGAGATATATTTTATGAATCAGAAAACATCAGAGCTGCTCGTACAGAGCCAGGCTAGCTGTTTCAGTCTTTATGCTAAGCTAACAAGCTGTCAGTGAGAGACATGGGTAGTTGGTGGTTATGAATCCAAAGATGTAACACCTTGAAAACTGCAGAAGAAGAATGTTTCCCATATGGTCCCTGTGTGTGCAGGAGCAGCTTACATGATGTAAAGCTAGAAAGTGTTTTTAAAGCGTCTCTGTCCGGACCCAAACATCCGTGTGAACATCAACGTTTGACACGGATCAGGTTCAGCTGATCAGAGAAAGCAACGACCTCCTCTGTCACTGATCTGGCGTCAGGGTTTTCGGGGCAGATCGGACGACATTTGAGAGTTTGAAACGGATCAAAGATGGAGGGAGGAAGGTGGAGCTGAGTTTGTTGATTTCTCTGGAGGGAGGAGTGTAACCACAGCAATAACTGTTGAGGAACGGCGGGGCGTTGGCCCGGCTGGGCGAGCTGATAAACAGCGAGAGAGGAGGGGAGGGAGGGAGGAAGTGGAAGGGTGCATGAGATGATGGAGGAGGAAGAGAAGGGAGGCCGATGAAAAGAGGAGAGCTGACACGAGGAGGGGGGGGGGGGGGGGGGGGGGTTCACAGGAGGTTCACAGGAAGTCAGGATCTGTCAGTGGAGGAAATCCTCCCCCTGCTGAGATGTTAACAGAACAGATCTCATGCTTTTAAGGTACAAGGTGTCTTTCCTCCCCCCACCCCCTCCTCCTCCTCCTCCTCCTCCTCCTCCTCCTCCTCCGTCCCCTGAGGAGGCTCTGATAACAGCCGGGCCTGGATCTGATTCACAGTGTTGTTTTACGCTCAGTCTCCTTGTCCCCATCAGTCCCGCCTGACCCCGAGGGAGGGGCTGTCTCTGTTTGTGTTTGAAAGGTTTGAAACAGCACCAATTGTTCTAAAAGCAGCAGCAGGAACAACCATCCATTCGCTCCCTTCATTTCTGTATTCACTAGTATTAATTTAGCATGTGAACAACACATACAGTGAGCAGTAGTTATAGTTACTCAGGAGCATCTTGTTATATCATCTCGCTTATTTGACCTGTAAATGAAACACAGGGTAACACGGTGCTGTGTAGATTTATATGTAATTCCAACACTGAACACCAGGTGGAGCCTGGTGCATGTCATGCTAGGTACGTGAGCTTCTCTGTAGTTACTGTACAGGACAAGCTGCATCCTCCATTGTTCAAAATGAAGCCGAGGCTAAAGTGCAAAACCCTGCAGTTCCTCGAGTGTCCACTAGAGGCCGGCTGCAGAAGCACAGGAAGTCACATACACACCCATTCTAAAAAGCCTGTTTTTACAGCAGAGATGAACATGTTTACAGCCTGGTTAAAAAAACAAACAGGTCTGATTAGCTCATGTCTCGATCGACACACACTGTACGGGGGGGTGAATGTTTTGATGACTCATCAGTTTTGATTTGATGAAGGATAAGAGTTATTCACAATAAGGCGTGTAGCTGACATGATTGACAGGTGGGCGCGGTGTAACGGTTTGTCAGGAGGTTTAAAACCCGCCTCAGCTCTCAGTCTGTTGTTAGGTTGACTGAAAGTTAGACTGAGACAGCATTTCCAGCATGGAGACCGCCATCGATGGGACTCCAGCGCCCCCTGCAGGAACAGACGGGTGACGTCACTCAGGCTTCAAACATTCAGATTTCGAACCTGAATACCCAAACTTAATATTTGGGGCGGTGTCATCCTCTAAAATGTCTGCTGTATGCGTTGTGAAATTTGATTAGAGTGCGGATGAGTCATCCTGAAACCCCATTCATAAAAACTCAGGCTGACGTGATGATGCTTAATGGCTAATGCATTCTCTCTCTCTCTCTCTCTCTCTCTCTCTCTCTCTCTCTCGCTCTCTCTCGCTCTCTCTCTCTCTCTCTCTCTCTCTCTCTCTCTCAAGCTGGTTAAAACCAAACGGGAAGAAGGTTTGTCTCCAGTCATGCAGAAGGTAAAAAATTGTCCTGTTTGAGCTTTGATAAAGACACTTTGATACAACACTCTGTGTCAGACCCCCGAGCAGTCAGACAAACTGACTCCAGACTTCTGTTGTGTCAGACTGAGTCAGCTCAGCCCGACACCTGGCTTCACTTCACCTCTTACATTTGTTCTGATGATGTCACAGGTGGAGGGACGGGCAACCCCAGTCAACCTGCCTTCCTCCAGGGGCCCGAGCACGCCAGGGTCTCCTGCAACCGGCATCACGGTAAACTTCTCAAACTGTTCAAGACACCTGTCATCAATCATCACGCACAAACACTGACCTGATACCTGTGCGTGTGCGTGTGCGTGTGTGTGTGTGTGTGTGTGTGTGTGTGTGTGTCTGTGCGTGCGTGTGTGTGTGTGTGTGTGTGTGTGTGTATGGTGGGTTCAGGCCCGGGTGAACGACCAGGTGGTGGGCTACAGAGACCTGGCTGCTCTGCCCAGAGATAAAGCCATCCTGCAGGTGGAGAGGCCGGACCTGATGACTTACCAGCCACACCTGAGCTTCTCCCCGCTCGACCAGCCGCGCAGAGAGGTATGATTCAAGATTCAAGATTTTTATTTGTCACATGCTCATACAGATGTGCAGTGAAATGTAAAGACTGTTCTGCAAGGCCATGCAATAAACACTCAAATGACTAAAACACATATATACAGTAAAATAGAATATAATGTAAAATTTAAAAAAGAAAATTTTAAATGACAACACACAGTGAAATATGATCCACCAACAACATGAGCTCATGGTGTCTCTTAGCGGTAAAGGATGGCGCTCTGTGTTCATGCTTCCTTTCTGTGTTCTGCAGCGTTCTCTGTCTCCTCCTCCGTCATCTCCTCCCAGATCTCCTGAGGTAAGAGCACGCTGACACTGCTGAGATATTCATGAGAAATGTGTCGTCCCTGCAGCATGCTGAAAACTGAAGACAAAGGGTTAAATCATCAATGTGTCTTATAGTAAACGCTTCAATTAGCGGTCGCCGCTTGCTTGGTAAATCAAGTGTTGTATGAACTCCTGATGATCTCCCATGAGTCAGTCCCTCTCTGACACACAAAGACTGATGTCTGACTCTGAATCGCTGCTTTGTCTCCCTCGCTGTATAAGATATGTGACATTTAAAACCTCTTGTGTCGAGCGAGACCGCAGAGAACAGAAATGTCTCTGTTGTGACTTCTGCAGCCGTCGGTGCAGCGAGGCGTTCAGAGTCCGTCCTGGAGTCTGAAATGTTTCTATTATAAAAAGATTGAAATACATTTTTAGTCAAAGACGAGTCTGAAGCTGATTCAAGTTATGAAGTTTTACAAACTGTGTGTGTGTGTGTGTGTGTGTGTGTGTGTGTGTGTGTGTGTGTGTGCGTGTGTGTGCGTGCGTGCGTGTTTATCCTCCAGTTGAAGCCGCGCAGAGCAGAAAGTGAGAGCGGTTCACCTGGAGGATCCACGCTGCAGCTGCAGGCCGGACGCAAAATCAGCGCCAGCCATCAGCACTTCCACAGACCAGGTGAGACAGGACGATGTTCACCTGCACACATTTAACCCTTTAATGATCGTATCTTCGACGTAACATGTGAAAAGTATGTTGAGCTGTGTCTGACCACGCCCCCTCTCTGGAAGGTCTTGGGTGTCTCGGGCTTTCTCGCTCCATGTCCTATTGTTTACGGTGAGAAGGCAGACTCAGAGGGCAGAACAAACACCTAGCTGTGGGAGGGTCACCCACCTGGGGGAGGGGCTACTGCCCTTTGTGATGTCATGAAGGGAAAATCTCCAAACGGCCTGTTTGAGCACACATTTTCTGAAAGGTGGAGCAGGCAAAAGACAGATAGGATGGACTTTTCTCATCATTGGGGGGTTTGTAGACAGACTAGAGACACATGTTAGAGTTAGAGGAACATGGTGACGTGGATTTAATATAATATGTGACCTTTAAAATTAAAAAGTTTAACCACTGACTTTATACTTGACTACAAGCTTTCTTACTTTCATAGTGTGTCTTTGCCCTGTAGGTCCTCGCTTACAACGTTATAGACTTCCAGTCTTTGTTGTGCACAAGTTTTGTAGTTTTGTTAGGGTTGTAACAAAAAGGCCACCGAGTAAAGGGTCGGTGTTAACTATCTGTAGAGGAGAAGATCTTTGTTGTCCTCCTCCAGGATCACAAATACAAACAAATATAAAAAGAGCTGCTCAGAAAACGTGATTTAAACAGATAAGATGGAGTCTGATGACACACTGAGGGAACCTTCCGTTGAGTCTCTATAAGACTGTAAGTCCACTGAAGCTTGACACTCTCTGGGTTCTGTATCTCTGTCTTTTGACTTTACACCGTGATCTCCAAAGTTATGTTTTTTTTGTTTCAGATAACGGCATGAACATCTACAGGAAACCTCCTATCTACAAACAAGGTGAGCTCTCTCTCTCCTGATCACATCTGAACCCGTCTCTGTCTTTACTCTAACACATGTTCATGTCGTGTCTGTGTCTGTCTCTGCAGATGTGAACAAACATGTGGAGGGACGCGGCGTCATCCAGTCCGCTAAGTTTCCTGCAGCTCAGCCCCCAGACCCCAACCTGCCGTCCAAGATAGAGACCGAGTACTGGCCCTGCCCCCCCTCCCTCGCTTCCATGGGTAAAACACATCAGAACCAATAATAACCCTGTCTCCAGTTTTACTTTGTGACTAAGGTTGTCTCATTTATTGATTATCAGGGAGACGGGATGTTCGTCTTAACTAGTCGAGCGTAACGTCTAAACTAATCTAAACATCAGAAACGAGGTTTGAACTCGATGTGACCAATCAGAGAGCAGCGTGTCTTAACAGACGAACGTCTAAAATAACTTCTGTTCACGTTCATCCACAAACACAAAGTCTAATGTTTGCATCATGATGAGGAGAGAACTAAAGCCTGCAGGCTTCATCTACAGATAGTGTCAGATAGCAACAGTGACATGTAGTGGTGAGATCTGTAACTACAACATGAAGTTAATTATCTCAAATCACAGTCATGAAACATTTCTGAGGCATCGATCACTGAGAACACACTGCTGCTACCAAACAGCGGCTAAAAACCCTCTGCTCCTCCTCATCTAACACCATCACCATGACAACCACATTTGACAGAGGGCATCACACCTCATAGGAGCTGGGGGTAAGGTTTAAGGTGTAACTTCTGCCTAGTTTAGCATAAATCTGTCTCTACCTGAGCGAGGTAGCAGTACAGGTAGCGCACAGCTCTGTTTTAAACTTTTAAATGTGGTTAGAGGATCTTTGTGTTTGTAGTCTCTCACTTGTTAAACTCCTGCAGAGATCGAGTGGAGGAAGAAGAAGCCGCAGGAGGAAGACGATGAGTTTGAAGACCTGACGGACGAAGCAAGGACGCTGCAGGAGCAGGAGCTGGAGAAGGTTTGTGACACACACACACAGACACACACACACACACACACACACACACACACACACACACACAGACACACACACACACACACACACACACACAGACACACACACACACACACACACACACACACACACAGACACACACACACACACACACACACACACACACAGACACACACACAGACACACACACACAGACAGACACACACACACACACACACACACACACACACACACACACACACAGACAGACACACACACACACACACACAGACACACACACACACACACACACACACACACACACACAGACAGACACACACACACACACACACACAGACACACACACACACACACACACACACACACACACAGACAGACACACACACACACACACACACAGACACACACACACACACACAGACAGACACACACACACACACACACACACAGACACACACACACACACAGACAGACACACACACACACACACACACAGACACACACACACACACACACACACACACACACACACACACACACACACACACACACACACACACACACACACACACACAGTCAGTGATAGAATCAGCTCTAATGTCCGCTTGATGTTTCCGTGTTTGTGCTGAACGCAGATCAAGTCCAATCTGGGTCGTCTGATCCTCAAGGAGGAGAAAGAGAAGGCGATTCATTTCCGGAGGAAGACTCAGTCGCTGCCCGACAGAACACACATGCACACCAGTGAGTCTTAGGCCGCTCTCCTTCATGGTTTGTCAGGGTCAGGATGAGTCTGGACTCAAAGGTTATTTCTCCTTCTTTTGTCTGTCTACAGGTTTGTCAGCGAGCGCATCAAAGTCTCCTTCACACTCGGGCCCAGGACTCACCAGAGTAAGTCGCTGTGTGCAGATAAACTGAATCTTTTTATTACCATCTCTCTGCAGCGCACAGCTCGTCCTGCAGGTGGTGCCAGAGATCAGGACAAGTTGTGGCTCTATCTTCTGAAGGCACATTTCAGCGACAAGGCGATTAAAGTGCTTACAGAGTCACCTGCTGGTAGTTAGATAGTTGGATGTTGCAGTTCTTGAAATCGGTCTTTTTGTCTGGAGAACACTTTTTGAAAGTCTCGTCTCAGAATCTAAAACATTTTTACTCAATCTTGTCTCGGTCTCAGACTGGGCGGACTCCGGATTTTAAATCAAGACCGGTCAAGACCGTCATTGATTGGCTATTTTAACATCATCTCTGTGATTAGAAGGAAAACACCTCTTTCTAAAAGAACAAATAACTTCAATTCATTTGTAGTTTGATTTTTATCCCCGGTTACGGCCGAAACCTTCCCGGTGTTACAGTCTAAAGTGAGTGACACGCCCCCTAAACACAAGATGAGGATTTTTTTAGAGATATTTATAGTCTTGACTCAGTTTTTAGATCTAAAAGTCTTGGTCTTAACTCGGTCTCGATCCCTAGAAGTCTCGGTCTCGGAGCACTCTAGTCTCGGGTAGGTCTTGGTCCCTGTTAGTGTGGTCTTAACTACAACACCACCCGACACTCTGGATCTCAGGGTCAGGTTCAGGTTCACTCAGACTAACAGAGCTCACCCTCTGTGGTCCATGAGCTGGATGTTTTGATATGAAACCTGACAGGATGTGTTTGTGTGTTTACAGATGCAGTCTGCAGAGTTTTCCACAGATGGAGATAAAGGAGGTCCAGGTACGACTCCTCTCCTCAGGGTTTAATGTTCACTTTCTAAAGAAACGAGGCGACACATTGTGCAAACAGCCGAGGAGTCGATAAACCTTTAATAAAGAATCATCATGTTACCTCTACGTTTGTTTCATCTGATTCTGAGAGCTGCTCAGGGTTCGTGTCAGTGATCTTTAGACGACCTGATATCTTTGTGATTTTCTCCTCATTCTGTGGCAGGCTAGCTTGCCCCCCTCTTCCTTTTTTTCCTTTTTTTAATACTTTTTATTTGATAGTTTTGAAGAAAAACAACATAAACTATCGGAATGAGCAAATATACATTTGTATATGGTTTGTATAGAAGATCTACCTATAAGTGCATCATCTATACAGGCAAGGATAAATATTTCTGTTAGCTCATTCTGCGACAGAGAAGAAGAGTGAGCAAAAAGGAAGGGAAAAATAAAAATAAAAGAATAAGATAAAAAGAGAGCAAAAGAACAACAGAGCATATGAACTTATCAAAAAAATAAATGAAAAATGAAAAACAAAATAAAAATAAAAAGTGAGGGGGAACAGCTAGCCTGGCTCAGTACGTGTAACTCCACCTCTGTACTAAACTGTCAAACACCAGACTGAGGTGAATCTTCATGTATCAAATGATGTAACTGTAGTCCAATCGTTCCTCTAAATAAAACCAGACACAGCCTCAAAGTTCTTAAGATCCTGAAGTTTATTCCCTCTTTTTGTCTTTTGTCTTTGCAGCGGCTCAGGTAAGACTGTGTGTGTGGTTTGTGCATGCATGAGCGGAGGCGGAGCATCAGCTGTGACGAGTTGAACCTGCAGCTGCACGTCTGCATGAACTCGCCCTGATCGTCTGAACAGAGTCTGTGTGTGCATCGGCTGCATCTTTACACCCAGCACACTGCGTTCTTCTTTTCTAACTTCCTTTTGTCCTGATGCTTTTGATGTTGTGTGTGAAGCACTTTGAATTGCCTTCCTGCTGAAATGTTAATTAATGAACTTGCCTTGCCTAACACGCTGCTTTGGCATGACTCTGATGTTGTTTCTGATGATGAGATTGAACGCGTGCCTCTTTCACACTGAGTTGTTTGTGTGTGTGTAGAACGGAGAGTCTCGGAGGGACAGGATGGACAGAGGAAACTCTCTGCCGAGTATCCTGGAGCAGAAGGTGAGTTCAGTCAGAACTACTTTAAAGAATCTTTACAGCAGAAGCTTTCATTTCATTCACACGTTACACTGAAGGAGATAGAGAGAGGAAGGAGTAAAGATCCAGAGGTCTGAAGAGATGGAAACTGAGACTGTAAAAGAAGTGAGCAATAACACATGAGAGGGACAAACATGTTTTTATCAATCAAAGATAAAATGGGAGAGGGTGAGACAGGATAAGATGCAGGAAGGATTTCTCCTTCGTGTTCTTCTCGTTCCTGTTGTCCACACTTCCTCGCCGCTGAGGTGGAGGTCGGGGCAGGCCGAGCATGTAGGAGGCCGGCGGTGGTTGTGAGGACGACACAGTCTGATGGCGGCGGCTGGGCGTAGGATGGTAGTAGTGCCCGATCACCTCGCTGTAGACTGAGGGCTCCGTCTACTCGAGGGGCCCGGCTTCTGGGTTCCAGATGTGCTCGGGGGGTCATAATAAACTATGCAAACGTTGCGGTCATTGTTGGTGCTAAAGCAGCTGTGTTTATGTTTATATGGGGTCAAAGGTCATCAAAGATTATATTATTTTAATGACTGTAGATTAAATGATTGTTTTAACATGAATTCTAAACATTCTGATAATTATAAAAATAATGATTTTGTGAATATTCAACATCCTGCTCTTTAAGTTCACTTTCTCTCTCTTTTTCTTTTTTTTTTTTTTTTAGATTTATCCGTATGAAGCTCTGGTTGTGACCCACAGAGGGCGCTGTAAGCTGCCACCAGGAGTCGACCGCACTCGACTGGAGGTGTGTGTCGTGTTTCTGTGTGTGTCGTGTTTCTGTGTGTCGTGTTTCTGTGTGTGTTTGATTAGTTGTGTATGTGTCATGTTTTCACTCTGCTGGATGTAATTTCCTTCTTTCTAACTGTTATCAGGATGTTTAATAAATCTTCTCCTCCTCCTTCCCTTCTCCTTCACCTCCTCCTCCTCCTCCTTCAGAGGCATCTCTCTCCGGAGCAGTTCTTGGAGCTGTTCGGGATGCCGATCGCCGAGTTCGACCGCCTCTCTCTGTGGAGACGAAACGAACTGAAGAAGAAAGCCTCGCTTTTCTAACAGGAAGTGACCTCATGCCTCTGAAATACTTGATGAACCGCCGGAGAACATCATCAGTCAGACAAACAAACCAAGCGACTCGCCACGTTCAAACACCACATCCCACATCTTACTAACCAATCACGACCCTGGATGTGTGCTGGCCCCTCCCCCCCTGAGGATCAGAGTTAACTGAAGGCTGGCCCTGATTAACCCTTTACTCTGACTAACCCGACCCGATGCACTGACACTCATATTACCTGTGCTGCACTTATAATCACCACTGCTTGCAACCATCCTTGTTATGTGTCCACTCATCTTCATCCTCATCTTCATCTTCATCATACCTGTGTTCTTGGTTCACTCAGCTCCAGAGGGCTGAACCAGCACGTCAGGGGAGCAGCTATCCAACTCGTCTGGTGTCATGAAGTTCACATTTAACAGCGGTTAGGTTAAAGGTCGATCACGACCCCTCGGGTCAGAATCAACGACCTGACGACAACGAATCACAAAAACAAATTCAGTCTGGACCAAAGAAAACTTCTGCCACATCACCCGGAAGTTGAATCAAACTAAATAACTCGGAGCCGCGATACGTTCGGCCTTAGTTTAGGATTTCATTTTCTATGTTCCTGAGGAGGGCGCTGCAGTGGTTAGCTTCGCTCACAGCGAGGAGGTTCCTGGTTTGAATCCCCGCCTAGAGACCAGTCCAGGGTGTAACCCCGCCTCTCATCCAATCACAGCTGCCCCCGAGGGTAAAAGTGGTGTAGATAATGGATGGATGACCCGGAGGATTTCTTTCTCTCTCCTGGATGCGAGCCAGTCATTATCTGGACTAGTTAAAAACCAGCTTCATGACACCAGTCATCCTCAGACCACCAATAAGAAACCGACTTCCTGTTTCGGTCCTCTGGCGTTTGTGCTCTAACTTGAATAAACAGCGGATCAACGTCACGTCACGTCTGAAAACATGTAACTGATTGTAATATCTATTTATTAAGTGGAGCTTTGTATTTATTGGAGGATTGTAATTTTTACGGCGCTCTTATTTTGAAAATATTCTTATTGATGTACAGTTGTTTTTCTTGCTTTAACGTTTCCTCTCACAGTTTAACAACAGTTCTGACCTCTTAAAGGAGCAGGTCGCACTAATCCACGTTATCGTCTTTCTATTGGATCGTGTCCGGAGGTAGAAAAAAACGTCTCTCTGCCGCCGGCTTCATGCTTTTATTCTGCCGACACCTTCACACCATCAGTCCTCATTGTTTCTGTACGACGTAAAGGATCAAATAAATCTGAGAAAACTACTTCCTGTTTCCTGTTTTGATTCCCTTACACTCATCACTCTACAGCTGAAGGGAGATTTATGAAACAGAAACCGACTTCGACCAAAGATACAGTCACAAGAAGCGAGCGCCTGCTCGCGTCTTACTCTCATGAGCAACTTTTTAATCTTGTCAATCTTTTTAAAATACGAGTTCTTCTTCAGCTCTTTGGCCGACGTCTTATCAAACACATCTGAAACATTTCTTTTGAGCTAGTGTTAAATTGCTCTACTCTGGAACGACCTGCCTAAAATAACTTAGTTTACAAATTCATCAAACGTTTAAAGGAGCAGTATGTAACTCTGACCCCTAGTGTTTAAAATGGGTACTGCAGTCTAAATTCTAAACATCATAGAGAGCTGTCTCCCCCCCTCCTCTCTAGAGTCCATGCTCACAGGTTGCCATGTGGTGGACACTGAAGCTTCAGTGTTTATCCAGCTCTGCATCGGTCTGTAAGCCTTTCTGTGTTCTAACCTCTCTCCATTTTTCAAAAGCATCTCCAATATTGATCCTAGTTTGAGCACGTTTCTGCTCGTGGAGCTTATTAGAAACATGCAGAGGCTTTTTAGGTCGGATACAATCACTTCTATCTGAACCACTTCTCTTGCCCGCTTGCATCGCTGCAACACCTGTTGGTTTGATCTGATAACTGCTCTCATATCTGGCAAACCGAGGGGCGTCCAAAACGGCCGTGTGGGGGTGTCTTAAAACCGCCTACCTTCTCTGGTCCAAACAAATCCAGATCATTCAGGACCAGAATCTAAAGTTAGAGGAGGACATACTGGCTGCTGCATTGTTGTCAGAGAAGCCAGCACTTCAACATAACATGTTTCCTTAATGTCTGATCATATAGTAAGATCACTTTATCAGGGGAGTATTTTCTGCTTGTTTTGTGTCGTAGTAAACAGAGATGTTAAAGTTGTATCTAAATGAATTCTTGTCCGCTGGAGGAGGGATGTATTCAGCGTTAGACTCAGGATGTTAACGACCTCCTTTAACGTGCTGTTCTAGTTTTACCTTCATGCTTTTATTTTGACATTTCCTCTTTCACATCCCCTCACGTTGGATTTCTTACTACACACTTTCACACCTGTGCTGCAGTGATGTCTTCACACCTCTCGTCATGACAGATTCGATTAAACCGTGGGTTGTACTCAGACGCCCCCGCAGCTCATTTTCTCTCATCATCCACCTTTTTTTTTTTTTCCCTTTTTTCTTTTCTGCCTCGCTGCGGCAAACTTGAGCAGCGAGCCCGTCCATCTGGAGTGAACTGCAGGTAATAATGTGGAGAATTGTGTTGCTAAGGAACATATGGGCCTACACACGGAGGAGCGAGGAGCCAGGCGATGTTTCAATGCCACTCGTCTCCTCGCACAAAGAAACACCTCCCACGCCGGCCGTTGATTGGCAGCCGGCGACGCAGAGACGGCGTCCTTGAGCAGCAGCAGCAGCATTCAACAGACACACAAGCACTTTTCTGTTTTTTTATTTGAATGGAGTGAAACATCTACAGAAATGAGAGGCCTCGCAATACATGGACTCAACAAAAAAAACATCTTTTTTTTTTTTAAATTTAGCTGTAAAGAAAACAGAAACCTTGATTTGTTTTTTTTTAGTTTTCTCTGTACATTCTGTGAGATATGTTTGAGACCCGAACACAAGTCAGAAATGAGGCCTCACTCCCGACATAGTTTACCCACCCGCCCCGAAAAAATAAAGATCCAAAGGGAAAAATCAAACCCACCCGGGTCTGATCAGCACACCTGAACACACCTGCAGCCTCTCTTTCGCTCTCTCTCTCTTTCTGCTCGTTATGTTTCACGATTAAAGGAGATCTCTGCTTCTCGCTTACAGCTTGCCCCTCTTTTCTCTCAGTCACACAAACATCAGACTCACAGAGAAAACATCTGAGACCTCTGAACGCAGCGAGAGGAAAGTGAGCTCGCTCACAGTCACAGGTGAGTCAGATCGTCTGCACCTACAGGTCGGCGTTCTATGCACGGCTCCTCATGATTCATTTAAAAGGCGTTTAACACCCGACGCTCAGCTCGCACATTCTGGGATCAGCTGTGCAGAACGTCTCGTGAACTTCAGGCGACTAAACAGAGCACCAGTGTTTCACTGAGCGTTGATTCATGACGTCGAAACAAAAGTTAGGACGGGAGTTGGCGGCACGTCTAATAACGATCGTTATGAAGATTTGATCAGGACGTTCATCACTTCCTGCACGCTGTCAGCTTTGTTTCACGCCATTTTCTCCAAAGTAGCGTCGAAGTATGACGACGTGATCCTAATTTTTTTTTAATTAAAGAGAACTTGTCTCAAAGATTCGGACGCTATGAAAAGCAAAAGTTTAATCTTCACACGTCGTTTGGACGCGTCACAGATTTACTTACAGAACTGGAAAGATGTGGCTGGAAGGCTCTAATAAGAGACAGCATCCAGATGCATGATGGGTAATGTAGGACGGAATGTTTTTTTTTGGACAAAGGGACAAGAAAAAGGCGATGGCAGGTAAACCGTTCTTTTCCTCGGGTACAGCGCGACAGTTTGTTCAGGGAAGTTTAAGAAATATTTTGAACTTTCAGTTCGAGTCGTGGAGTAGCAGCGCTCGTCAGCCGAAGCAGCCAATCAAATCAAGAAGGAGGCGGGCTTTACTTCTAACTGGGTCCATACAGATCTCACTGAAGAGATGGTGGACGTCGCCGTAATGTTTCCTTATTTTGTTTTTCATGTACCCTCGCTTCGTTTTTGTAGCGTCCGCTACTAGGGCGACACGTCTCTGTGTGAGCGGGGACTTTCAAGGTTTCACCGTCTCTTCTGACTCTCTCAGCTTTATGAAGTGAACTTCAACATGTTATAAAAAGTCTAAACGACACACGGCAGCGATGGATGTTTATTTATTGACCTCCTGACTGCTCGGGTTTGTGACGTCTCAGATGTTTCTTTGTTGAGTTTGACGTCATTGGAACTGAGAAAACAAAAAAGAGAGAAATCGTTTTAAAACAGAAATCTGAACTCGTGGCTCAGTTACAAACCGTTTCTGCCGCGTGGTCGACGCCGTGCAGAAAACGCTGCACCACCAGATTGTTTTTTAAAGTTTCTGCCCCCAAAGTCGGAGTAATAATAAAGCAACCCTTTAATCCCTCCTCTCCCCCTTTTGGATAATTGAGCCTAAATCTATGTGTAAAAAAAAAAAAACCCATCACATTGAAAAGAGGGAACAATTAAAATATACATATATAATATAAATGTCAATACTCGCTCCTCAGAGCTCAGTCACACTATCATTGGCATAAGAAAGAATGGATCTGACTGTGTGTGTGTGTGTGCGTGTGTGTGTGTGTGTGTGTGTGGGCACGAACACAGCGTTTGAATGAGCGTCACTTCCTCCCTCGACACCAAACAAAGCGCTGACGGACAGAAAGGTGTCGCCTCCCGGGTAGAAAAGTCCTCGTCGCGTGTGCGCTTGAGATTCTCTCCTGTTCAGTCTTAAACGATGATATTTAATCGATGATGAAATAAATTAAGCGTGGTGACAGTCGCTCAGACTGAACTGCCTCTTCTCCTGCTCGTAAAGGAGACGAGAGGGGAAGGGAAGGAAGCAAGGAAGGAAAGAAGGAAGGTAGGAGAGGAAGAACAGGGGGAGATAAGGGGGAGGGAGGTAAAGAGCGGGGGGCGGGGGGCGGTTTAGGCTTGTGCGTTGGTGCCGTTCTTGTCCGGCGGTCCGGTGCTGGCGGGCAGGTTGTTGAGGGGGGGCGTGGCCTCTGTCTGCTTGCTGTCCCGGCGGGGGGGCATCCTCTCGTTGATGCGGTCCAGACCTCGGGCCTCCTCGAAGCTCTGGATCTTGTGCTGCGGGTTGAAGCCTTGGATCGCTGGAAGGAGACAGAGACGTGTGAGAGTACGGCGACCACAGAGACTTTTGATGAAACTTTAAATCTACTCAGAGGAAGTATAAATGCAGCGCTCCCGTCTGAAGGACTCTGGAACATGTTTGAATCTGTGTGTGATTAAAACCTGAATCATCAAACCGCTCAGACCAAAAACTAAGATTCACGATTCTGTGTTCAATCGTGTCAGATCGTTCTACCTGCAAACACTCAACCTGCCAGATTTACTGTAAATCTTCTAATATAAGCCTACCACCTCTTAATGCCCCGCCCCCTTTTACTCGCCTGGTGTGGCTGCAGGTTTTGACAGGTAAAGGCAGCTCTCTTAGTGCACAGTTAAAGATCCTTTCTGGTGTAAATGTTTAAAGTCTTTCCCCTCTTTTCTGTGCACCAGTTTTTTCTCAAGATAATTACAGGCCTGCCTCCTAATCGCCACCTGTCATCAAAAAAAGGCGGAGTCACTTCATAGACTGAAGGAAATAAAAGCTGGTGCTGTTAATGGAAGTTTTAAACCAGAGCGTCCACCTGGCGTTCTCTCCAGGCAGGAAAGCGCTGGCAGGGCGCTCGGGAGTGTTTGCATGAAGCGTTTGTGCGCTGAGAAGAAAAGCTGCACGTCCATCCTGTCTCCATGACAACACTCTGTTGACAACGGCCGCCGTATGAGCAACACAGCTCCATTACTTTTTACTGTAGACACGATCGATAGGCGGCAAAACTACGGGATATATCAAACATGTGGAAAAGAGCGCCGTTGACGTCAACAGCGTCTTTCTGAAAAGTTCAGAGATTTTCAACTTCAACGGTCAGAGTGAAAAAAGACGCTGTTTCTAAAGGCGGCCGCTTTCTTGCGCAAACGCTCCCCAATCATTGAAAAAAAAACAATCATTGCGACTTCTGCAGGGCGTCAGGAGAACGATTTTTACCTTGATGTTTTCTGGACGGATTCGGGGGATCGTAAATACTCAAAACGTGCTGATGATGCATCTTTACATCGACCTTCTACGTCATAAAACTTCACAGGAAATCTTTGCTTTTGGTCTGACCCAGCTTTGAGGACTTTCAAAATGTGCAGGTTGATTCTTTTAAAACTGAATCAGACTTATCGTCGTGTGTGTGAAAGAAATGAGTCCGAGCTCGTTTCAACGTGTAAAAAAAAAAAAAAATCAGAAAAGACAAAAGTGCTACATTTACATTCCTGTTCATCATTTAAGATCAGATTCTACTGGGAGCACTGGTGTGAGAGAAAACTTACTTCAGATCAGGACAAGGACAGCATGAAGACAAAGAAAGAGACTTTCATTAAAGAGACATTTCACTGTTAATGTGGATCAAGATCACGCAGAGAGAGAGAGAGACTCTTCTATCTAATCATCAGTAGCCGGACAGGAGAATCATCTTTTATTCTTTAATGATGTTCAACCTGCTCGATCATAAGAAAACTACAAATCTGTTGCCCTGACATTTTTTTAATAGGGCTCAACAGTGAGGTTCAGGAAGTAATTTCATGATTAGTTGTGATGTCATAACCATCACAGGTAGACTGACCACGAGCTACCTAAGTGTGAGACGATGGTGTCTGCTCCTGTAGGAGACACAAGTTCGTCTGATATTAACTTTGTTTAAGAACTACGCGGTTTATTCACATTATCAGGGAAAAGAACTACACTACCCACGATCATAGAGAGTCACAGCGACGTCTCTGATTGGAGGAGCCCGCCGTTACCATAGCAATGTTTCCTGTCCCTTGTAGTCGTAGGCTACAACATATTACAACACGTGTAACAGTATAAACACGATAGCAACGACTAAAGTTAGAGAGGGATCATTCGCAATGCATTGTGGGATGTGTTGTTCCTTGACTCTGGAACAAAAACATGTACACAGTCTTGTACCTTTTCCTCCTTTTTTTTAACCCCCTTTTCTTGCGCCCAATTAAATGTACTGTAGTCACGAGTATTGGGCTAGCTGGTTGTCATGGTAACAGGCTTAACTCTCTTAATATGAGGATTTTGCAAAATGTAAATGGTGGATTTGAACGGAGAAATTTACATCCAAAACCAGAGCTGCTAAAAAAAAGTGGGCGGTCACTGTTGAGTTCTAACGGCTTCTTTTGATTTTAAATTCAAAGGATCTGCGTCCAGATCGAAGTGGGTTATGTGGCTGAGTACACCACACAAGGCCTCAGTAACACATTAAGGACACACGGCACAGACGTGACACACACACACAGATACATAAACACAGAGATAGATCAGAGAGAGATGGTTGCATACCTCGTGCCTCTTCTGCCTCTACGGTGGCTGTGTAAGCGTGAGTAGAAGTGCCATGCCGAAAACCAATGGAGAGAGAGTGGGAACGTTATCAATGCATTCAGTCAGTCACGTTATTAAACACAGTGCAATCTGTCAGTCCTGTTAACATGGAGTCAATCATCATACCGCCCCTCCCCCACTCCCCCCCCCGCTGCTCCACACACGGGCACCACACAGGTCAAAGAATCATAACAACAGTGATATCAATAATAAGAACAAACATCATGTGTTTACACTCCACGCTGCCCTGAAAGACAAAGAACCTGCAGATTAGTTTCACATCTTTTGATGAGCCCTGAGCTGTTCAGATCAGGGCCGTCGTCATGGTAACAGAATTATAAACTTCAATAAGATTCTACTAAAAATCAATCGAGAAACATAAACAGAAGTCCTCGGCGCGCAGTAATGGATCATTTCTTAATTTAAACCGCCAAGCGTCACAGACAACGCCTGCACAACGTTTCCATACGGCGTCTTCTTGTAATTTCTGATGGACTCATTCCTAGCGCTAACCCCCCTGAACGCATCTTTTCGTTAAGATTTTTGATATTATTGATCATTCAAACAACAGTGATTGCATCGTTAAAAACTTGTGGTATTGAAAAGTATCAAAACAAAAAGAAAACAACCTTACGTTAGCTTAGCAGCCCCCGTCAGAGGCCTTTATATTAATCCTGTTCTATTTCAGACTGAAGACAAACATACAGCGTCTTCTATAAAATTTTAAAAAAAAAAAACAGAAAAAATATTTTTTTGTTACATCATGTGTTCTGGTTTACAGTCTTCTGCTGACACTGTAAAAATAAATGTTGGTGCTAATTTATCACGACTAACGTGATAATATTATGAATCACTTCATGTGTAAGGTAATCTCATCACCCGTCTTACAGGATAAATGACAGATAACAGTCAGAAAACTGAACAGAGAATCTTTAAACTGCGTTAAAATATATTTGAACACGATGTGTGTTTATAGCTTTTTTAGATTTAGTGTCGTTAACTGCCTAAAAGGCACAGTGTGCAGATTCTGCCACCAGGGGGCTCTCAAACAACACAATAACAAAAAAATGACGTGGAGGCTGGCGGGGAATCATGGGAGTGACTCTCTCTGATATCCCCCCCCCATGAAAACGGATTCTGAGTTGACCGTAGTCATGACGACCGGGTAAAACCAAACTGAGGAAGAGAATATGTTTACACACGAGCTAATGTATCCGAGTATAATTTACATGATGTCTTCATCACAGCAGCACATACAGCAACAGTACGGCAGCTTTCAGTAGCAGCTCATGCTTCCTTATGTAGCAGTCTTTGACTTGACATCCTGTGTTTCCACAGCAACGATAAACTAATTGTGTCTGTCATGGCAGCCGCCAAGACACATCCCGTTACGGTTATAAAATTACGGATTTCTCTGGTTTTAATAACTGTTGGAAATATTTGAGGTAATGTATGTACTCAACAATAAAATATATAAAATAGGTTTAAAATATTTTAGTGTACAATTCAAGAAATTGTACGTTTAAAGAAACCTTTAAATGCATTATATTGTAGATTAATTCCTGATAGTGATGTCAGCATAGACATCTTTACATAAACTAAATAGAGACACTTTAAATAATCATGAACAGCACTTGATCGTCTGTTTTCCATAAAGCCTGAATCGGCTCGTCTCTCTGCGGCTCGTTGTCTTTAAAGGGCAGCAGATGTTCTAACAGAACGGTCCTTCAGAGAAGGAGAGGATACCACTTGACATTTCAGTCTGGCTGTGTGTATGTTGAAGTGTTTCTGCGGTTAGTCTCTCAGTGTGAGTGCAGGCACAGGGAGTCAGTGTTAGCTGGACTCTGTGTTAGTGTTTGGATGCTCGGCTGCGTTCACACTCACCGCTTTGCAGAGTTCGCCGACCTCCGGACAAAACTCCCACAGGCAGCGTTCCTGTCGGGGTCAGGCCCTTCAGCTGCAGCACGCTCTCATTCTCCTCTCTGTCAACACAAACAAAGATAAAAACTGTTAGAGCGATCAGAATCCTCTGACACAGATAACTCTGGTCAAACTGAGGTTCCTCTTCATTTAAAAAGCAGACAAGTTTACTTTAAGAAGTTTAGGAAATCCTTAGAAATCCTCAGACCACTTTTTTCCCCTTGTGTCTTACAGCAAGAGGCAGGGATGGGAATGGTGTTCTGTTCATGTTGATGTGTGTAGAACTTCTACAATTCAATAAAAATAACTTTGAAAGTTTTTTATCTGGGGTTGCTCAGGGATCAATCCTCAGACCACTTGTTTTATTTATTATTTAACACTCTTAGAAGGCAACATAACAAAAATAACTATATAAACTATTATTCTATGCAGAGGATACACTTGCATACATCGTGCTCTCTAATTTATCTACGTACTCTTCACAAGTTGCCTGTGCAAATTGTGTGCTGTTTGGAATATTAATAAATATTGCTCAATCCTCAACGTGAAGATATCAAGTCAACTGCCGCAGAAGAGGAGCAAAACTAGAAAATAGTCTTCATTAATGATCTGCAATCGGAGAGTTTTGATTTTATAGTACCCAGAAAGCAAAGATCGATTACAGTCAGTTATACTGGAATACAGAGAACAGCCCGTGAATCTTTTCTGGGACATAAAATAACTCTGAGACATTTTCTGAATATGAGCATTCATCATTAAAAGGAGAAACTACTGTGACATACTTCCACAGATTAAAAGAGGGCACATGTAAATCAGGGAGAAAGTCATTAGCCTTTTACTAAAGTAGAGCGAGACTAGGGAAAGTAGAGGACTATAGCTTGTCTGTCTCCCTCAAACCACACAAATTAACGTCTCTATTGGACTATTTAACAAGTTTAAGTTATAAACAGTTCTGTCATGGCTGAAAAAGAAGAATTATTTCAAACTTATCCAGGAATCAGCCTTGAAAAATCAAGTAAATCACACAGAGAAACCTCTTCATTTTCATTTTCATCTTCCTCTCTTTGAGGCTTTATGTATCTCTCAAATATAACCAAAAAGGAGAGGGGGGGAACAACCCACCTGAGCACAGAGAAGACTCGAGCCATCTTCCCGATGGCCCGGATCTTATTTCTGATCACCTCCTTCCTGACAGCTGGAGTTCCACCTGAAGAGCAGAAAAAGACGATGGGAGTCAGAGCAGAGAAATCATCGGGAAAATAAGAGGAGCACACAACAATCAGAACTCGACGTGCTCAGTACACACGGCAGGTGACGCTCAGGTGGCTCAGAGTAATAACTGAATGTTTGCGGTGCACACCAGCTCCATGTTCAGCCTGAGAAGCTTGACCGATGAGGGAGGATTGTTGGATAATTTCATTTCAACTTAGAATCAACATCGAGAAATCAAACTGTAGATCTGAGAACATCCATCCTGAGAGATCACAGTACACGCAAATATTTGAGCCTCTAAAGTAATTTTATATACGTTTGATGAAGCTTGAGTGGCGTCACCAGTCACTTCCTGCAGGGGGCGCTGGAGTCCCATCGATGGTGGTCTCCATGCTGGAAATGCTGTCTCAGTCTAACTTTCAGTCAACCTAACGACAGACTGAGAGCTGGAGCTGAGGCGGGTTTTAAACCTCCTGACAAACCGTTACACCGCCCGCCTGTCAATCAGGTCAGCTACACGCCTTATTGTGAATAACTCTTATCCTTCATCAAATCAAAACTGATGAGTCATCAAAACATTCACCCCCCGTACAGTGTGTGTCAATCGAGACATGAGCTAATCAGACCTGTTTGTTTTTTTGAATCAGGCTGTAAACATGTTAATCTCCGCTGTAAAAACAGGCTTTTTAGAATGGCTGTGTATGTGACTTCCTGTGCTTCTGCAGCCAGCATCTAGTGGACACTCGATGCTGAAGTGTAAAATCATGCAGTTCCTCATCTTCATTTTTCAACACCAGAGGTTACTGCTTGATGGTAAAAAGTCTACACCTCTTTTTTGGGGGTTTCAGAGCACGATGCATCAATTTACACTCCAGCCTGGGTGTTGACAGGCGAGGGAGCACAGAGCGGACGCGCAACTGCTGGAAGTTCTGGGTCATAGTGTGAGCTCTCCGGTTAAACCAAATGTAGGACACCAGACCTCTCATAATGTTTCTGATATTAATAAACTTCTGACATCTTTTTTTACTGATAGATTTCTCCCGTCATGTGAACGAAATAATTAATTGTAAAAAAAATAATAAAAAGCCGCCATTTCTCATCAAAATGATCTTTGCTGCTTCTATTTCCATTAAAGAATAACAATCAAACTTCTTTTTGTGTCTTTGTGTCACAGATGTTGGGTTAGTTCGCTGATGGGACCTTGCATGAAATCAAAGAATGCTAAACACAACCGGGTTTCAAAAGGATTAAGAACAGGTATTATTCGATGGAGCGCGTGAGTGGGTTATTTCCGCTTATTTCACAAATGAAAATCAATTTGCAGTCAGGAAACATGCTTTTGATTTATTTCAATGACTTTTGGATCATGTGAAAGCAGCTGAAAGCAGAACACTGTCATTTGTGTTGTGTTCAAGGACAATCTGAAACGGGGCTTTGATCAGAAAAAAAAAAAATCTGAACACGTGAGAGTCAACGTGAACGTAGTGAGAATGAACGTGTGGATGTGCGACCGCTGTTTGGTGTCAGGTGTCCGACTCACACCTGCACGACGACCGTCAGCCGTCGCAACACACCAAGGTGACAAGGGAGCTTCAGGTGTCTGCAGGGTCTTCACACTTCAACGTTTTTTAATCTACCCGGTTAAAAACAGGTGAACAAGTCGTGTGTGTGTGTGGGGGGTCGCTTCCTCTTACCCTCACACGTGTCGTCTCCTTCTGACATCAGCTCGTCATCAGAGCAGATGTTCAACACGTTCACCAGCATCTCCGTCACTGTGCAAACACAACAACACACAGCGAGTGATGGCACACACGAGGTAACATGAAGAGGATTTAAAAGATTGATTCTCAAGTAAAACACTTCACTGTTTGGACTCCGTCTTTAGATTTTTTAATTACTTTCTTTTTTAATCGGTTTTAAGGCTTTCATGTGTGACATGTTCCACATAAATATATCATAAATCCAGTCTATCCTGTGTAAATGTCTCTCTGAGTCATGACTGTCTACAATGAGTGAGAAGCTCGAGTCCCGCTGGCTGTGTTGTTGTCAGAGCCGTGTTTACATGGACGGACAGCCGGCTCCTCCCCTTGTGTATAAAAGCTGTTTTAGTCAAGGACTAGAGAGAAGAAGAAGAACATACTCACTGATTATTTGGATGTTAGTAAGAGTTTTTAGATCACGCTCATTCTGTGTCAGTTTACATGCAATGTGAAGCTACGAGCTAACTAAAGAGTGCTAACATTAGCATGCTAACAACAATGCCGGACACAGGTGATTGCAGCTCGAACAAAATGACGTGTGTCTCTGGAGGAGAGCGGAGGCTTCAGTATGTAGGAGGTGTGGCCAAACAGCAGTTTGTTTTGGTTTCATGCTGAATCAAAAAGTCGGACATTCTTCCTCTAAAGGAGTCACGAATGCATTTGCAGACAGATGTATTTTATGTATAGAGGGTATGCATTGATGCAATTTTTCCCCTCAGTGGGACGGAGCAGCTACACATTTGATGAAACAGCAACCTTCAGTCGGGGACACGAGGAAAATCTGCTCAAATTGAAGACATCTAGACTCCACAAAGATCCTTACTGTTTACTAAAAGACACTGTGGACATTTCAATTTGGTCATAAATCCTGTTTCCTCCATCTTTATGCCTGCCCGATTTTAAAGCCGCTGCGTTAACCTTCACAAAGACGAGCATGAAGTCACACATGAACTCGGTCGGATCTTTCTCACATTATTGTGAAGTTCATCAACAGGTGAAAACCAAAGATTTAAAAACCTGTAACATGTTGTCAGATTAGAAAAAACAACAGCTGAGTGATTAAACCGTCCGCTCTGCATCAGTAAATCTGATTATGTAACACAATGACACAAAGATCTGAGCACTCATGATGACGTCCCCGCTCTGATACTGAAGCTATGTCACAGGAATAAAAAGTATCCCATCTGTGTGACAGCATGGAGCCAGATTTGTCTCTGCTGTGTCTTTCAAAATCTGAAGAAAAGTTTCGGCTTCATCACATTCTGTCTCTAAAGTCCCTCCTGAAGAGGTCGCCGTCGAGCAGGCTTTGAAAACGATTGACGAGAAAACCCGGGAGGAAAAGTTGAACCCAGCTATTTGTGTGTTTTTTTTAACTTTGAGTTAATTGTCCCTCATGTCACACTCGACCACGAGGTGTTCTTGTATTTTAAACCATAAATGAATCTGCTCACCTTTCTCTCCAACGAACGGCAGAGACCAGGTGAACACGTCCATGAAGTTGGGCAGCCAGTAAGGATGAGGGGAGCAGTTAAACTGCCGGATGTTCATCACATTATTCTCATATTTCAGCACCGCAGCTGAAAACACACAAACACACACATTAACATTTTCTACTTCATCAGGCACTTCCTGTCTCCTGTTGCCAGGGCTTCAAGGTTTCTCTCCTGTTGCCATGGTTACCTCTCCCTCTTTCTCTCTCCTCTTCTCTTACCTTTGTTGTTGTACACATCCAGGTAGTTAGGAGCAGAGAAGATTGTGATTAAAGAAGGGAAGCCTGTCGTCTGACTCTTCCTGTACATTCGATACCTGACGGACACAAAAAAAAACAAAGATTTGACCGACGTCTTGAAGATAAAGTCATAAAGAAAAAGGTCAAACAGGAGGTAATTTAAGATTAGGACCAGTGTTTAGCTCCAAAGACCCGTAAATACTTTGTACCCTCATTAAATATCTTCCTCACAGTTTAAATTACGTTTTCCGAGCAGCTCTTTTTATATTTGTGATCCTGGAGGACAAAGATCTTCTCTTCTACAGATGGTTAACAACAACCCTTTACTCTGTGTCCTTTTTGTTACTCCCTAACCAAACTACAAAACTTGTGCACAGCAAAAACGGGAAGTCTATAACGTTGTAAACGGTGTAAAATACATGTTCTTGTGCTTTCTTGTTTGTTTTTATGCAAACATATAAATAGGATTTCATCATGTACTATGTAGTATGAGCTTCACTCACCCTGCATCCTGGGCTTCGTGTGCTCGTATTACAGACAACAGGTTATTGTTCATCAGGAAGTCACATACTGCCGGGTAACTGTAGAGACAGAAAACAAGAAATCAGAATAATTATTCAAACATCAGGACAGGATGAAGGAGCCGTTTGGTCTTTACAGTTGAAGATGCCAGTTTGGCAAAGCGCTCAGCGTTTCAGCCAGAGATTGTTTCATGTCGTTCCAAACGTTGGTCCATGATGGAGCCTCTGATCCTCCCACAGCTCGGCTGTCTGCAGTCACCTTGGTTGCCATGACAGTAAGAGAAGGAGCTCCATTATAACAAGAGATGCTTTAAAGTGCTAAAATTAGAGATCAATTAAGGTCAGGGCCCGTACGGAGGAGGAGGTGCGGGAGGAGGAGGAGGTGTGGGAGTTTGTCTCTGATCTTTACAGAACTGACTTTAGAAAATTATTCACTAAAAGCCTCTTTACAGGCGATTAATACCAAACACTGTAGTCGCCGTTCGGTCACTTTATAAGCACCTTTTCATCTCCTGACATTTTAACAACACAAAGGGAACAAACACACCTGACTCGAACCTCTGGGAAAGTCTGACCTCAAGAGCTCAAACACTTTCACCAGCGTGTTAGTCATAAATGAAGGAAGAAAACATCATGACAGAGCTTTTCATTTTGTTATTGTCTGAACGCCTGTCGGGTGGACGTGATGAAATGTGTTTCATAACTTCATGAATCGGTTGGATATTATTTACACTTTTTTGCAGCACTGACTCGTGAAACTTTCAAACATGATGCGTTATATTTAAAGAACCTTTCCGTCACATCATGCATGACTGAGAGAGACTTCAAACAAAAGGCGACCTGCTCGAGCGTTCAGGTTGTGTTGAACCGTGCTGGGTGGGACCGATTCAGCAGAATAACACTAATCCTCAGAGCAGGATCTATTCGAGACATTTACAGAAACTGTGATGCTGTGTCATTTCTCAGCGAGTCATTTAAACGTCCGGCTGCTAAAACAAACTCCTGCAGGATGAAAGAGGCTTTAGAGCGGCAGCTGCTCCCCTCCCCGTGACCTCCATGTGGTGTCAACATGGCAGATTCAGCACAAATATTAAGACAGGCCAGAGAATGCTAATATTTATTTTCAGTATCAGTCTGACAGCGGATTGAACCAGCGGTCACTTATCCAGAGATAAGCCATTGTTTGTAAAAGCTTTAATCAGCTCAGATTAGCGCAGAGCTGCTTTTTGTCTTTTTTTTTTTTTAATGAGAAACGAGCAGCAGAGGAAACATCCTGCAAAGTCCTACCTGTAGAAACAAGTCGTGCAGAGAGACCTACCTGTAGAAACAAGTCGTGCAGAGAGACCTACCTGTAGAAACAAGTCGTGCAGAGAGACCTACCTGTAGAAACAAGTCGTGCAGAGAGACCTACCCGTAAAAACAAGTCCTGCAGAGAGACCTACCTGTAAAAACAAGTCCTGCAGAGAGACCTACCTGTAAAAATAAGTCCTGCAGAGTCCTACCTGTAAAAACAAGTCTTGCAAAGAGACCTACCTGTAAAAACAAGTCCTGCAGAGAGTCCTACCAGTAGAAACAAGTCTTGCAAAGAGACCTACCTGTAAAAGCAAGTCCTGCAGAGTCCTACCTGTAGAAACAAGTCCTGCAGAGAGTCCTACCTCTAGAAACAAGTCCTGCAGAATCCTACCTGTAGAAAAAAGTCCTGCAGAGAGTCCTATCTGTAGGAACAAGTCCTGCAGAATCCTACCTCTAGAAACAAGTCCTGCAGAGAGTCCTACCCGTAGAAACAAGTCCTGCAGAGAGTCCTACCTGTAAAAACAAGTCCTGCAGAGAATCCTACCTGTAGGAACAAGTCCTGCAGAGACCTAGCTGTAGGAACAAGTCCTGCAGAGACCTAGCTGTAGGAACAAGTCCTGCAGAGTCCTACATGTAGATTTAAGTTATTCAAAGAATCCTACCTGTAGAAATAAGAGCAGCCTCTCACACTGTTGTGGCTGAAGTGTTCCTGGGTCTTCTCTGAACCGTAGTCCTCGCCCGGGTCAGACCACAGCAGGTCACACATCGGTCCGAATGCAGGAGGCTCTTTAAACCGGTCCAACTGTGCACACACAAACAGTTATAATTAATAAGACACTACATACAACACAAATCTGAAGTCCAGGGACTGTGATTGTCGCCCCCTTCTTGTTACCTTCCGAATGTCGTCCAGACAGGTGACCTCAGGGCTCAGTCCTCCGTGCACACAGAGGAACTGCTGGTTGAGGAGAGCAGCCAGAGGGAGGCAGTCAAACGCATCCATACAGGCGTCATAAACACGCTCAGAGTACTTTATTTTACCTGCACAGAACAAACACACACAGGTCAGTAAAGAGAGACACAGTTTGTCTCTGACACAGACACAAACCCAGAAGCAGGACTTACACTCCTGTTTGAAGGTGAAGTACTCTGTGAGATGCCGGCACTCGTGGTTGCCTCTGAGCAGGAAGAGAGTGTTCGGGTGGTTGATCTTCAGAGCCCACAGGAACAGTACACACTGCAAACAGATACACACACATACACATGAGGATGGGTTAGACCTATATTCAATCTTAACATCAACCTCAGATTGAATTTTGTCAACTCACATCCTGTTCGACAAGCCCTTTTTACACATTAAACATTTCTAGAGGATTTCAGGAGGACTGCCTCTAAAATCCTCCTGACCTGGTTGTTCACACATGCACCTCAAGGCAGGAGATTATCCCTGTCAGACGGGGGGGGGGGGAGGTCGTCTCCTGAGGTAAGACGAGACGTAAAAAGACTGATGTGGAAGTAGCAGAGTCCTCTATACGACGTTATAATGTGAATATTTGTCCTTCTATCGGTGCTACGTGTAGTGGAACAGAATCTCAATGTGAACTAAAGAGTGGAGGAGAACATACTGGAGAACAGGAAACATGCAGCAGCAGGTTCATTAGAGCACGGAGATGGTAGAGGTGGCGTGCAGACAGTCTATGGTCGTGCAGCGATCATAGGGAATAAACGTCACCACCCCCTCCCACTCACTCCAGGTGAATTCTCCTGATTATATCCTGATGCGTTCTCACATCAGCTCACTCTGACTTTCTCCAGAATAAATACGAGGAGGCTGGAGGAGAAACTCCCGTTCACACATGATTACTCGAGTTTTGTGCGAGTGTGAACAAGGCGTTACAGTCTCCTGAATCCTCCGATGAGGACTACCTGCTTTGCCATACAGGAAAGAGACAAGGTGATAAAATGTTGTCCACATCATTAGATGTGCATCTGAACATGTTGGTCCATGAATTGCAAAAGGCTGCTTAAGTCCTGCAGGTGACTGTAGAAAAAACATCTGGAGCACAGAAGACTGCATTGAGACTTTGAGCATCTGAGTATCTAACTCTGAGTCTTTGTGATAATAAACTCTGAGATGTGCATTTGTGATCGTTAAAAGAGCTCCTGCACGACTTCCAAACAAACCCACTCGCTCAGCTGTCAGTCATCCTTCTCTATGTTTTTTTTTTTAATGCAGAATCGAACCACCTGTTAAACATTTCAGCTTTTTATTTTTACGGAGGCGTCCAACAGGAGCTGGATCTGACCAGCTGTTCACCCAGAACCCAACAGGCCGGAGCACAGAGGAGGAGGAACAAGGACAAGGATGGATTCACTCTGCAGCGCCGTCACATCACAGAGCTACTCTGCAGTATCATTTAACACAACATGCAAACTCATCACCTTCATATGAAAATCTCGAGAGAAGTAGAAATATGATCGTACAGGAGGAGCTTTCAGAGGCACGATGTTGAAGAGGTATAATGCATCTACTTGTTGAATTAACCACAAACTGGGGCGCTGGTGGCGCAAAGGTTAGTGTGTGCGCCCCATGTATGGAGGCTGTCGTCTCAAGCGGGCGGCCCAGGTTCGCTTCCCGCCTGTGGCTTCTTTCCCGCATGTCATTCCCCACTCTCTCTCTCTGATTTCCAACTCTATCCACTGTCCTCTCTATCCATTAAAGGCCCAAAAAGCCCAAAAATTAATCTTTAAAAAAAAAAAGAATTAACCACAAACTACAGCTCGCTTTATTTGGCTGCATGGTGTGGTTAGAGCAGGTGGGTAGTAAAATCCTGCAGTGGTTTTAATGATAAAACACAGAATAGACGTCCCCCTAGGCTACATCCACACTACGATATGATCAGATTCTGCCCTTTAAATAAAATACAGTACAGACTTCTCCTAAAGTGAAGCTGATCCATCGTCCCTTCTGGGCCTCCATACATGTGTGGTGGTGTCTGTGTCTGCAGAGACTCTGTCCTCTGACTGGATTTTACTGTTCTGCTTTGTTCTGGTTGACTCGGGACAACTGACTGGGCGGAGCTGGTGTGTTTCCTCCAGCCAATTACAGCGCAGCATGCGAGTTTAGGAGTGGATACAATTCAGTGATTGGACGAGATTCAAACCGTTGAATGTGACGGACGAGGACGTAGCAGCAAAAAAGAGAAAATATAATCACAGTGAGGAGAAACACCAAGCAGATAAAACTTGTTCTAAATCGAGGGTGAACCTTGTGTTGTCTTTTACCCGTGGACGTGGAGTTGGTCTACTTCCTGTTGGACAGGAAGGTGACAAACACCGGCGGTTAGCTTGTGCTAGCGTGCGTTAGCTTGCAGTGTAGCTACAAGCAGTAAACGTACACACTACGTCCTGCAGGGGGCGATGAGCCCAGGAGGAGGGGCCCAGTTTGGATGTTTACAAACATTTCTACGGACTCCTCCTTTACAGTATTGAGGATTTGACATTTTAAACTTTCTTTCAAAGAACAAAGAAAAGTCGTTTTAAATATACAACAAATTTGTCTTGGCGTTACTGGTGCAAAAACAAGGAAAGTAAAAATAATTTAAAAAAAAGGAAGTCAGTCAACAGCAGTACTCCTACTGTTTGGAAACTTAACAGAACTCTATAGAAAGATATAAATGTGTCTGATGAACTTCAGAGACGACGTACAGCACAGAGAGATAATAATCCAAATTAAATGTTTTATTTTGAAGCAAAGAGTTGGACGTGTTGATTTAATTTGTTGCTACAATAATGGAGCCGCAGTGCTCTCCGGTTTCTAACGAACACTGGCTCCTGTTCTCGTCTCTGTTGGTTTTAAGAAATCTATGCAGACAGCTTTGATTGGAACATTTCTGTGTACAGGGCCATGCTGGGTAAACTGCCTTCATACTTAAATAATCTCATGATACAGACCTCCAGCAGTTTCTTTATTCAGTTAAAGAGTCCACACAAGAAAGAAACCGACTCATTAAGCTGGATTCAGTCTGCAGCTCTCGTATTTGATGTCTGTGTTTTTCACTGTAACTGGTGTGTTGTCTCCCCCGCAGAAATCCCAGGGAATTTATTGGTCTGATAACAGTTATATGAAGATTTTAATCAAACTTTCAGAGAACTTTTCTTTAGTTTTACCCGAGGCCACAATCTACACATCTGTCAGACCACCACAGCTGCTACAATCTACACATCTGTCAGACCACCACAGCTGCTACAATCTACACATCTGTCAGACCACCACAGCTGCTACAATCTACACATCTGTCAGACCACCACAGCTGCTACAATCTACACATCTGTCAGACCACCACAGCTGCTACAATCTACACATCTGTCAGACCACCACAGCTGCTACAATCTACACATCTGTCAGACCACCACAGCTGCTACAATCTACACATCTGTCAGATCACCACAGCAGCTACAATCTAAACATCTTGTCAGACCACCACAGCTGCTACAATCTACACATCTGTCAGATCACCACCGCTGCTACAATCTACACATCTGTCAGATCACCACAGCTGCTACAATCTAAACATCTTGTCAGACCATCACCGCTGCTACAATCTACACATCTGTCAGATCACCACAGCTGCTACAATCTACACATCTGTCAGATCACCACCGCTGCTACAATCTAAACATCTGTCAGATCACCACCGCTGCTACAATCTACACATCTGTCAGATCACCACAGCTGCTACAATCTAAACATCTTGTCAGACCATCACCGCTGCTACAATCTACACATCTGTCAGATCACCACCGCTGCTACAATCTACACATCTGTCAGATCACCACAGCTGCTACAATCTAAACATCTTGTCAGACCATCACCGCTGCTACAATCTACACATCTGTCAGATCACCACAGCTGCTACAATCTACACATCTGTCAGACCACCACAGCTGCTACAATCTACACATCTGTCAGACCACCACAGCAGCTACAATCTACACATCTGCAGTCCGCCGATTGGTCAACAGAATTGTCACTTCCTGTGCGGTACTAAAGGTCAAACACAAAACGCGCCATGTTTTAATATCCTGCAGATTCAGAGAGAGAGAGTTATTTCAAGGCTGTTTTTGCGACTAATGTCAGCGTGTAGCTCCGCCCAATGGATGACCTCGGAGGTGCAAACCTTCCTAGGAATCATTGATCTTAGTTTACTGTGTCACGTTCTTCTTCTTTGTTGAATCTGTTGGCAATTATTCGCTGGATAAAATGAAGCCTTAAAAATGTATTTCTTATCTCAACAACTTTTTAAAACTCTGCAGCAAAGAGTGAAGATATGCAGAGTTACCAGAACACATGACCTATTTCGTTAGTCGCAGTTTTTCCGGAAACCATTAAACAATCAGAAAACATTTTATCAACCACAAAAGGATATTTAGACGTTGGAAGTGATTTCCTAATTTAAGTGGTTACTCAGTAGATAAGCAGGAGTCTGAAGTCTTGTTTGTTTCTCTCTCCGTGGTCGGGGAGGAGAAAGTGTTCCAGGATGTCCACTAATCCTCACAAGGAAACACGACAGCAGCTAATAAAGACGTCCTGCCATCCGCAGATACACACACTCCTTCCAGAAAACACACCCTGCGCCCGCCCGCCCCGATTGTTTTGGAAACGGGACACACACTGAGGCTGCAGGCGTGTGTGTGTGTGAGGGTGGGGCTCTGAGCATGGCAGCAGACAGTGTGCCTTTCATTTCCTACGACTATTTAAAGACGCTGTGCTAAGCCGCGCTCCAAATGTCAGAAACACAAACATGTGAGAGCGAGGCGAGAAGAAGCGGTGGTCTCTTACCTCGATGCTGAAGTACCCTCGGTCCACGTAGTCGCCCAGGAACAGGTAACGGGTGCTAGCCGGGGACCCGCCCACCTCGAAGAGCTTCATCAGGTCAAAGAACTGTCCGTGGACGTCTCCACAAACTAAAGAAAGAAAGAAGTTTCATGTTTGAAAAGATTCAGTAACTTCCTGAAACGGCTGCTCAACGGGAGATTGGATCAATCTGTTCTTCATAAAGTGATTTAAATGTTTGTTTTATGTTATTCATCGTTTTTCATCAAGATGTTTGTCTGCTTTCTTTTTGTTTTGTCCTCCTTTACTGCGCCTTCGCCCCATGGTCAGCTCAGGTTGTTGTTTTAAACACACAGAGTTCCTTTTCACCTTATTCACTTTATTTTGAAGTAATCTGAAACCACTCTAAAGTGCTTGATGCAGCCTCTGGTCTGTGAGCTGATATATTAAGCAATCTGTACCATACCTGAGCACACTTCACCCCCAAAGTCCAGTTCATTTGACCAGTGTGAGTGCTCTGATTGGTGCTCAGGAGTGGTACACTTTCTCGGCCCTGGCACGCTTTGAAGAGGTGTGCTTTGACTCGGTCCAGTTCTTGCCCGAGAACAAGCACCGTGGACATCCCCTCCATTATTGAGCACACGTAGCTGTAATGTTCTCTGACGTGCGCGGGAATGACACATTTAAACATCTCATTCTGACCGACCAACAGACACAAATCAGAGAAATATCTTTTTATCATTTCAGGAAACAGGGGAAATATTTAAATGTTAACATTTTAGAAGCTGGAGTTCTTGAATAAATTTGTAAAAATCACTTAGATCGGGGCGCTGGTAGCCTAGCGGTTAGTAGCAGCATGTCATTCCCCGATTTCTGAGTCCCCTGTTTACCTGCGAGTTTACCTGTGAGGTGAAGGTTTATCAGCTGTCGGGCGGACAGTAAAGAGACGCAGTTACCACGTTGTCTCAGCATGTGCATGGCGGTTAGCACTGGAGTTTTTGAATTAGACGCTTGTTTTGCAGAGAAGGGAGACCGTTTTTCCCCGATTGACTTTGTAATGTAACATTTAAAAAAAACGTGCAACCAGCACTGGAGCACTGTGCAGCGCAATTCAAGGTGCATTTAACCGCCTGAGTGCAGAACAACGTCAGCTGCAGAAAAATATTTAAACAAAGTTGTAAGAAGCTTCTATTTTCATCGAGATGGTCAGCCTTAATCAGAGTATCAAGCGGATTTCCTGCTCTCTCTCTTAGGAAATATACCTGCACCTACCAGCGTGCTGAAGTATCATCTCTGTACGGGAAAAACTGCACTTAACTTGATGGTGGAGTTTAATCAACGGCCTTTAATCATAAGATTAAACGTTTTTATTTAGCTGCAGACAAAACGCCATCAGAGACAGTAAACGGTTTTATTGCGTGTTTCTCTCACAGGCTCTGTTGATTCTTGAAAGGAGGAAAACCTCTGGATAATTCAGCTCTCATTAAAACTTCCTACAAACACTGAAGGGTCATTTTCAGACTCCGTGTGTGAAGCTGATCTCCTGTTCCTGCATCACTCGCCATTTAATGACCCCGATAAGAAGGCAGAACTAAATGTGTCACCGCTGAGGACAAGAGTTTTTAGTGTTTAAAGTCGGAACTTTTTATAGTGGATACACGCAGGGGTCAACTCAACGATCCTTCTCTTGATTTAGCCTTCGGCCTATTAACTGTCAGATATTTTACGGCCTGATGATTCGCACGATTAACCAGCAAACACGTTTAAAACAGTTCAATGTCCCGGAATCCAAAAACATTTAATTCACCATTAAAGTAGAAAATAAAACCAGCAGAGTTTTATTTTAGAAGCTGTAACTGGCGCTCGAACCTGCAGCTAAAGATTATTTTCTTTTGCAATAAATACGACAAATGACTTCCTGATTAAGAAGATGGTTTGGCCTTAAAGAGCCCATATTATGTTCATATATTTAATCTATGTACCTACTAAAGTATGTTCACAATAGCTAAAGTTCGAAAAAAGTGTCTGTTTTCATGTACTGCCGCTCCATGCACCGGCTCACTTCTGACTCTCTCTAAGGCTCTGAAGTTTGCTCTCCTCGTAGCTACAGTTCGGTAGAGCTTTGAGCCTATAGTGAAAGTTCAAACATGTCAGGTGGCGTGCTGTGTGTGATGGTGGTGGCTGCACTCGCAGTAATGACGATGCATGTGTCAGCATTTTATACCAGTATATTGGTCACACCAGTATATAGGACGCAGCTACCTTTCCAAAAGAAAATGAAGGCATTAAAAGTGCGTCTTCTACACCAGAACGTTAAATATTTTAAAATGACTTTTCTGAAGATTTAAATCAGTTTTTGATCGATTGTTTATCTGGAGCTTTCGTTGGAGTCATGGACAAAAAAGGAAAAAAAAGGTAGAAAAATGAGCGAGCAAATCTTTGAAATGTCCATCACGAGTTTAAAAATAATCTCAGGAGACAAGGAAGATGAAAATATGAAAACAATGAGCGAGGGGAGGACGGAGCAGAAGGAGATAAAAATAGTCGGAGGGCACGAGGGTGGATACCTAAGCTAAGCCACATGTCAGAGAGGGCAGCTGTAGAAATAGCCGGCCGTGCACACTCCGTCTTTGTCTCACTTTAACTCCCTCCATGTTCGCCCTGATGCCCTGAGCTGAAGGTGTCGATCTTTACCTGTGATGGGGGCCTCCACCTCCAGCATGCATTTCTCCTGGCGGAGGATGCTGGCTCCCTCGTTGATGATCCGCAGAGCCGCCTCCTCCTCCAGCCGACCCTCCTTCACCAGATGGGCCTTGAGCTGCTCCACGCTGGGCCTCCCGTCCACGTACAGGTCTTTGACCGTCAGGCGAGTACCGGGAGGATATGGCACCGCTACAAACATACACACAAGAACAATGACGTCAGAGCACACACTCAAAGATAACTCTGAAGACAGACGGGACGCTCTGGAGGTTTAGCACACTACACTCTGCAGATAACTGATCCTGGTTCAGTGAGTTTGGTCTTTGGACAAAACTACAAACGGTAAACAATAAATCAGGGCTGCAGCCAAAAGTTATTTTCATTATCACTTCATCTCAGTCTTCAAAAGTCTTGTTTCATTCGACCAGATGTCATCATGAAGAGAGACAAAAGGAAAAAAAAGAAAATCTGGGACACTGGAGAAACTGTACGCAGAGAATGTTAGTGTCTCAGTTTTTCAATTTAAAGATTCTTCAAATTGTTTATAAATTATTAGACTCATTAAAAAACCCAGAAATTAACATAAAGATTCAGAACATAACAGAGCTCGGCTTTCTGCATGTTGAAAGTTGGTTATTAAGCTAAGAAAGACATCATGTTTAGCTCGTATTTTACAAGAACTTTTGCCTTTTTAAAGGAGCAGTATGTAACTCTGACACCTAGTGTTTAAAATGGGTACTGCAGTTTAAATTCTAAACATTGTAGCGAGCTGTCTTCCCCCACCCCCTCCTCTCTAGAGTCGATACTCACACCAGTTGCCATGTGGTGGACACTGTAGCTTCAGTGTTTAGCCAGCTCTGCATCGGTCTGTAAACCTTTCTGTGTTCTAACCTCTCCCCATTTTTCAAAAACATCTCCAATATTGATCCTAGTTTGAGCACGTTTCTGCTCGTGGAGCTTATTAAAAACATGCAGAGGCTTTTTAAGTCGGGTACAATCACTTCTATCTGAACCAGTTCTCTTGCCCGCTTCCATCACTGCAACACCTGTTGGTTTGACCTGATAACTGCTCTCATATCTGACAGACGTATTTACTTTGTGAGAGCATTATTAGAAACATGTCTTTTCTCGTTGAGTCTATAAACTGCTGAATGTTGGAAGATTCTCATTAGTGACAATAAGCTACCGTTACAGATCTTAAATGTTGTTGATTTCACTTTGTGCTGTCGGCTTCTCTGACATTTCAGGTACCAGTAAACTGATCGGGTTCATAATGGACTAAATGAATTGCAGTTAGTTGTTCTATAAACTTGATCTCACTCTCTCTCCTTCCTCCCTGTAGACTTGGATATGATGTAATAAATGTGTTTGTGAGACAGCTGGCATCAGTCCACTCCACATTGATTTCTCACTGATCTCTAACCCTACACGTCGTATCAGCAGGCGTCTGTGATGTTTCCTGAGCTCTGCTGAAGGAGACGTATTGTTGTTCGATTCTGCAGACGGATCAGTAACACAGATTCCTCCTGAAGGCGATGACGGCATGTCCAGGCTCGACCCGCACACAAAGGAAACAGTTTGGCAGCACAAGGCTGAGCCTGGAGGAAATACCAAACAGCTTAATGCCTGGAAAACACCTTCATCTCACAGGGAGGACGACTCTGAGTTAACTTCCTAAGATGAAGAAAAAAGCTGACTTCATTGTTTAAATCTACTCGTCTGTGGTGGATTGTTTGTACTCTGCAGGTTGGACAAACTACTGAAAGCAAAGCAGTAGTCTTCTGTATTTAATCCATGCACGCAGAGGTTTCTTTTGTTGTTCAAAAATGAGTAGTTAAAGGAAGAACGTGCAACATTATCCATATAAATATATCATGAATAAAGTCTATCCTGTGTAAATGTGTCTGAGTCATGACTGTCTACAATGAGTGAGAAGCTCGAGTCCCGCTGGCTGTGTTGTTGTCAGAGTCGTGTTTACATGGACCGGACGGCCGGCTCCTCCCCTTGTGTATAAAAGCTGTTTTAGTCAAGGACTAGAGAGAAGAAGAAGAACATACTCACTGATTATTTGGATGTTAGTAAGAGTTTTTAGATCACGCTCATTCTGTGTCAGTTTACATGCAATGTGTAGCTACGAGCTAACTAAAGAGCGCTAACATTAGCATGCTAACACAACAATGCAGGACACAGGTGATTGCAGCTTGAGCAAAGGAAATGTGGTCCGCAGCTTGGGCTGAACTCCTTCATGTGAACACGAGTGGAGTGGGGTTGGAGGTTTGTCTCTGGAGGAGAGCGGCAGCTTCAGTGTGGAGGAGGTGTGGCCAAACAGAAGTTTGTTTTGGTTTCATGATGGTGCTAAGGGCGACATCTAATGGATCAAAAGTCACACATTTTCCTTTACTATCGATCACAATCCTCAGCCTTTTTATTCAGAAGTGTCTCACTTTGCAATATTTTGAGCAAATCAGCCTGGACCACTTTCCCTTTCAATCGACAACAATCAGCCGAACAATCTGTAATCATTCATAAGTATTTACACAGGTTTGTGTGCAGCACGTACAGGGGGCAGGGCTTCCTCTCTCCATTTGGGACAACACGAGGGATCTCAAAGACGCAATCTGCAGTCGCTTCAAATGCAAATAAGACGCAACTTGATGAGCAAAACTAAACAAAAAATCTGTTTTTTGGGAATTTATTGCTTCAAACGAGAAGCACCCTGCAACTAGATGGACCTAAAAGAAGCAATGTGTCCTCTTTTCAAATGCATAATGGCTGCAAAAGATGAAGTACGCCTCCGCTTTGCAGCCTCCAAATGAATAAAGAGCTGGCGATGACATAATCTTTATGAACAGATTTCTGCAAATGAATGCAAAATTAGTTTGAACAATATTCTGGTTTCCACTTGTGGTCTGAGTAGTGTCGACGAGTCCTGCAGGAAAGTGGAGGCGACATCAGAGGGAAGGCAGCCTTGAAAAACATCCGACACCATTTCATTACCATTAAGCTAATTTTTTTGAGGTTTTAACAACCTTATATAATAAACAGACATTTGCATATAAATACAAAGTTCAAATCGAGCCATAGATGTCACCTGTCAGGTTGAGCTCCTCTCTCCCTACAGCCACTTTTCTAACAGTAGACGACGGCCTGTGCAGGGAGAGGAAGATGAGTTTAAAGACTGGGGATGACGTTTGCTGCCCCGTTTTGTAAACGCCTAAACAATATGTGCTGCAAAAACGGCTATGTAGATCACCCTCCAGTGATTATTCAGTTTTCCACTAATCGTGAAGTTTGAGCATTTAGTGATTTAAACTTTCAATGAGGCAGATTTGTAAATCAGGGATAAAACATGACAGAAACACCTCATAAAAATCTTACAACTATAAAGAGCTCAACAGAGACCGCCCACTTATCCGGCGGCTCTGGTTCCGGACGTTAATTTTCTCCGTTCAAATCCTCTACTGACGTTTCATAAAAATCCTTATATCAAGAGAGTCGAGAGAGCCTGTCACCATGACAACCAGCTACCGCAATACTCGTGACTATAAAACATTTGACTCTGTCAAAGACTGTGCATAATTTTTGTCAGGAGTCAATGAACTACAAGTCCCACAATCCATTGCGGATAATACCTCTTCTTCTTAAATGTAACTTGAGTCGTTAGCGTGTGTGTTATGACTGTAGCATAACAAGCTATTAGTACATTTACTCTTAGCTAACTAACCAGCTAGCTAAACAATCAGATTACATATGGTGACGAGGGGCGGGAAACATTGCCACGGTAAAAGCGAGCTACACTAATCAGCGATGTTGTTGTGACACTATGATTGTGGGTAGTGTAGTTCTTTTCCCCAATATCGTGAATAAACCGTGTTGTTCTTAAAACGAGGTTGATATCAGACGAACTTGTCATCTTCTCACACTCAGGTAGCTCGTGGTCAGTCTACCTGTGATGGTTATGACATCATGGCTCATGATCAAATCCTCTATGGAGAAAATGAACAAAATTTTTTACTTCCTGAAACTCACTGTTGAGCTCTATAACGTCTGATTGTGCAGCCTTTTTTTTTTTTTTTTTTAACTGAGTTTGGTAGGAACACTGGTAGCTCCACCCACATGATGGACAAAAGTTTTTCAATTTAATTTCCAACCACACAACATCAGAGGTGACTTTGTAGTCCAAAACATCCCGGGTTCTGTTTGTGTTGATGTTTGTCGTTCTGTGTTTGTCTGCAGCAGCAGCTCTAATATTTACCACCCAGACTCGCTGCTCCTGCTGATGTTTGCAGGCCGACCATGCCGAGAGCAGAGAGCTGCAGAAACAGAAACACAGCAGCTGTCTGTTTCATACACGCCATGTTTTGCTTATATTTGACTAGCTGCAGGCACTGGGGCTACGGTGGCCTGCAGGGACAAAGTTGAAGAACAGGATGAGACCAAAGAGGTGTTAAATTAGTCTGAATGTTACAGGACACGCTCAGTGAATTATCTGCAATAAATCCATCATTTACTCTCTCCGTGTTTGAGTTTAGTGAAGTTAACGACAGCAGAAGTTGAACTCTGTGATGGCTCGGGTGGTGCAGGTAAAGTGAAGAAGTGTTTCTCTGTTCCTCATTTCATCAGTGTCGTTGATTATTTGAATACCACTTCCTACCACGGTCTGCGTCTCGTCATTTCACAACTCTGGTTTTGTTTTCCTCCCTTCACTGCTTTTCTAACAATCGGTCAGATCATCTCGTCTGATCAGCTTTCAGCTCGTCAGGTTTCCTCCTCCGCCGCTGACAATCTGAGCTGGGGATGAACCAGTTCATGAGCGTGCACATGATTGGCTGAATGTGTGCGACCTGGTTTGGTTTTACTCGCTAAACTAGTCCACTAGGCCAGGACAGAGTGTGTATGAATATCTTCAGAAATACTTTCTCCACACTGATCCCACCTGAGAACAGTTACTACGGTGATACACCTTCATGTTTCACTATAAATACACACGTTAGTCACGATACCTCATCACATGTAGAGAGGACGTACAGAAATATGCTAACTCCATCTTTTAAACTGCACCTGTTTCTTTAAGTCTAAATTGCTCTTTTAAATCAAGATAGTATGATACATGTTAAGTTAAACCCAGCTGTGGCACAGACACAAAATCAATCTCTCTCATTGTTACTGATTTGTCATCTTGGGACACAGGGCTAGTGCCTGAGGCGGAGCTCCACCCTGGGGCCCAGACAGCCCCCCTGAGTGTGCTCCGTCCTCAGGCCCAGCTACATCTATGATGAATGAGGACAGAATCATTACATGTGCCGCAGAGCGCCGGACTGATTCGATTACCAGCAGTAACTAAGCCAGAAGGCCAGAGCAGATCCATCGGTGGGTACACACCCACACATATACATAATACACCGACACACACACACTCAGAGCCCATTGACCAGGACGCTGCATTTCAAGGAAAAGGGCATCGATGATGAACATGCCCATCAGCAGGACTGTTTAACCTCAAATAACTCACAAATCAGAACATTGACAGAAAACTTAAATGACCAGGATTATTATCGATATAGGGCCGGGTTGTTTAATAAAATGTTGAGGAGTAAACGCAGAAATTCATCATCTAGGAACGCAAGTAGACAGATCCAAGATGTCTTCTCTGTCCAACTAACAGCTTAAGGCCGTTAATTATTCCGCTCACATTCACTAAATATAAATGCAAGCAGCACTCAGAGGATGGGAATGCTAATCTGGGAATATTTTTGGCATTTTTGTGGGAAAACAAAAATAAATTTTCCAAACAGCTGACTTTCTTTAAGTCATTTTTTGGACCTTATTGCCTTTAGGACAGACACAGACAGAGACGGGAAGTGTTGGGAGGACGACACCCAGCAAAGGACCAGGGTCAGATTTGAACCCATGGCCGCCGATACGAGGACTGTACATGGGGCTAAACATAATCGCAAGGCTATCTGACCAAGCTCGGATGCCATTTTTAAGAAACAAATTCATGCAGGGCTCCACAGTTTATCCAAGTCTGTCTGCAGCCTTGTGCAAGTCTTCAACAGCAGAATGTGCTACATGTAGGTGACATGTGGACATTAAATATTGTCTGCAAAAGCAAACAAGACTGGAGAGTGTGAGTGTGTATCTGGGAGTGTGTGCATGTTTTTCGTGCGCGTGTGTTGTCTTCCTGATTGAGCAGCTGTCTTAGGGAGGCAGGTTTAATGATGTGACGCTCTCCTGCAGATTTACACTCCTAAGCCGTCCTAACACACCGAGACAATCATACACTGCGGCTCATTTACCCAAACACACAACTCAATATATCAACCTGCTGATTAAAGGTCCAATCTGTAAGATATGTAGCGAGTTAACTGCAATGAATGTGCGCCCGAACTATGCACTGCACTAACAGGCGTCCAGGAGTGCAGTGCATAGTTTCTCTGGACGTGCGTTCCCTGTGCGACAAACTGGCAGACTTCAGCTACTGATGGGAAGGAACAAGACACTTTTCTACATCCTGTGTTTTGTTCATTTCATGTAGACGTGGCTGTGTGGACTGATACCGGGGCGGCTGCGGCTAAGTTGGTAGAGTCGTTGTCGTCCCTCAGCTGGAAGGTCGGGGGTTCGATCCCCAGCTCCTGCAGTAACATGTCAATGTCCTTGGCTATGACACTTAACCCCAAGTTGCTCCCACTGCTTCATTGACAGCAGTGTGTGAATGTATGAATGGATGAGTTAAGACTGATGGACTCTTTACCCAGCAGCTTCTACAATCAGGGTGTGTATGTGTAGGTGTGACCTGCGGTGTGCTTTGAGTCGTCAGAAGACCAGAAAATAAATATACAAGCTTAAGTCTGTTAACCATTTATTCCACATACCGGACAAACCAAGAGGTGGAGATTAGCAGAGAGATGTCAAACTGTGGGGTTCAGTGCCTTGCCAAAGTACTCAGGAAGTAAAATGGCACCTCTCCAGCAACCAGACTATTTTCTATACTTGGCCCATGAACCTGGGACCTGAACCTACAGGTCATCACATAATGAGCTACTGCCGCCCCTTCAGATATTGTGTGTTTGCTTTTGAATGGTTTGAATTTGTGCTTTGCATGCAGGACTCGTTTCAGAAAAAAAAGAATCTGGGACAAAAAAAAAAAAAAAAAAAAAGGAAAATCAAATTAAATTCAGACGACAGCAGAGAGCGAAGTTGAACAGCAGCAGTGTGTTTGTGCAAGCAGACGCTGCAGCAGCTCCAGACTGAAGCAGAAGAACTGAGAGGAGATGAAGAGGGGTGAAGTCTTGAATGAGCAGGTTCAGGAGATGTTATTTATACAGTGGCACAGCGAGGATGCAAAGATTATATCTGCTCATACAGGAGTTTAAAATGCAGATATATCGTTGACATGAGACGGACGACTTTTGTTTGTAGTTTGAGCTCCTTATGGATAAAAAACTAAATTATTCACAGTTACATCAACGACCAAATGAAGATCACATTTCATTGTCTTCCTGATTCTCTTATACCGTATTCAGACTGCTGCCATATTTACGCCCCTGTGACTTTTTCGCCTTCAATCTGCATGTCCTGAGGGCGTAATGAGGGGACGCAGTGATCCCCCTCTGCACTGTCTTCAGAGGTAGTAACAGAGGCGTTACAGAGGTGAAACGGGATCATCTGATCCAGCGGGTAGCGCAGCACTGTGTGTGTGTGCATAGCTGACTGTGTGTATGTGGAGCTCCCACATCATCCCGCAAAGACGTGATGATGGCTGAGCTGAGGTACGAAACGCGATTGAAAAGCACTTTAATCTGCAGTCAGTTCAACTACGTTTCAAAATCAAACCTTTATTTACTGTAAAATCAACAACTACAACCAAATCTACTCATGCGAGTGCTCATTTCTTTCCCTCCTGGTACAGATGAAGTCTTTCTGGTACATATTGCTGTCATGTTGTCGCCCGTGCATCGCTCAAAATGTCGCATAAATGGATGACATTGACCTGATTCTGATCCTCTTCGGGATATCGATAAACAGATTAAATTACAAATCCCAAATTCGATTTTGCTTTGTAAGACCATGCCGATCTGCTGCACTGTTGGGGAACAGGGAGAGACCCCTGATTATATAATCAGTAACATTTCTTTCCGTCTCTAAAGCCAGCACAAGCAGCAGAGTCGTCCCCCGTCCCTCCAGTCACCCACGGAGGTTTACATTTCTTAAGTCTTGATCCAGAACATCAAGCAGGGGACTCTGAGAGGCACATTCTGTGGATGCTCGCGTCCCGCACACATGAATCTTCAGCTGATCTTTAACCTTCTCTAAATGCATGGGGGGGGGGCGACTGAGACCTGTCCTAACTTGTCAAAACATGCACAAACAGAAGGCTATTAAAGGGACTGCAGGGGCTAAAATTAGGGTGGGATTTTAGTTCGGTAACTCAGTTTTCGTGTCTGTCTGCTGCTCTTCATGTTTAGACAATAATGTTCCTCCTGAAGCAAAAAAAAATCTGCTTTTTTAACCACTAAATTGGCACCACTGAATCTGAAGGTATCCGACAGCTTTGGCTTCATCTGATGGTGTTGAAGCACGGCAGTCATTTATGGGCCTCCATCAAACAGGTAAAAATGTGCACAGACTCTTTAAATATTATGTCTTTTATTGCGATAAATTCAGACTATTGTGGAAAACTCAAATAATATTCTCAAAACGGTAAAAAGGTGTTATTTCCTGACGCACACAGACACACACACACACACACACACACACACACAGACACACACACACAGACACACACACACACACACACACTTTACATCCACAACCATTGAATGTGTCATGACACGACGTTAGCTGCCATTTTTAATTTAATTCCTACATGAAAAGATAAGATGCACTTCTGGTTAGTAAACAGGATCCAGGTGTGCGGGGCGTCGCTCCGTGAAGCAGAACAGTTCACAGCTGAATGTCAAACACCGAGCTGACATCTGGCACTCCGGACAGCTAAGCTATCAGGCTAACTCATTAGCACTGCTGGATTGATTTACTTGCATAACGTGGCTTCCTCTCTTTCCCTGAAACACCCACCCTCCATTCGCCGGGCTCGTTATAAAAACAGAGCCGAGTGAAGGATCTGTTAGCGGGGCTGCTGTCATCCAGCTGCCGTGTTAGCATACTAGCTCTGACAGCAGCCACCGCTAACTTCCTGCACCGAGAAGAACACTTTAACATTAAAATGTCACTCACCCTTAACAGGTCGCTCAATGGTGGAGAGTTTAGTTTGCTCTTTCGCCGACATCCTCCCTCCGTGTTGGCTGACAGGTCAAAGAATTTGCTAAATTTCTAACTAAACTCGATAAATTCCTTACTAGCTAGCCGCGCTAGCTGGGGTGGGCTAGCCGCGCTAGCTAGCTGTGTGTCAGCGGCAGCGCTTCTCTCTGCAGACCGAGCCGAGCCAAGCCGAGCCGGGCTGGTGTCAAAACTGGCGAAAGGGGAAGGGAGAAGGGGGGGAAATGTCTTTAAATATCAAATGAAGGCTTTTCCTCTCCGCTGTGGTCCGCGGTGCAGTGATGCCGAGACGCCGTCCGTCAGCTCCGTCAGACGGTCCAGGAAACAAACGGCCCGCGCGCCGCTGCCGCTGATGATGCGTTCAGGAGCAGCGAGCAGTGCGTCAGATCATATCTCAACTTTATCCCTTTTATTCTGGGACGAGCTGCATCTGTTACAGGCCGCTGGGCTCTGCTCTTCTGTCGTGATCCGATGTGTCGTCCAGACCCTCTGTCGGATTACAATAATCCGCCGCAAGCGGATTTCCTACAACATGGCTCAACGCGGGGGGCTGTGGGTAGTGTAGTATTAATGAGATATTAATGCGCCTCGTTCTCGGTCTGCTGAGCCGCATACACTCAGAGGGTTTACACAGAGAGAGAAAAAACTACAGTCATGAGTGGGATTTATTATGACAAATTAAATATATGAAAACTAACCCCTTAGAAAAAAAATAACATTTTGCATCACAGAAATTATTTACAACAATCAGTGTATTTTAATATAAAGCTGTTTAATGTGGGAACTAAAAATGTTATTAGACTATCAAAAAGGTTTTTTTTCTCTTGACACAACTGAGTTTTAAACCTTAGTATTTAAAGCTGCATGGATACTACGGAGTCTCTGAAGTCCCAAAAACTAAAGAAAATGTATAACTTGTGCGCACAAAATATATTGTTATGGACTTCAGGGATTAGTAGATATCCATGCAATTTAAATACAAGTTATAATATTTTGAGCACAACATAATTCACTTGTGCTCACCATATATCACCATAAATATATAATGATGATATAATAATTATATTGTGCACACAAGTTTTGTTTTTTACTCTTTGGGACTTCAGGGACTCCGTAGATATCTTATGAATAAACCAGAGAGGTGGGGGCACCCCCCAAAAAAGAAAACCTAAAACATTTGAGAAACGTTTTTAATATGTAGACAAGTCCCTTAATTCGGCAGTGTATAAAAAATAATAATCTTTAAATTCATAATCTTTGTAAATTCTTCGTTTTCACCTGAAGCTTCTCTAAAGGGAGAAGGGGGGGGGCTGACTTTTAATAGTAAAACTTTTTTATTTCCTCTGTGTGCCGACTTGTAGAAAACTATCCATAGATTAGCAAAACATCAGAATCCCTCATGTGTGAGTCCCACTCCTTCATCCAAACACAGAGATATTTCAAATTGATCGATTTTTTAAAGGAGTTTGGTAACGAGTCCATCACAGGACCTGTTTCCGGTCCTCAGATGGATTAAAGACACATCCATGTTTATTCTGTTTTTACTAATTAACAGCTACCAAGCACTAACGCTCTGCCATGTGCTCATAAACATCATAACTGCAGTTTTTCTGTCAAACACATGAACACAACACCAGGAGACGAGCGGACTACAGCGCCCTCATGTGGCCACTTGTCAAACAGCTTCATATATTTTAGATACTCCGTCAAAAAGCAGATGCATGGAGGGCTGTAGGGTGTTAAAAAGGATGTGTCCCTCTCCCTAATGAAGGCCAGTACTGCTGAAACATCTTGGTTTTTATGAGAGTAATACGGTTTAGCTATATTCTGGATTACAAAGCCTGTAACTGACTTTCATTGACGAGAAAATGTCATGGCAGTGGTTAGCTCTGTTGCCTCACAGTGAGGGGGTTCCTGGTTTGAATCCCTGTCTGACAGGAACCTCTCTGTGTGGAGTTTGCATGTTCTCCGAGTGCATGTATGGGTTCTCTCCGGGTACTCCGTCTTCCTCCCACAGTCCAAAGACATGCTCGTTAGGTTAACTGGTGTTAATGTGAGTGGGGAGAGAAACCAGGAACACAACAACAAAGTAACCCTTAAGTGTAGAGTGAGACATTAAACTGCAGGTCAGGTGGGGATACTGCAGGTAAGGAGGGAGTGGCTGCTCTGAAACAACAGGATATAGTGCAGGAGTTGTGTCACTATATAAATAAAGGCGTGTCTCTATAGGGTTCAGAATAAAGTCCATATATTGTCTTGATGAAATGAGGGCTTCTCTTTATAGGGAAATTATTTTTCAACATTTAGCATTTAATTGTGCTTCAAAGGTCAAACCAGTAAGATGTGTAGTGAGTGAAATGATGAAGTGAGCTTACTATATGATCAGACATTAAGGAAACATGCTATGTTGAAGTGCTGGCTTCTCTGACAACAATGCAGCAGCCAGTATGTCCTCCTTCTAACTTTAGATTCTGGTCCTGAATGATCTGGATTTGTTTGGACCAGAGAAGGTAGACGGTTTTAAGGCACCCCCACACGGCCGTTTTGGATGCCCCTCGGTTTGCCAGATATGAGAGCAGTTATCAGGTCAACAGGTGTTGCAGCGATGGAAGCGGGCAAGACAAGTGGTTCAGATAGAAGTGATTGTACCCGACCTAAAAAGCCTCTGCATGTTTCTAATAAGCTCCACGAGCAGAAACGTGCTCAAACTAGGATCAATATTGGAGATGCTTTTGAAAAATGGAGAGAGGTTAGAACACAGAAAGGTTTACAGACCGATGCAGAGCTGGCTAAACACTGAAGCTACAGTGTCCACAACATGGTGACCTGTGTGAGCATGGAGTCTAGAGAGGAGGGGGCGGGGGGAGACAGCTCTCTACAATGTTTAGAACTTAGACTGCAGTACCCACTTTAACCACTAGGGGTCAGAGTTACATACTGCTCCTTTAAATTGATGAGTCCGTTGGAGGTTTTAACGAACAAGGAGGCTAAGATAAACACTGATTCAGGTCAACAACAATGTTTATCGCAAATAGAAAGGAAACTTCAGTAACACAGCAATCATTATTTCATATAAATAAAAACCTTCAGTCTCTATTTAAATCTGACTCGAGGTCTTCCAGTGATGAGCAGCTCTCGGTGACACACCTGCTGGTTTAAAGGTGATGTCATTGGCGTATAAAATTGTCCCTCTGAGGAGTCCGTGTCCAGGTGTCACAGAGGTCACAAACAGGCGGCAGCTCCGGCGTCGATAAAGACGAAAAACGCCAGCGAGTAAGCAGGAAGTTGTAGATGTTCAGACGGCGGGAGACGAGCTCCCTTCAACTCAGGGAGAGTTTTATCGTCCACCATCTTTAAAACGTCTTTGTTCAGGGTCACAGACCTGCAAGGAAAACACAAAGATGTCAGCGTGTTCCGCTCTGAGCTGAGCGCAGGATGTTAGCTTAGCTTAGCATAAAGACTGAAAGCAGAGGCACACAGGTAGCATGAAGTTCATAACATATCCTGATTGATATAAAGTACAAAGGGTCCCAGGATCAGGTGATCCAGCTCACTTTTATAGCCCTTAATTTAATAAAAACTGGACTGGGACCCCCTGATCCAGGTCCAGACTTTGAAAGATTACCAAACCCAGACTACCAGATCTTTAAAGTGGACTTCACAATACACGCTCTGTCCACAGGGGGCGCCAGTTGATGGCGTTTGGGGGATTTTATTTACTTTTTACAGAGCGAGGATTTGGTTTTGCAGAGGAGCTCCTCGGTCTTCAACGTGAGGAAACTTAAGATTTATTCTAACATTGTATTCTGACATCTTTCTGCACTTTTTTGGTTTGCACATTCCTCATTTCATTTCATGTGCATACTTTGTTGTGGACAAATCCTCTCAAACTCGATGCCCTCCGGTCTTTTCTTTTGACGGGATGAACATTTTATCGTTTCATTTCCTCCTTTTACATTCCTTTGTTTATCACTTTGAGCAACGTCACACTGTTATGACGACAAACACAAAGAAGACGACTAAACGAAGCTGTTGTGGAGCAAAGTGGAGCAAACTCGATACAAAGATTAAACATCAAACCTTCATCCCTTTTCTGTGTGTAGTGTTGAGGTAAGACGAGATGTGGAAGTAGAATATTTGTCTTTCTATCAATGCTACGTGTAGTTGAACAAAATCTCAATGTGAACTAAAGAGTGGAGGAGAACCCACTGGAGAACAGGAAACATGCAGCAGCAGGTTCATTAGAGCACAGAGATGGTAAAGGTGGCGTGCAGACAGTCTATGGTCGTGCAGTGATCACAGGGAATAAACGTCACCACCCCCTCCCACTCACTCCAGGTGAATTCTCCTGATTATATCCTGCTGTGTTCTCACATCAGCTCACTCTGACTTTCTGCAGAATAAATACGAGGAGGCTGGAGGAGAAACATTCAGATGTTTGTGTTCACACATGACGCTCAGCATGAGTTTTCTGCGGATGTGAAAGCAGCTATAATGAGATTTAAAGTGCTGCTGCTGTTGGAGAAAACATGTTTGTGTGAGTGGATTAGAGATGCTGCTCAGATTGTTAAAAAGGGAAATGAGCAGCTCCCTGTAAATCTTATGGAAACACAACTTTCTGTAAAAGGTGGAAAACTTAACACGTCCAACCAGCCATTTCTGATATAATCATGTTGTGGTTGTGGAATTTTGTTATTTTTATTTTTTACATTTTTATTTCTTTACATATATTTTAATCGTCCTGCTTTATTCCTGTATTTAATTTAACTTAATTATCATTTTTGTTTGTCAGGTCTGTCTTTTTTTTTGTCTCGCATTGATAGTGTTACCCTTGTTGGGTATTGTTCTATATCATTTATTGTCTGGTAAATGAGGACAGAAAAAAGAAACGTGACTCTTCCTGTGACTGCAGAGGAGAATAAACCAGGCGTCTCGCGGTGATGAATGAGTGTATTGACGAGCACCTGGAGTACAGCCCCTCCTCCCCCGGACGCTCCGACTGGAGAACAAACGCCTCCACTGTGCTGGACGAGAGACGAGCAGGAACGGAGATCCTGACCGCTTTATTCCTCAGGTTCATGGAGATGAGCGTGACGGCTCCTCGTCTGTATCTGCGCAGTAAACACAGAGATCAGAGGCGTTCCTGCAGACGGAGCGGACATACTGAGGAGGGGATTCATGGAGGAGGAATAGAGCGCCACAGGAATGAGTCCTAAAACCCGAAGTAAGTTGGCATTTGAGCGCCATGGGGTCTATGGTCTAAAAGTAAACTGGGATTTTCAATGGGTTTGTGGTTAGACGCCTGAAATAAGGTCTGTGGTTAACACAAGCTGAAGAGATGTTGGCGTTTTGTTAGACCACACAAACTACGTTAGGTAATACCCAGACTTGTGAATTTTGAAGTTTGTACACGTCTTTAAAAGGGCGGTTGCTAACAAGAGGCTAAATGTGACTACAGTGGTTGACGTCACAATCATCCGACCGTGGTGTAGTTCGCTTGTAGCATAACGTTAGCTTTTTACTTCTGTTGGCCGCATTAACTCTTCAAACATCATAAAAATGGCGTTCATCTGTGAAGATTATCCTGCTTAACAAAACGCCTACGCATCAGCAACGTGTGTTAGCCACAGAGATTATTTTCTGCAATGATCGAAAATCCAATTCAAAAATCCCATAGGTGAATTCTTGTTAGACCCCATGGCGATGCTACTTCCGGGTTGGCCTACAAAAACACGTCATATGGTTTGTTCTCTATACCTCTGCTGGTGCGCACAGTGCAGGTACAGCCTCACTCGTTTGTGGCGGGCAAAGTCAGAAAAGGCTTCAACTTTTAAAACCACCGGTCCAACGAGTCTCTTATAGAGAACAGACAGCCAGTAATCCTGAGAGAAGAAGAAGAAGGAGACGTTACAGAGCGTCCTGTCAGAACGAGCAGCAGTGGAACATTTTTAACCGCCTGAGTGTGCGAGACCGCTTACAGGAAGTGGGTCCAGGTTTTCGTCCACCAGGTGATAACTCCCAGAGCCGACAAACACCTGTCTCATCACCACGTCAAGACCCAGCGTGGCGGCCAGGCCCAGTTTATCCAGCCACCTGCAGAGGACACACAGAGGTCACAGCGATGAGACGCGGCGTGGAACGACCCTGAAGCGTGTGAATGATGCAGGAACAACGAGGCAGCAACGCCAACATGTGCATTAATAAAAATATAAACACAGAAAATCACATTCATTACTGTTACAATATTAGAACGGGTTACTGTGGCACGGTGTAGTTCAGTTCACGTGACCACGTCTCTACACCACCATCACGTGACCACGTCTTCAGTCTCCATACCGCTGCCACGGGACCACGTCTCCATACCGTGGTACACTTGGTTCTCGTGGTAATGACAGGACGGTTTCAGAGCCGCTGTGTGGCGTGTCTATGTGATCCTGGTTTAAACTGAGCAGCAGCTGTGTGTAGGTTTGTCATGAGACCGGGGCTGATGGGTAATCACTAAACTCAATCAGCTGCGAGCCCCCCCTCCTCTCCTGTTAAACACAATTAGAGATCTGTGTGCCCTCCACCTCCCTGTGTTCAGCTCAACTCTTTAAAATCTGAATCCAGAATGCTGCAGGGCTGCCAGAGGAGGGCTGCTCTCCAGTGCTGGGAGAAGAGAGTCTATGTAAGAGTGGTTTTATACTAGGGACCTGGACCCTGATCCGAGTACACTTGACCCCAAAGTCCGAAAAAATCATGCATGATGGGAAAACACCCTAAGAGGTTTCACCGGCTTACGTAGAGGCTTGAAGCCGTCTGGTGAAGTTCTTGGTTTTATATCGGGGGACTATGGCGTGATTAACAGAACAAAGCACTTAGCGCCCTCTGCTGACTCATCCTGGGATTACTCCACCACCACCAAGATCCTTTACCTCAGGATCTGAAACAGTCATTTATTAGAGCTGGACTTGACTCGTTCTCATTGCCCCTCAGACTCGTAGAGACTCACATGAATCCTGCGACGAACGTGTCCGAAAGACCGGCGGCTCCTCCCCCGAAGGCCGAACTGGTCTCCCCGAGCCACACCTTCTTCCCCGGAGAAACCAGCTTCACCGTCTGAACCAGGAGAGGAGACACAGATTATAACATGTTGTTTCACCTGCCCACATCTCAAACATCTGCTTACCTGTAGGACTTCATTGGTCTTTAGGGTCAGAGTGTCCAGAACTTCAGGATCCAGGAAGTCCTCCAGGGACGTGTCCCTGCCGTTCACGTAATAACTGAAGAATAGGAGACAGAACGAATGTTCAGCGCCAACAAACCTGTCGTTTATTTCCATCACTCTGTAGGAAGACGCTACAGTGGATTAACTGTAAAATCAGACTAAAAAATGAATATCCAGACTTATGGTGACAAAAGTTCTCTTCTCAAACGGTTTGGACTACGAACACCAATAAGGTCTCCTTTAAAGCTCAGAGTCTGGAGTTTCAGAATGTGATGAAATGACTCCATAACTCAATAAAAGGTGTGAACTGAAGCTGATATAACGTGGGGCTTTGAGCTATTCTCAGAGTGTAGAGAGGTCAACTCTCATTGGCTGTTACAGGCTGGGAGCAGTGAATGGTGGCGTGTGATTGGCCAAATGTGGCGCCATTTGAGACCTCTGAGTGCAGTCGCCATGTTGATGTCCTGAGAAAAGTGAATTATTTTACAGTGAAATATCAGGATAGCAGCGTCTGATTTGAATCAGTCTAAGGATGGAATGTGTTCTGGGTTTGGATCTCGGGGACTCTTGGAGACGCAGCAGGCGGTTTTTGTATTACGCCCAGAAAAGTCAAACTTTAAACGGTGAGTCAGTACACAGTCATTTACGGTAATGTGTTTGTCGTTGGTCTGACGGATGTGTAGATCGTGGCTGCTGATCTCAACGCGCAAAGCTTTCAAACGATGCACGCCACGAGTCACACACACACAGCTGCTGTGTATACAAAGTGTATGTTAAGAAAGTAGTTTTCTACGTGAAACCATCCAAACGTTAAAATAAAAGGTGAAGCTACAAACAGCTGTGATCTCAAATCACTTCAGATTTATACAAATAAACGATGTGAGGTTTGATGAACTTACTGATGCCAGGTCACAGCATCTACAGCGTCTGCTCCACTCTGCAGAAATCTGCAACACACACATACAAGGACATACACACACACGCACACACACACACAAGGACACACACACACACATACACATGTGAGATGTCTCAGATGACTTTCTGCATGACAAACTTAGAAACAGACATTCCTAATTGAAACACTTCTGCAGATAATTAACGCTCACATGAGAATCTGTAACTCAGTTAGAGAGTCACAATCTGAACCCAATGTCCAAGGTTTTTTCTCTTTGATGTTAGTGGATTTTAATGTCATGCAGAACCGTGTTAAGATCCTCCATGCTTTTAGATCGTCTCCTTTTACACTAACGCACCTCTCTCTATTCCCGCCTCGGCCAAAATGCCATCAAACGGCTCCAGCTCGTCCAAAACGCTGCGGCGAGAATTTGAACTGGTGCTTAAGGTAAAGATCACAACACTCCCGTTTAGCACACCTGCACTGGCTACCTGGACGGTTTAGAATCGATTTGAAGATTTGACTGATGGCTTTAAGGCACAGAAAGGTGTGGACCCCGGCTGTATCTCTGACCTTTCTATGAGCCGACTGGCAGCCTGACGTCCTCTGTTGGGACACTGCTAGTTGTCCACAGTCCAGGTGTTCTGTTCTGGATCACCTGGACTGGGGAACAGTCCGTGGGAGGTCAGACAGGCGTGAAAAAGATTATCTCTCAGTATTTTATCCATCCTTGAGTCGTATTTTAGCCTCTGACAGTAAGGGCGCCGTGTGACGTCTCACCCCTGCATGATGTCCGTCCTGTGGTCTCTGGGCTGACCGACGTCCGGCCCGAACAGTCCGGCGTGGCGGTAAAGTTCAGACTGTGACATCATCTCCCTGAGATGGGTGAAATCCTGACCCAGCTGGAACCCGTCCACTCGAATCCCCGCCTTCTTCTCGTAGCTGTTTGGCTCTGAGGACAGACGACACATCATCAGACCGCTCACACTCAATAAAACTGCTTAACTTCCTGTTCGTCTGTCTGTCACGACTTCTCTGAAGGAAATCGAATGAGACAAAAGAACTTCCTGTGTGTGCAGCGAGGTGATAAACGGCCTTGGAACCCAGAAGTGAAACTCAAACCTCAGATACCTCAGCGTGTAACTATGACTGTCAAAGAAGGAACATAAAGAACAGGTCAAAGAAACATGAATATGTATTGACGTTGGGTCATATATGTAGTAGAAAAGGGAAATAACTTTTGAAGTTGGTGCCTTCTTGGCCGAGAAAAGGCAGAAAGTGTCTTTTTGGCTCAAGTGGATGAAAGACACCAAATCCCAGAATGCACAGCACCGCAGGCCACTCCCACTAAGGTCCTCTATTTCAGAATCAGAAATACTTTATTAATCCCAGAGGGAAATTCGATCATTACAGTTTCTCCACAATATACAATATAGCAGTAGAAATATATTAATGAAAACATTTACAGACATATTTACTTTAACACATAAGGCCATTTCCTCAACTGATTCCGAGATTTCTTCCAGAATTGATTCCTGGCAGAAAACAGACTCTATGTCTGTGTCCATAGGCAAACAGTGAGAGCACCGACACTACCAGTCCGCCCCAGCTCAAGCCGGCCCGTCTCCTTGTCCACAGCACCGCCGACAGGCAGGCCTTGTGTCTCGGCTGCTGAGCTGGCAATGGCCGGCGGCGGCCAGCAATACAGCCGCGAGACTCCTTTTCAGACTTAGAAATGCAAAGATTTCCCATCTCAGGGGAAAATGAGGGCGGGATGCACGACCATTCAAAAATACTACCAGGTTTCTAATGATACAAAGCTTAATGCAAATGGGTGAAGTATCCCTTTAACTGAACTGATCTTCGATGAACCCATTAAATTTTGCACCAACAAAACCACAACACATTGTTGACATAGCACAGTTAGCGTACCGTTGCCGAGCTCCCAGCACATGGTGTACCGTCTGGACTCACAGTACTGCAGCAGTTGGCGGGCGTTGCTACTGTTCCAGGCGTTGTCGGCTGTTCTGAGCAGTGCGTTCAGCCCGAAGATCAGATCCATCCCCGAGCAGTTTGTGAAGGAGTGCAGCATATCGATGGTGTTTTCTATAACAGGACAGAATTATAATAAATACACATCAACATTTAGGACTCAGGCTTTTTTATAACACTGAGATGAAGACAGTTAAATCAGCTTTGCATCAACTTTACTTTATTGATCCTCGCAAGGGAAAATTTCTGTTTTTACGTAAGTCATGCAACACACACATAGGCTGAAATATACACATGCACAAACAGGATCCTATGGACATGCACTAATGGAGAGATGTCAGAGTGAGCTGCATCTGGGGCAACTGGAAGCTACTGTGGGGTGGGGCTTCGTGCGCATACAAACAAAATAAGTGAGAATGAATTAAATCGAGCAAACGTAGAGCTCTCAGTTTCTTTGCTCTGAGACGAGGAGGGAACATGTCATAAAAAGCAGAGGGTTAATCCTCCTACTTGATTTGATTGGCTGCTTTGACCAAAAGTGACATTGACGAGTGCTGTGACTCGGTGGCTTGGGCTGAAAAGTTGAAGAATTATAAACTTTTATTCATGCGAGAAAACTGTGAGAAGTTGGGAATGAGTCTCTTTATAATGTGGCAAAACAGAAGTGATTAAATTCAGAATGTAATCAACCAAGGAGATAGAAATGAAAAACAGTGTATCATCTGCGTAGAAGGATAACTCATTTATTTTCTTTATGCAGCAAACAGGAGAATTTCAATTAAATAGCAGTGGTCCATGCATGGAGCCATATGGAACCCCTTATAATAATACATTTCTCAGGGATACACAGAGGCTCCTGTGCCTTTAAAATAAGGAAAAAACAACTCTCTGCAGAGCTCATGAACTGAGTCAGGAGGTCACGCAAAGGTCAGATACAACACTTTTTACATTGACTGTTCCTTTCATAAGATAATTATCTTAAGGGCTTTTTAAGTGCAAAAACCAGACGTCACATCGCGCAGTAACACATCTTGTTAGCTACGAGAGCGAAAGACGTACCTGTGAATTTAACTCTTCTGTATTTCCTCCTCAGGTCTTCCTTCATGAGGAGAACTTGTTGTTGAGTCCACTCGTTCTTCAGACGCTCCTCCAGCCACGGGGGCAGCTCCAGTTTATCACATGATAGTGCTAAAAACGACAACAGGCAACAACAGGAATTCATCAAAGTGTAGGTTTTTTAGGACGCGTACAGGGAGCTCAGAGGGTTTCCAAATTAAAGGTTTCAGTAGACTGAACCCTTGTGGTCATGTTATGGGTCGACCTCAGTAGACTGAACATTTCAGCATGGATACTAACTTCCTGATTTTGTACAGTATGGTTTTGATTGCATCCTTTCTGGAAATGAGTTGCATTTTAACTCCCACAATGCAATGCGAAATTAAATGTAAAACGTCACTTCATGTGCGCCTCCAAATCAAAACAAAGGAGGATGGATTCGGCCGGTTCGGGTGACGCGCCTTTCAAATGTTCAGTTATTAAATTGTTTACATGCGATGTGAAGTTTTGTATTATTTATTGAGCCATCGTGCAGATCACATCTGAGCTGGAGGGTCGATAACATGAGGAGGGCTAATGACGCCACTTCCACACTGAATGAATCAGACAAAGGAGGAACAGATATCTGCCTACTGAGAAGGGACCGTACACTGTCAGAGCTGGAGAGGTGCCAGGTCACTTCCTAAACACTGTGAAGAGGAACCCTTGAGAATCTGGTCACTACCTCGTTCCCTGTTGCTTTGTGGCTCCTGTAAGAACTATCAATAAGTTTTTACAGTCTTATACACGGTTTCGCATGTATCAAATGAAGACCTGGCCATGTTTCAGTGCTGTGGGTAAATCTGATCCCAGACTAAAGCAGGACATGTGAGCTACGCTGGAACAATCCTAAAACTAAAGACAGAGAGTCTACATTTGACTTTCTGCATAATAAAACATTAATTAACCCCCCCCCACAGCGCTGCTGTGAGGTTTCTCTGACACACACACACACACACACACACACACACACACACACACACACACACACACACACACACACACACACACACACACACACACACACACACACACACACACACACACACACACACACACACACACACACACACACACACACACACACACACACACTCGTCCCCTCGTCCCCTCGTCCCCTCGTCCCCTCGTCCCCTCGTCCCCTCGTCAGTGGCTCCTTAAAAACCCGGGTTGAACTCCTACATTTTGCCGGAATGTTTACACTCTCCATGCGTTACTGTTGGCTAAATGCAATTGTGTGTTTTTTTTCATTGCGTAATCTTTTTGTGCAAGTCCTTTGTGATTTTTCCTGTTGACTAATTCTCTTTGTGTGTTTTTGTTCCAGTGCCTTCCACCTCCAAACTCCAGCCTCACACTGCTCAGCCGTTCCCTCCAACGCCCACGCCACAGCCACACGACTTACCCCCTCTGCCTCCTCAGCGCCGTTCTCCCCCCGCCTCTAACTACCTGCCTTTTCAGCCCACAGTATTTTTGTAATAAATCTGTTTATAAGTTTGATGGTCTTGCTATTGGGTCAACTGGACATAAGCTCCCAGAATGCACTCTGGTTTTGTTTCACAGTGTTCTGCTGAGTCAGGAAGGTTCGTCTGTGGTCTCTGCAAAAAAAAAACAAGTCTGAACAAACTTCACGTGACGGCCTGACAAACCGGTGTGGGAGGAAAAGAAGGATCACAAAAGAAGAAGAAGAAGTGGTATTTGAGCTCAGAGACACGAGATTCAGGATGAAGAAACATGTGACTTTACCTGCGGTGACACCTGAACCCTGCTCATGACTCTTCTGAGGAGTGAACACCATGAAGTCCTGTCGGGTTCCTCCAAACCTCAGGAAGGACGGAGTCAACGCCCGGGCCAGCGTCCTTATCTTTGGAGAGCTGAAACCCAAACAGACACTTCAGATGATTCAGAGACAGAGGAGAGACAGAGAGAGAGAGACAGAGAGAGAGAGAGAGAGGAGAGAGAGGGGGGACAGAGAGAGAGAGAGAGAGAGAGAGAGAGAGAGAGAGAGAGAGAGAGAGAGAGAGGGAGAGAGAGAGAGAGAGAGAGAGAGAGAGAGAGAGAGGGAGAGAGAGAGGAGAGGGAGAGAGAGAGGGAGGAGAGGGAGAGAGACAGCGGAGAGGAGAGAGGGGAGAGGAGAGAGAGAGGAGAGAGAGAGAGAGAGAGAGAGAGAGAGGAGAGAGAGGAGAGAGAGGAGAGAGGGAGAGAGAGAGAGAGAGGAGAGAGAGGAGAGGAGAGAGAGGAGGAGAGAGAGGAGAGGAGAGGGAGGAGAGAGAGGAGTGAGAGAGGAGAGGAGAGGAGAGGAGAGGGAGAGAGAGGAGAGGGAGAGAGAGGAGAGGAGAGAAAGGGTCTGAAAGGGTTTTCTTTTACTTTTACATTATTTAGAAGTGTATGAACCCATGACACACACAGTTATAAACTCTGTAAAGGGCTGGGGGAGAGAAAATAAACTGCTGGAATCCAATCAAGGATCCCTGAGGATCTCCAAATCCCACTCTGAGAAAACCTTGTTAGCAACAGGTCAGGATAAGAAAAACTCTAAAACACATGAAGTTTCAGTTCTACAGCACAGAATATGACTTTTTAAGAGCAAAATTAAGAAAACGCAGACATCATATCTGCAAAGAGTAGCGTCTCAACAACTAACACCTTTGATTCTCATTGTCCCAGTTTGGGTGTGAAGGCCCTTTAAGGGTAGGGAGTAACAGACCGCTCAGTCAGACACATCGGGGTCACCTCCAGCATTTGGTAGATCCCGTTTCAGGAGAGATTCTGTCGTTTGTAAAAGTGTTTCACGCTTAGTAATTTTGTTTTGCACTTCCCAGCTCACCAAACGAATGATCATAAATCTGTTCTTAAGAAAGAAAACGTTTTAAAATATCTTAATAAACGTAACATGAATAAACTAAATATCAAACTAAAGTCGAACAACAAGATCTTTCAAACTCTTTGAAGACTCTACATGAAGGACACAGGTCAATAACATGGTGTTCTTTCAACTTTATATTTTAAATATTAATCTGCAGTTTAACTGAAACCCTCGCACAGAGCAGAAAACAGAGAGATCCTCTCTTAATAACGTGAGAGGAGAAGACCCCGCAGAATCAGAACCTGCTCGTCTGGATGAAGATCTGCTGCTTTAAGGGTCATCTCTCCGGACTAAGTGAAAACGATAGGAGGATCAATCCTATCAGCTCAGTACTCTCTGATCAGACTCGGATCCTCTGTGAGGACTTTACAGGATTTAAAGCGGATCAGAGGAGCAGGATCAGTGCTAGTTGGAAACTGAAACAGCTGCTGTGAATGTAAAATCGATGTTTTTCTCACCCCAACAGGTACATGAACTTCTCCTCTGAAGCCAGGCTCGCATCGATTGTGACGGACAGAAAGCGCAGGTCCACCCGGCGGACCGCAGAGGACACGTCCACAACCAGGTCCACGTCCGGGACATGTGAAGAGTTCTGGTCCCGGGTTTTGAGTCCTTCAGTCCGGGGAGAGAGGAGAAGAAGAAGCAGGAGGACCGGGAACGACTTCATGACTGAAGCGCTACATGAGAGAAGACAGAGCTGCTCGCTTCACTTCCTGCTGTTGAGCAAACCTTCAGGGGCGTCAGAGGGGGAGGGGGGAGGGGCTGAGGACTCAGGCCCCCCCATACATATAAATCTTTACTCTTTGTGTGGATTTGTCTCTCTGTTTTAAGGTCAAATAAAAGAACATGTACTCAGTCTTAAATCTCAAAATAAAGACAAACAAATAAAAATAAAAACTTTTAGATGCTTTAAAATGATTCAAAAGTTAAAAAGTTCAGGGTGCTGGTGGCGCAGTGGTTAGTGCACGCACCCCATGTGTGGAGGCTGTAGTCCATCAAGCGGGCAGCCCAGGCTCAAATCCAGCCTGTGGCTCCTTTCCCACATTATTCACTACTATCTCTCTCTCTGATTTCTGACTCTCTCCTCTGTCCTCTCTCTACAATAAAGTCCCAAAATTGATCTTTAAAAAAAGTTCAATTCTTTAATTCAAACTGCAAAAGAGTCTTTAAGTGTGTAAAACAAAGTTATGGTTATTTAAAGGAGCATTATGTAACCCTGACATCTAGTGGTTAAAATGGGTATTGCAGTCTAAATTCTAAACATTGTAGAGAGCTGTCTCCCTCCCTCCTCTCTAGAGTCCATGCTCACGCAGGTCGCCATGTGGTGGACACTGAAGCTTCAGTGTTTATCCAGCTCTGCATCGGTCTGTAAACCTTTCTGTGTTCTCACCTCTCTCCATTTTTCAAAAGCATCTCCAATATTGATCCTAGTTTGAGCACGTTTCTGCTCGTGGAGCTTATTAGAAACATGCAGAGGCTTTTTAGGTCGGGTACAATCACTTCTATCTGAACCACTTCTCTTGACGCGCTTCCATCGCTGCACACCTGTTGACCTGATAACTGCTCTCATATCTGCAAACCGAGGGGCGTCCAAAACGGCCGTGTGGGGGTGTCTTAAAACCGTCTACCTTCTCTGGTCCAAACAAATCCAGAGCATTCAGGACCAGAATCTAAAGTTAGAAGGAGGACATACTGGCTGCTGCATTGTTGTCAGAGAAGCCAGCACTTCAACATAGCATGTTTCCTTAATGTCTGACCATATAGTAAGATCACTTCATTTCATTCACTACACATCTTACTGATCACGTCAGGTCTTTACCGTCTTCATAAAGCAGCGGCGTTCACTACAAAGCAGTCAGACACGATCCGTCCTTCTTGCACATTATTTTAATCGAATCAAACAAAAGACAGAATAAAACTCAGCGTGTACAAAGAGAATAAAACTCCTCCGTGATGAATTAACTTAAATGTTGAGAGTTTGGCGCTTGGGGCAAGTCAGCGGGCAGCATCAGCAGGTCGTCGACCTCCTCCTGCAGTGCTGAAGCTTTCTCATTCAGCAGCATCTGGAACACAGAGAGACGTCATCTGATACACACAGGACATAACAGACCAGATGTTAATCACCACGTCTTCACACCGCACCGTATGACACAGGACAAACTGTCTGACGCTCACCTTGGCAGACGCTACGATCTGATTGGCTTGTTTCTTGGACAGGTTTTCTATCGACCTGCAGAGAACTGCTGGGTCGGCGTTCGCCAGGTGGGTCAGCGTTTTATAACCGGCGTTGTAAAGTTGCTTCGCTCGAGACTGCAGGGACAAAAACAAGATTCATATTTGTATTAACGTCTCTGAAGATGATGCATGCTGTTTGACTTGGTCAAAACAGGAGATTTAAAACGACTCAAAACGGTTGTTCTCTCCTGAAGCCCCTCCCCTCCCGTCTGACCTCCATGACTCCAACCACCTCCATCAGAGGGATGAGTTCAGCCCGCACGCAGTAACTCAGCCTCCTCGTCAACTCCATGAGCAGAGCTCTGAACGGCCAGAGCTCCTCCAGTTCCTAAAAACACACACACATCAGTATCACAGGTATACTACATACAGCAGGGAGGAGGAGGAGGAAAGGAGGAAGAGGAGGAGGAGCAGGAGGAAGAGGAAAAGGACAAGGAGGAGGAGGAGGAGGAAGACGACGAGGAGGAGGAAGAGGAGGAAAGGAGGACGAGGAAAAAAGGAGGAGGACGAGGACGAGGACGAGGAGGAGGAGGAGGAGGAGGATCTCAGGTGTGTCACCTCGGTGAAGTGCAGCACGCAGGAGCAGAAGGCCGACGAGGAGCTGAGCAGCGTCTGGATGAATCCTCGGCTCAGCTGGAAGCGCTCAGAGACGCTCCAGAGATTCGTCTCCTTCAGGAGAGAGAGGAGGACGAGAGCGAGGTACATCCTGCTCACCACCTCCATGTCACAGTCTGAGAGGACCAGACGATGACATCATCAACATCAACAACAGCAACAACAACATGGACAGTGGGTTACTTAAATACTCGACAGTTTAAAGAGGAATTCTTTTTGCTTTTAATGCTGCACTCTCTCTAATGATGCCGAGTTTGTGAGAATATTTAACAGAGAGTTTTTAAAGCTGTTTAAGATATTTTCTGACCTTCTTCACCGTCTGTCCTGCAGCTTTTCTGGCCACAAAACTCTCGGGCACTCCGACGGCTGCAGAGATTTTCTGCTCTGAAGCCGACAGCCGAGTGAACTGCAGCACAAACGACACGGACACGTTAACATCCCTGCTGTGAGCGTTTTATTGTACAACATCGAACAGAGTCTGTACCTGTCGGAAGTAGGTCATCCAGTCGGGTTTGCACTGAGAGATCATGTCGTACGGAGTCACCAGGTAGACCAGGTGCAGGTAACTGTTGAGCAGCAGACCCTCCAGACCTTTAGAGAGGTCTTTGTAGAGGATGTCGCTGTAGGTCAGATCTACAGAGCCTGAACACACACACACACACACACACACACACACACACACACACACACACACACACACACACACACACACACACACACACACACACACACACACACACACACACACACACACCACAACACACACACACACACACACAGTGTGACCTATATTCTCTCTGTTGATTTTTGTTCTGCACATGTTCAATGTTTGATGATTAACAAATCCCACTCTGCCTTCTTTAAATAGTCAAATGTGTCACTTATCAACAATCCAATACTAGATGCCCAGAGCTTCTTTTTCTGTTGCCATGGTTTCGGAGTGGTGGGATTTTTTACTCGAAAGTTTTGTTTTACCTTTATACGTAGCCTTTCCCAGCCTGGTGACCTGCAGAGTCTGAGCGTCTGCAGATACACTGATGAGATTTTTCTCCTTCAGGAGGTCCACACACGTCTGCACCTCCTCCCACAGACTCCTCCTCACACACAGCTGCTCCTGCTGCACGAACAGCAGCGTGCCACACAGGAACTCCCTCACCTGCTCACACGACGACGTGATCTGCAACACACACACACACACACACACACACACACACGGCACTTATTCATCCCCGGTCTTAAACACAGCTTGATGTGATGTGCTCAGGTTGAATGAAAAAAAACTGAAGGTTTACATTTAATCCAATCAGAGACAGGATGAGGCTGAGGAGGCCTTTCCCATCGTCCAGCATCAGTTTACTGAAACAGTTCTCCATCGGAGCGCACACCAGAGTTTGAGCCTGGAGAGAAAAAACACAAAAACACAGCTCAAAACAGAAAGATTTAAAAACATAAAGAGACAAATGCCCACAGATCATCTCCTCTAAAGCTGAAAAACATTAATTTATTAGTCAATTGACACTCTGTCAAGCCCCGCCCCCACCAGGAAGTAATCCTTTGTTAAGCCCCGCCCTCACCACAAAGTAATCAGTAGTGTATGTGTGTGTGTGTGTGTGTGTGTGTGTATGTATGTGTGTAGTCACCATGTTTCTATCTTTCTCCTGCAGGATGAGGATGCTCTCTCCCACAGTGTCGATCCCCGCTCGACCCGCCCGGCCCACCATCTGTTTGTACTGACTCCTCTTCAGGAAGTCTGCGGCCAAGTACGGAGAGCGCAGGATCACCCTGATCAGAGGACAGCAGGGTCACACAGTCTGCACACTTCATGTGTTCAAATGAATCTCAAATTACAGCATCTGGATGGACACGTGGCGCGGGTATGTGTGCGTTACCTGCGTGCAGGTAGGTTGATCCCTGCAGCCAGGGTGGAGGTGCAGGTGAGCAGACAGAGCACCCCGTTGGAGTACGCCTCCTCCACCAGCTTCCTCTCCTCCGAGGTCAGCCCGCTGTGGTGATACGCCAAACCGTACGGCACCGTCCTCCTGAGCACCGGACACAGCGAGCCGTTCCCGCTGTCCCTCAGCTCCCGGAGGAGGAGCGACTTCTCCTCCTGACGCCGCTGCAGGAACTCCCTGTGGAGAGTGAAAGACACTGAGGCGTCACACAGAGAGCTGCAGACGGGCGGAGCGGAGACGAACGCCGCAGGAGGAACTCACTCTCTGAGGTACGTGCAGATCATCCCTGCCACGTTCTCACAGTTCTTCTTGGTGGGACAGAAAACCAGACAGGAATGAGCCGGGATGACTTCAGTCACCAGAGCGATGATGTGATCCGGGTCCATTTTCTGCATCGCACTCGAGTACTGAGGGAGGTCAGAGGTCAGACATCAGGCAGTGTTTAAAATCTGCAGCACACACTCGTATTATTTTTACAATAATTTAAACTAAACTCCAATCATCATGTTGTAAAAGAAACCTTCACTCAAACCTCTCCTGATCTAAACTGATCTAATTACCTAACCGCTGCTACCTGTTCAATATTACTTGTGCAATAACTTTGTAATTCACTGCTTTATAATTGTTTATTTATTTACTCAGTCACTTTAACTGTCTATATATTTATTTATTCATTCATTGCACTAAAACTGTTTATTTACTCATCCAGTCACTGCACAATAACAACTGTATATATTCTTTCAGTCACTACAACTGTCTATTTATTTATTATTATTCATTCACTGAACAGCAATTTCTCTGGCCACTTTTCACAAACATATTTGTCTTTCATATAACCAAAAACATATTTTTATTTTTATATAAGTGAACTGTTTTTGTAAACGCTGCTGTATAGGATTGCGGCTAACAAAGTTTTGTTGTGTCCTTGTATACAATGATAATCAAGATTCTATCTATCTATCTAAATTAAAGGACTGATGTCCCAGCAGGACCTGGAAAACGTGTCCATGCTTTAATCTCTAGTCGACTTGATGACTGTGACAAGAGTCTCTACAGGTCTGTCTCAAACATCAGTCAGACACCTGCAGCTGATCTGGATCAACGTTTCGCTCCCTCTGAACCTGCCGAGCAAGAGCAGTGTGCAGGAGCACTTACTTTAAAGTTTAGAGGACGTGAGAATCTGAAACAGTTCTCCTCCTTTGGGTCCACCTCATAGATGGTATCATTCAGTTTGACGTACTCCTTCAGCTGCACCTGAACAGACAGCAGGTTGGACATGGTGCTGCTCAGTCACGATGGTTTAATAGGTATACAGTGCGGCTGATGGATGGATTACTAACAGAGGATTAAACAGTCTGAAATCACTTACAGGCCTGAAGTCGTTGGTGTAGTTTTCAGCCCTCAGAAATGTCTGCAGGTCGTTGATGTTTCCCAGAGTGGCGCTCATTCCAATGATCTGAGTCGATTCTGGAAAACAACAGAGGAGCATTTAAAAGGTTTTACAAGTCAACTCAGTTTGATTTTAAAGGTCACATATTCTGTAAAATCCTCTTCTCCATGTTCCTCTAACTCTAATATGTGTCTCTAGTCTGTCTACAAAACCCCCAATGATGAGAAAAGTCCATCCTCTCTGTCTTTTGCCTGCTCCACTTTTCAGAAAATGTGTGCTCAAACAGGCCGTTTGGAGATTTTCCCTTCATGACATCACAAAGGGCAGTAGCCCCTCCCCCAGGTGGGTGACACTCCCACAGCCAGGTGTTTGTTCTGCCCTCTGAGTCTGCCTTCTCACCATAAACAATAGGACATGGAGCGAGAAAGCCAGAGACACACAAGCCCTTCCAGAGAGGGGGCGTGGTCAGACACAGCTCATTTACATATTTAAAGGTACAGACACAGAAACAGCCTGTTTACCTGCTGCAGACATTGCTTCCTGTTTACCTGCTGCAGACATGACTTCCTGTTTACCTGCTGCAGACATGACTTCCTGTTTTCCTGCTGCAGACATGACTTCCTGTTAACCTGCTGCAGACATTACTTCCTGTTTACCTGCTGCACACATTACTTCCTGTTTACCTGCTGCAGACATTACTTCCTGTTTACCTGCTGCACACATTACTTCCTGTTTACCTGCTGCACACGTTACTTCCTGTTTACCTGTTGCAGATTGAGTAGCAGAATGACGACACTTACTGCTCATGTAGAGAACTTTGGCGAGCGTCATTTCGATGATAGCTCCTCGGCTGCCATCACCCAACATGTGAAGCTGCATGTGAGAGACACGTGTTAACATGAAGCCTCCGACTAGCTTTACTGTCTCAGCTCAGATATCAAGGGGGGCGTGCTCGTACCTCATCGACCACGACCAGCCCGAGGTTCCCGATCCTGCTGCTTTCTATCAGAGAGTTGACGAGGCTGTGTGCTTTCTCGATCGTAGCGACGTAAAGGGATGTTTTGTTTCTTCTTTTCGTCGGAGGAAACTTTCCCTTACTGCCCGCGTACTCCTCCACCATGAAGTCCAGCTCCAGGCCGAAGCTCGCCAACCCACGTACCTGCAAAATAATCGAGAGTTTGAAAGGCTTTTTACCAGCAGAAATGGGTCCCTAAAGAAAAGACCCTCTCTGACTAACAAGAGTGATGTAACACGACCCTGCAGCCTGTTCTTACGTTTTAAAAAGCAGATAATACAAAATGTGTTGATCGGCCTTCAGACTGTGCACAGGCCTCTCCTGAAAACCTCCACAAAGACAACTCTTCTGATTGTATTAAATCTTTGGTGGGCAACGTGCGTACCTTCTCCTGCACCAGAGAAATGTACGGTAAGATGAACAGACAGTCCTTCTTCCTGCACAGCAGCTCTCTGAGGATGAGGATCTCTGCAACCAGAGTTTTCCCTCCACTGGTGGGGAGAGAGTAGATCAGGTTGGTCCTCTGCTGAACACAGTCCAGGTTCAGACACGTCGTCTGCCAGTCTGAGAGAAAATCATATTTAACAAGTCATGAAAAAACATTTAAGAAGTCATGAAAAAACATTTAAGAAGTCACCTCTCGTTTGTCTGTAAAAAAAACTAAATACAGGCCAAAAACCACTCTATGGCCTAAAGATAAAGCAGTGACATTTATTACAACATTACATTTCCTGCAAGAAAGAGAATATGTCAAATTATTCCATCAAAAATTCTGGGTTCAACTAAATAAACGTCAGAGCTGGAGGTGTGGACCATGTTTCTTTGAGTTTTGGAGAATCTTCAGACAAAACAAGACATTTAGGGTCGTCACATGTGACCTCATGTTCTCTCTTTAAACAGATTCTGAACATGAATACAGAATCTGTGAGTCAGGGAGGAGATTTTAGTATCGAAAGAATTTCTGTTTGTAGTCCCATCTATAGGGGCGGAGCCAGGGGTGGCGTGAACTATGATTGGCTGTTTGCCGCTCAGAGGCAAGACTTTTTGATCAAATCAACTATTTAGGCCGCTGGTCGCCTCCTTTGCATTTCTTTTCTATATTTTTGTTTCTTTCTGCATGTGACCTCTGACCTTTGAGTCGTCTGCCTCAGCTGCCTCCACTTAACCCCCCGACCTACAGATAGAAAAGGGCACAAGCCCTGAGCTGTCCCACCAGGCTCCTGATTCTTTAGCCCTTTGCATTCCAATGTCGCCCATTTCATTTGGCTTGTATTTTGAATAGTCACTTTAGACGCAGGGCGCCGTTTTTGTTGGGTCACAAATGTGTCTGCCTTCTAAAAATCAGTTTTCTTTCTTTGTTCTGTCTCATGTTTTGTAGTGTCAAAACTGAACTTGTCATGTGATTGGTTGAAATATATCAAACCTTTGGGTCATGAGTCGGTGCTGAGGCTCAACCAGCTGAGAATCTCTGATCTAAATGTTTCCACAGAGTGGACATAGAAAGGGTTAATAAATGCTTTTTATTGGTGTGAATGTGTGCGTTCATAACTCCTCTGGTCATCCCTGCAGAAGTCTGCGGCCCGGTTCAACCCCCCCCCCCCCCCGTAGGGAAACAAGTCAAGACACAAGAGGGGGGCGGACTCATCAGCCAGAACGCCACCCATACCGTCTGATAATAATTTTACTTATCTTGAATCTGAATGTGAGTCAGGTTCACTATCTGGTGTTGAGTGTGGATGGACTCTCCAGAATACAAAGAGAACAAGTTTGTGATCATATAGATTAAGAATCCTAAAATACCAAACGCCTGAACATGAACATTGGGGATTGGGTGAATATCTAAAAGTTGGTGATATATCAGTTGGAGAGAAAATGGGGCGTCACCATATAGCGTCTTGATTCCTCTCAGTTTGAACATCAGGTCTTTTACTTTGGTCGGGAGTCCAAAGAACGGGCCGAGGTCAGTGGTCTCTGCAGAAACCGTCTCCATGGCCTGCATGGCGACGCTGATCTCCTCGGAGACCACGGCCTCCTTCAACCCCACGGTGCGAGAAACGCTGGAGGGAGCAGCGGCGTTACACAGCATCGTCTTCTTCAGCTGGTCGGCCACGCTCCTCCTCGACTTCCTCCTCGGTTTGTCCTCCGTGATCCTGTCAGAGTTTTTAAAAGGCGTGGAGGTTTTGCCTCCGTCCTGCGGTCTGCTCCTCTTCACGCTCTCTTTGACCTGCTCCTGAAACTGAAGCAGGCTGGCGGGCAAATCGTCGAAGGGTTCGTCTGCGAGGTCGTCCAGGATCGAGTCGGTGAGAACATCGTCCGTGCAGGATTTGTTCTGTTTGACGTCCTTCGTCGGCCGCAGCCCGGTGAAGTCCGTGTGCCCTGAAGGCTGGACGTCACGCTGCCTCTCCTTCTGCTCCGCATCGTCCAGCTTGGCGAGCAGAGAGCTGTCCTCCAGGATGCTGTCATAGTCCCCAAACAGGTCCTCATTGTCGCTGCAGAACTGACCACAAACACACAAACTGTTAGCTCAACCAAACCCTCCATAACCCAGTAGTGATAGGTGTTATTAAGACCGTGTGTGCAGGAGTTTCCCCGCTGTTCCTCTTGTACACACCTGTCTTATGGAATAGTTTCAGTTTTTTTAAGTTCCGGTACATAACGACACAATCGATCATGTGCTGCCCCGCCCCCATCGTTTTCTGCAGACTAGAAAACGCACCTGCACTTTCTCTAAGCTGGTGCTAAGGCCTTATTGCACTACTTCAGTCACTACTACACTAAATGCATTATCACTTTCTTTATTATTATAATCCTGTTCTTTACTCTGCTCACTCAGGTCTGTGTTTGTCTTGTTGTCATGTGCCCTGTTTCTAGCAGCCTAAGCGTCCTGTCTCCGTCTCTGTCCTGCATCTTGTTCTCTTTTTCTTTCTGTATTCACCTCTGTTGTTCTTTTAAGTCGGCCTCATTTGAGGAGAACAGCATTCCTCTCCCATGTACGCTGAGAGTATCTTAAATCCTTAGTTGTGCATCCTTCAGCCTGATCCTGCCAGCTTGAGAAAACGTCCCCTGATGACTCACCTCAGCAGCCTGTTCGTCAGCCATGATGCTGCTGAGCCTGCAGGCTGGGGGACATTGCTGAGGACAGGGACCCCCTCCTCTCTTCCTGGCAGGTGTCAGGTGAGTCTTCAGGCTGTCCCTCGACCTCTTCCTGGAGGAAACTCTCTTCACCTTCAGCCCTAACCTGCCAGCATTCATCACTGTGCAGATTGAGCCCTCAGCTCCATGAGGGTCACAGTCTGTATTAAAGTAAACACAGACAACGGAGAGGGTCAGCTGAGCGACAACACATCCTGAAACGGAGACACTGACGATCAACAAACTGTTTCGAGGAGCTACAGACAGTTTACACTTCACAGCTGTTATGTTACAATACAATATTTAAGTAGTAAAACACGAGAAAGCTTTACAAACGTCATCCATCTCTCTATGTTACCTAGCTTCCTTCTGGCAGTTTGACGTCTTTACTGGTTCCCTCGGCGACTTAATAAACTCGTTTAAAAAATAATGTAGTTTTATAATTAACGGCCGTGATACAGCTCACGATGAGTCAGCAAGAAAAGTTCAACAGAAACTGCTTTACTAGTTAAATGTAACTTTGGTCAATGTGGAGACTGAACAGCTCGACGAGCATCAGATTTTAAATCGTTGACGTCACATGGAATCAAGAGGAAGTCCCGCCCTCACTTCCGCCTTCAGTGAAACGGTTACCTAGTGCTGCATTCAAGTGGTGTCGGACACATCGGAAAAACGATGTTTCCGAGTTGTAAAATAAACTTTTTTATTTTTTTATTAAACATTTCTTAAACATTTCTTGCAAATGTACAAATGTAAAAAACAAATACAAAATATGGTTACATTCTGTACAGAATTGCCAATGGAAACAGCTGCCATGTCAAAGATTAACAGTACATCATTTTAACATATAGAAATGAAATGACAATGTCTTAAAGTGCAGTTAATGAGGTCTGGACTGAATATAAGAAAAAAAAAAAAAGATAAACAATGAATCAAATATACAAGGGCATATCAGTTTTCAGTTTCTATTTCATTGGGAAAGTTTCTTCAAAATATCATAAACTGTTTGTGCTATTTTTCCTTTTACAAATTTGGACTTGAGGTAAAATGTAACTTCATTCAAAAAACAGACAAAATTGGGGGATGACTTTAAAAATCTATTTTTGTGTAGACACAGAATTATATTAATGCAGAGTTCATCGTTTGTGCTGTTCAAGATTATACCAAACGTAACATCGTCTCTGGAGATAGAAGGTGGAAGTGATGAAACGTCCTTTGCAATCCATTTGTGGATTTCAACCCAAAACGCATGAGTCACACTACACGAGAAAAATACATGGTCCGTGGTTTTTCATTTTTGCAAAATGAACAAACATTGTCATCGATATTGAAACGCAGTCTAAGAAGTTCTTTAGAGGGATAAATGTTGTTCATAATTTTGAAATGTGTTTCTTTGGTTTTAGGGGGTATAGGGAGTTTGAGATACAAAGAATTTATGTAAAATGTTGTTGCTTCATGTTTGTCATTTGAGAACAGGATGCTGCTGCTCTGTTCTCAAACAGCAGCAGTTTTGTTTTCCTGGGAATTACTTTTCAGTGAAAGATTTTCTTATAGAGGAATTATTACATTTTTTATCCCAGATTAAATTGCCTTGGATTGAAAGTGGAGCCAGTTGCGGTTGGATAGTCTGATGTGCCATTATATTTTTTGTCAGAAAGACAAATTCCTGAGGAAGTGCTTTCAATGGGTTGAAGTTCATAATCAAATAAATTACCACTGTCATCCACCAAGTCAACCATGGACCAAATACCTCTCCTAAACCAACCTTCAAAAAATAAAGATTTGTTTCTGTACAGTATATATCTATTATTCCAGAGTACGGTGGAGTGGGGTGAGAAGTTATGGACATACAACATTTTCCAATACAACAATATTTGTTTATGGAACTCTGATAAAGAAATAGGAAGTTTATTAATTTCAAAGTCTGTGACAAGAAGAAATTTCAGTTTACTAAATAAATGATTTGGAATGCAGTACCAGAAAGAGTTGCTATGTTGGATCCAGGCTTTTATCTAATTTATTTTTAATGTCCCATTAAGACAATCAAAATCAATAACTTTAAGGCAGCCATCCTTTATATCTTTCACCATGTAACTTTTCTTAATATAGTGTGGTTTGTTTCTCCAGATGAAATTCATATTGATCTGGTTAATTGATTTAAGTAATTTGTTTGGGATGGCAATAGAATAAGTTAGGTAAATACTACTACTTAACTTTGCTTTACATTCTTTTAGTTTGTTTTCTACATTCAGCGATTGATTTAGTTTTGGGTCTTTTGTAAGGTGAATTCCTAAGTATTTGATTTCTGACCTGATAGGAATGTTACAAATATCTTGAAGTGGTGTGTCATGTATCGCAAATATTTCACATTTCCGCAAGTTTAGAGTTGCAGAGGCATTGGAGAATTGTTTTATTTTTTCAATAGTTAATGGAATTTGGTTTCTGTCTTTTAAAAAAAATGGTAGTATCATCCGCTAACTGGCTGATGATAATATCTGTACCTAACACATTTAATTTTTTAATGTCATTACAATTTTTGAGGTGAGTTGCTAACATTTCAGTAGCTAACATAAATAAATATGGTGAGATTGGGCAACCTTGAGGGATTCCTACATTAACCTTAAAGCTGGGAGTAGTGCCCTTTGGCAATATGACACAGCTGCTGATATCCTGATACAGACCTTTATTAAGATTTCTAAATTTGGATTCAAAGCCAAAGTGTTCAAGCACCGACAAAATAAAAGGATGCTCCACTGAGTCAAAGGCCTAAAAATCTAGGAACAGAAGAAATCCATCATCTTCAATTAGGTTTCAATATTCAATAATGTCCAACACCAGCCTGATATTATTGTGGATTGATCTGCCTTTTAAAAAAACAGATTGTGTTTCTGCAACAAGATTTTAGATCCCTGTTTGAAGACGAGTAGTAAAAATGTATGTTAGCAGTTTGTAGTCTGAGTTTCTAGAGTAATAGGTCTTCTGTTTTCTATAAATCTGGGGTCATTGTTGGGCTATGGGATTGAGATGATGACCCCTTGTCTCATTGTGGGTGGAAGTAAACATGTTTCAAAGATTTCACAGAAAACCTGATGCAGCAGCCCTTTGATATCCTCCCAAAAGTGTCAGTAAAGGTTTCCTGTAAGACCGTCTGAGCCAGGGGCTTTAAGAGAGAGTCGACCAATTACTGCATCAAGATCGTCAACTGTGATTGGACTTTCACATGTTTGTTTACAGTTATCATCTACCTTGGGAATAAATTTAGAAATATATTTTAAGAATTCATCACAAGCTTCTCTAGAGAATTTAGTGCTGTAAAGATGGCTATAAAACTTAAAGATTTCAGATGAGATTAATTTTTCATCATTCATTTCTACATTGTCAATCATTAAGGATTTTATATTATTCCTTTCTTGTCTTCTTTTTTCTAGACCACAGAAATATGCTGAATTTTTCTCCCCCTCTTCTATCCATTTAGCCCGTGACCTGATAAAAGCCCCCTGTGCTCTTTGAGTATAAATCACATCCTGTTTGGATTGCAGGTTCAGTATTACTTGTCTATCATCATCAGTAGGGTTAGGTTTATTGCAGTACACGTTTAAGTCTCTGACAATGTTCAGTTCCTTTTCTTTAAAATCTTTTCTTTTGAGCTTTTTACTGAAAGATATAGTGAATTGACATATTTTGTATTTAAGGAACTCCCATTTCTTGACAGGTGTTGTTAGTTCATCTGATTTCCTAATTTTAATAATTAGTCATTTAATCTTTTGGCAGTAATCATTGTTTTTTAGCAGACTGGAGTTGAATTTCCAATATTTTTTTGGGATGGTTTCTTCTGTTAGCAGGTTTGATATGAAGAGAAATAATACTGTGATCAGTCAGTGGAGCAGCAGAGATATCTGAACTGATTTCATAACATAATAAGTGGCTTGAAATCAGCCAATGGTCAATTCTAGATTTAAGCTGGTTATTTGGGCTAAACCACGAGTATTGCATTGTTTCTGGGTTAAAGTGACTAGAGGCATCAATTAGATTTTGTTAATTGCAAAAGTTAGTAAATATGGCGTTAGGGTGGCTTGTTGAGTATCTAGGAGGATATTTATCATAGAATTCATCCTGAACTAAGTTAAGGTCCCCTCCTAATATAATATTATCAGTTGAGTGGGATAATTTGAGATAACCTCAAATGTAAGGCAATTTGCTCAAGTAACCTTTTATTTTCTCTGTAGTTGTTGTAACCATATAAACTCCTCAAAAAAAGTTTGGAAACGTTATTTCGGTAACTTATTTGGCTCCTTTAATAATACTAATTGGTGTTGTATTTTATATCGTTGGAAAGCCTGATTAGTCACCTTTACAACAAGGTATAACTTGTAAGGATTGTGCATTCGTGGAATGTGCAACACACCTAAATGTGTGGGTAGCGCCCTAAAAAAATGTGCCAAAATCCTCTGCAATGGGGTGCTGGTGGCGCAGTGGTTAGTGCGCGCGCCCCATGTATGGAAGCTGTAGTCCTCCAAGCAGGTGGCCCAGGTTCAAATCCAGCCTGTGGCTCCTTTCCCGCATGTCATTCCCCACTCTCTCTCTCTCCCTGATTTTCAACTCTATCCACTGTCCTGTGTTGCACAATTCATGAATGTAAAATCCTTACAAGTTATACCTCGTTGTCAAGGTGACTAATCAGGCTTTCAAACGATATAAAATACAACACCAATTAGTATTATTAAAGTGGCAAAATAATTGACCAAAATAAAGTTTCCAAACTTTTTTTGAGGAGTTTATATTAATTAGGATGAATTTCACCTCATCAAGGGTTAGGATAAGAGCGAGCCAGCGACCATACTCATCTGCCATATGGGATATAACTTGTCCTTGGAAATTCTTCAGTAGGATGTCGACCCCTGCTGACCTGGAAGAGCCATGACTGAAATAAGCTTTGTCTCCTCACTGCTTAGACAAAAATAAACTGTCTTCTTCCTTGGAGTGAGTTTCTTGCAGGAATATAATACTAGCATTCTTCCCTTTGCAGAACAAAAAAAAGCTTTTTCTTTTAGTTACGTCTCTTAGACCCCTTGCATTAACAGAAATGAGAGAGATGTCATTTTTTAAGCTGAAGCATAGAAAAAAATAATAACAGACAAAAACAGAATAATCTGAATTGTTATGAACACAAGTAGATATAGTATCTAACAGATACTGAGGTTTTAAAGTAGCAGAACCCTGAACATATTAACTTTTCTTGTTCAAAAACTCATATCCCAGGTTCATGGAAAGACTCTGACCATTCATGAAGACATAGCGCCTCGGAACACAGCCTTAAATCCATCCTTTCTCGCCTTTTCAACCTTTGGCCACACCGCTTTTCTTGCCTCTCTGTCTTCTTTGATGAGATCTTCAACGAAGCGGATGTGGAGATCTTTACAGATGGGGTGATCTTTGGCGGTACGCCAGAGTTCATCCCTGAAAAACCTTCCAGTGAACTGCATGATGATTTGACGGGGTCGTTCCGTGTTCCTCGGGCCAACACGATGCACGGAGTCGAGGATAAGATCCATCCTGTCCTTCCAGTGTGGAGCAATTCTTCCGATGATATCTGCGACAACCTGATGAGTGTTTTCTTCTTTTTCTTCCCTTGTTCAATCTTAAATTCCATCTTCTCTCCTCTCCAGCCCTGTTTCTTTCTTTTCCAACTCAATGCTTTTTTTCTCAGAGTTGTTTCACATCTCCTTCTAACTTCTTGTTTTTTTCTTTGCATTCTTTGATTTCAGCCGAGTTAAACTCAACAGTTTTTGCAATGTTGGATGTGGTAAGCGTAGTTTGCTTTAGCTCCGTTTAGAAATCTTCCATCATGTTCTTAAGAGTGCCAATTGCAGCCAGGACTGCAGCAGTGTTTCCGGCATGGACTCCAACAGGTGTGTCCTTGTCTCCTTCTTGTTGTTTCTGAGGACCCGGTGGTTTAGAAGGTGATGATAAAGTGTTCTTGGTACATTTGACGCTTGTCTCCATCATTTCTGATCTGCAGTAGTCATGTGTTAGCAGCGCTTTAACATTAGCTTTAGCTTTAGCCATGTGGTAGCTTTAGATAATAAACACATTTTCAAGATGACTGGGCTCATTTACTCGTCCTTAATGTCTTTTAGTAATTGTTGCGTCGAGTAGAGAGATGTTTCTGTGAGTTTTGAATTCAAACTTTTTTAATTCAGGGTCCTGCCACCAGTCTACCCTCTGGATCCGTCTACCTTCACTGGATTCTTGTTCCTCATGTCCCTGGCCTTGGTCCTGTTATTTTTTTCCCTAATATTATATTATCATAGGCCATAATATTATGTATATGACTTAAACATCAAAGCGTCTCAATGCAATTTGAGCAGAATTAAACTTTAATTTTCTCAAAAACTTTAAAGTAAAACTTTAACTTAACTTAACTTTAACTTTACTTTAAAGTAAATTACGACGGAGGATTAGGGCCACGTTACATTATTTTATTTTTTTTTAATTTCGAGATTAAAGTCGTAAATTTACGAGATTAAAATTGTAAATTTACGAGTTTAATCTCGTAAATTAGCGAGTTTGAGACCAGTTCTCAAATGACAAACATGGAACATCTTGTCCTAAAGCTTTCACTAATAAGGAAATAGGCTACTTCCTTAAGTAGTCAGTGAAAACAATTAGTTCAAGAGAAGTTTTCACTTCAACTTGCAAGAACCTGTTTATCTGTAAAATGATGAACAGGACACAAACTGGCTCTGCACGAGACACTTTAACAAGGCAGACCGATAACAGACACAAATAGTTGTGTTGGGGCTTTACTTATGCACATATGAAACTACACATGCTTTTGGCACATCATCATCTCCACATTGTCATGAAATATCAGCACCCTGAAAAGATACTGCAAGAAACTGAAGAAAGAACCACATTGACTTGGACGAAGTTGTGTCTGCAGAGGAAAATACTTTAATCATTTTGTGCAGGCTGGTCTCGAACTCATTAATTTACAAGATTATTTTCGTAAATTTACGACTTTATTCTTGTAAATTTACGACTTTAATCTCGAAATTAAAAATATTTGTCATAACACACTGACATAACAATATTCAACTGTAACCATAGCGCCCCCTACTGCAAGGAGTAAGTACTACCTCCCATATCAAATTAATGAATGTAAATAACGATGAATGTAAAATGTGTTTCTGACTGACAGACTCCCTCTGCGTCAGATTGGCATTTTCATCATAATGAATTAAAACAAACAGTCTGAGTGATCATGAAAAGAAAACGATTATGAAGGAATCATTTATGATCATTTGATTTGAACTCGTTACTAAACTCAGCTGGTGTTGAGAAGTTTCATTGAAGTCCGATCCGCTGCAGCGTCCAATCAATGAGTGTAACGGAGTTAAAATGCACTTTACTTTTGAGTACAGTTTACAATTTATACTAGAGATTTCATTTATAATTTATTTCTGTTAAGTATTTGTGAATTTTATCTTAACGAGTTAGGTATATTTACTGTTATTTTATCAAATTTATGTTTCCTTTGAGAATTAACTTTTTGGCACTTTGTGGCTTCTGTACCTCCTGGGTTACCGTAGCTCCTTCCATCTGTCCCTCACAGTGCTGTTTTGCATTGCTGAGGGTAAGTTGTATGTAAAAACGTTGCTGCGTCATTACCTTATTTACTGTGGAAAATAAGTGATTTAAGTCGTAATGTTCAGTTTATTTTATAAACTAATAGTAATATGATGTTAATCAGTCATTTTGTTTAGGTTTTGAGAGTTTTATATCACTTTGGAGACTGTTTTAATGTAGCGGTTTTGTATGAAAAGTATTTTCATACTTTCTGTTTTGTTTTACAGCCGCATGTTGTCGTTTATTTTGTCCACTAGGTGTCACTGTTTTACCATTTGGTATACTGTTTCTCATGTTTTTTTTAATGAGATTTATTGTTAATATACACTGTAAAACCGAAGTTTTTCAGCCATGTGTAGCAGCTCTTGGTTATAAATATTTACATATAGTTAAAATATTGAAATGATGATTGTAATGTATTTCTATGTAATATAAATGTGTTTTGAGCTCGGACAGTGCTGTTTTGCATTGCTGAGGGAGCAGAGGTGCAGAAAACAAATGTCCAGAAGGCACATTGAATGTTCTTTTGTCTTCTGCAGAAAACAAAAGCTGGAAAACAGTCAAAGTCTGGTTTTCTTCACCCCCCTGACCACATCCGTTACACTCGCTCCTCAGATCTCCCTCTTCTCTCCTCCTTTCAGTTACAAGAGCTTTGGGACGATCCTTAACACGGCAGGTCTGGAATTTGGCTACTTCCGGTTCTGCTGAGGATCGAGGAGATAGCATGTAAGAGAATTGAGATGTAGGGATTGAGACTCGGGCTGAATCGTGATGGTCCTCCCTAAACCCTGAGCCCTTACAGACTTTATTGACGTCACCTGGAAAGTGATTGAATGCATGAGGCTGTGAGGGCTCCAATGGTTAAATACAAATGGGACAGCACTCTGCAACTTCTCTGTAACCATGACAACATGATGTCATGTAGCAAAAGCTTATTTTACGTTTTTTTTACTTTACTCACTCACAGCCATGGCGCTTATAAAAAGTTCTACTCAATATAGGCCTATATATAAATGTATTCGTTGTGGGATAAATAATGGTTTATCTTATCTTATATAAATATAACGGGACTAACATGCTCTCTGTCTCTCTTTTTTTGTTTATAGACTTGTAAATGAGTTCTGAATTAGCTGTAGTTTCCAAATAATTTTTTTAGTAGACTGTAAATAGAGCGTGGTTTCACCTTCCTGTTTTTTTACCGTCTTTTTCCGTTTTATGTCATTTCTTTGCCTTTCAATTATTGTGGGCTTCCCCTGGAAATCATATCTTTGTCCGCGTCACAATGCTATGAACTCTGGGTAATTCCCTCACGTTAAGTCTGCAGATATGCCCACTTACGGACAGGGTGCATAAAGGGCTTGTAAAGTCAGAGAGAGATCCCACAAACACTTGACGATTTGACAGTGGGACAGCACTAAGCCCTCACAGACTTACCGGGAACGCGCACTTAAGTTCCTGCAGACGTAGTATGAAGAACATACCACGTTGGACAGTAGCAGTGTGCAGTTTCAGAAACATCCAGGTGTTTCTAACAGCTGCCTGAGAGTCATGTGATCACCTGAGTGTTTGTGTCTCCACAGAGAGGAGGAGCCTGATCCAATCAAAACCAGAGTCAGACTCAGCATCCAACTGTGAGAGGAAACTTCAGGAACATGGAGCCAACAGCAGGAAGGAGACGGAGACTGAGTAAAGAGCTTCCTCCTGAACTGTCTGACTTACTTGACACACTCACTGATCATGCAACATCGTACATTAAAGCGTTTAACAGCAAAGAAAAAGGGATGAGACAGATTGTAGAAGAGTTAAATGTAATCGCTGCTGAAGTTAAAGAGATGCAGAAAAACAGAAATACAGCTAGAATGACAGGAGTTGCTTTAGCAGGAGTCGGGCTTGCAGCTCTATTCACCGGGGGGTTGGCCTTATTACCAGCAGTAGCAGCAGCAGCAGGAGGAGGTGCTGTTGTTGCTACAAATGTGTCAAAAACCATAATAGAGAATGGAAGTGCAAAAAAAGCTGAAACGTTGGGGAAAGAATTCATGGAGATTATTGAGCCACTGAAGGAACGACTGCAGAAAATGCAAACTTTGTTCCAAGAGTTGGAGGAAAGATCAGCTGCAGTTCAGACTGAGGCAAGCAAGTTTGAGAGGATTCTTAAAGAAATGTTTGAACTGAGAAAACTGACTGAAACCACTTTGTCTGGAGTTACAGTTCTGAGCGATGTGATTGGTAATCTGCTGATGCTCATTGTGATGATCTTCAGAGTTACTGCGACACCTGAAGAAGATAAAAAACTGACAGACTCTATCATCCAATCAGCTGATCAGAGTCAGAGGGTCATTGATGCTTTTCAAAGGATGAGTCAGGAACTGGAAAAACAGATCAATAAAGAGAAGATGAAGCAAGCTGAGAAGAGTTCAAATTCAGATTAAAAGTTAAATCAAACAAATGATGTCACAGCGTCTCCGTTGTGTAAACTAACAATAAGCAGCTCCTCTGAAAACAAACTTTTCGCACATGCTCAGTACGCCTACAGACAAGAGCCATGAGCAGGTGGACTACAACAACAATGGCCGACTCCTGATTTCTGTTGGTGGAAACGTTGACTGTCATGGCTCCCAGTCGGTGTTTCCTCTAAACGTTCTCTGCAGTTCAGGGTCACTCGGAGTAACGACCCCACGTCATCGTCAGTCCACACAAACCTTTGTGTGTTAGTCGTGTTTGTTTACACCTCAGCGCTCTGCAGGAGGAAGAGGAAGTGACCACGAGCGTGTTCCAAAATAAAAGCAGGGTTAAATCCAAGCAGCAAGTAAAGTACTCTCAGCTTTAGAGAGTACAATTTTTCAAAATAAAAGCCTCACTATTTTTATATTTTTTTAATGCAAAAGAATGTAATTTGTGTTCTGTGCTCATGATCCTGTAACTTTACTTCACTGTGTTTTATTATTCACTTTGTTTAGGCTGTCAGCTTATTGCTTCATTTCAGTTCTTTTATTTTGGTAATGTTTTTAACTCTGATTTAAAGCTGTTTGTTTTCACTTCCTGTCGTTGTCTCCTCTCCTCACTTTCTGATGTGCGTCTCTTTGGATCAAAGCGTCTGATGAATGAACTCTAACTGTCTCTTCATGTTTGTTCTCTTCGCCTGGTTCTTTGTCCGATAAACACCGCTCACAGTGACTGTGATGTCATACAGCGGTCAGCATCACATCTCCGACTGTTAACACGTCACTGTTGGGCGATATGTATATATGTATATATACAGTAAATGATCAAAGACAGAAACAGGGTAAGAAGAAGCTCGGTGGATGGAAACTCTAACACAACACCGTAGATCTACATTTGGACCGTCAGCGTTCTCCATCAGAGGGCGTAAACTCTGGAACATTAAACACCTGGACCCACTTTAAGATCTGTAATCTGTCATTTAAACTGGTTTATAGCGTTTATATTGTCTTATTGTTTGAACATGTATTTTAAAGTGTGATCTGCTTTTATGTGACTCTGATTGTTTCCCTAAAGACTCAACAAGGACACAAGGCGGAGATTAGCATTAGCTCCAAACTCTTTATGTGTCAGTGTAATGCTCTGGATTGAAAATATGTCAAACTGTAATGTTAAATTCAAATGTAACTATTCAAATGTATAACCTGAAAATAAAACCTTGGATTTTTACACATCAAACTGAATTTACAGTTTTTATCGACTTTTTTTCTTTGAAAACAGAAAAACTACAAACGACATGTGACGTCACAAGGAGCGCAAATTTCAAGAGGAGCATTTTTCTCTGTGTTGTAAGACTTAAGCAGACCACAAACAAAGGACTGGATGGGTTTATTTCTATCTTGTCATTAAATCTTTGGAATGTGTAACATTTAGTTGTCTCCGGTCCTCTCAAACGAAACATTCACATTAATATTTTAATTAAAAAAAATGTTTAAAAAGTATTTTGGTAAAAAATAAAATACGTAGCATATATGTATATGTGATTAATGTTATAAAGTCAGCGATGATATTCTAGCTATTCGATTTTGTAGTTTAGCGGAACGAATCGTTTGAAGCACCGGAAGTCCTTGTCCACAACATCCGGTCCCGTGTCAGGTCAAAATGCTCGCACTGAGAGGGTTACAGAGGCTAAAGCCGGTTTTATCGACACATGGAAACAAAAGTAAGACTCCTTAACGTCTCTGAGGATATAGTAAAGATGTTATTTACGGTGACGTTAACTGTAACTTTGATTCAAAGAGTTTAAACTACAGATAAAGTCAGCGATGCTAACATTAGCATGCGAGCTAACGGTCTGTTGTTGAATGTGATCCTGCAGGTTTGAGGACAATCACAGCCTCTTCAGAAGCTGCCCAGCACAAAGATGACGTAGTATGTCTTTATGTTCACTGGATAATAATTGCTTACTTTATAATGTACAGATTAATGATGATTTATCTTTATTGTTAAGCTCGTGAAGATGGAGAACCCGTACAAAGATCCACAGAAAGGATGCATCCTCTGCAACGTGACTGTGGACTTTAAAAACGTCCAGGTGAGGACAGTGAGGAACCTTAAACTGTATTATTTAAGATCCCATAACCTCCTCATGTATTTATCTTCCATGCTGTCAGTCTGTGAAGCCTAAAGAGAAGCTGTGCATCATCACATTACCTCCTTAGTTATCTGATACTGGTGACAGAAATATTCTTCAGATGGAGAAAATGATTTACTAATGAGACAACTTCACACCTGCAGGCGAGGTTTTCAGTTGTTTCATGTCTTGTGTCAGATTCAGAGCTGATCCTGCTGTTGGAGTGTTTAAAACTTTAAAAAGCTGTTTGACAACCTGTATGAACTCTGACCTTTGGTTACCTCCTCCAGCTGCTGTCTCAGTTCATCTCTCCTCACACGGGCAGGATTTACGGCCGACACCTCACAGGTGAGCAGCTGAGAGTGAAGCCGTCTCACGTTCACGTCTTTGTGTTTGCACGCTGGTTCACGTCGTCCCTTTGTTTTGTCTCTCAGGCTTGTGTGGAAGGAAACAAAAGGAAGTGTCTAAAGCGATTAAGAAAGCTCACTCCATGGGTAAATGTTCAGTAAATAAATCATTCTTTAAAGTCAAGTTTTCACCTGAAATCTGATCATTTATGTAGATTTTTTTTTTTTTTTTTATGGCTTTGTCCCTCCAGGTTTCATGTCGGTGACCCACAAACATCCACAGTTCATGAAGGATCCAAACATCTGCAATGTCAAACAACTGGAGTAGAGGATCAGTGTGTTAAGTGTTTCCTGTTATTTGTTAATTAAAACCGGTCAGTTTTGAAATATGACTGCTGTGAGTTTGTTAAGTTGATCTCCTCCTGCAGGTTTACACACATTTGACATCTTTAAAGCAGCTGAAGGTCAATAACTGTTGAGCACAAACTAAACAGACACTTCACCAGAAACAGCACCACCTAGTGGACTCAGGCTGCACTCACTGCAGCCACAAAAAAAAAACACAGATCTGATCTTTTCATATCAGAAGAAACCTTAGAATCAAGTTTTTATCTTTAATCTCAACATTAAACAATCTGAGAACAAGACCAGATTCACCATCAGAACAACTGGAGATCTGTAGAGGGTCCAGGGCAGGAAGTGCATCAACAGAACAAAATGTTAGCTCTCGCTCTACTTCAGCGTCTCAGCTGATGTCACATCAGCTTTTTACACTACAAGCCGTCACACCCCTCACTGGTTCTGTGGGAGTGGGGGCTGCAGGGTTGGTGGGCGGCAGATTTCTGGAGGGGCACGTTGTTGTTAATCTGGCCCTGCCTGAGAAGCATGGAAACGTGGAACATATATTTATTTTTCTGAAGTCACATAAACGTGTAAAGAAACCAGGGAGGCTTTAGACCTCATCACGTCTGTTTCAGTCATCTGTAACCTCCGTCCACTTTGGTCCAAACTCACACAGAAGAACTCTGGATGGAGTCAGCTGGGCGGACGTGGAAATAAAAATCTAAAAACTAAACCTCGCTATATTCACAGCTGACATTTGTCGGTGTTCTTCAACGGTCAAACTAAAAATGTTCAGATTTCACTCAGAGCTGCTGAAGGCGCTCACTGGAGACTCTTTATCATTTAATCAAGATGAAATCAGAGTCTTAGAAAAAACAACATTTTTATTCTGATTAACCTTTTACAAAATAAATATAAAATAACGTCAGATAACGTCTTCCTGAAAAGCCCTGTTCAGACCGCCGCTTCAAGCCGCCATGTTTATATCCCTGTGACGTTTCTCCTTCAGTCTGAAGGTCGTGGAGGAAGAGGAAGTGTTCCCCGTCATCAGGATTTGCTCTTCCTGCGTTTCCTCTCCCTCCCCGGCAGCATTTCCTTCGGCCTCTTCACAGAGGGTCTCCTGCCCGGGTTCAGCGGCTCACAAAGCGTTTCCTGACTTTCATCTGATGTGGGATTGTTGTGAGCTTCCCGCTCGGGGCCGCAGCAGACGTCAGGAACAGGAAAGCCCTCCAGATTTAAAGTCTGAGTGTGGAACAGAGGGGAGCAGGAGAACAGAGCTCGGACCGCCTCGTGCAGCCGCAGGTTCTTCTTCTGCTCGGCTGGCTCCTCGTCTGGTTCTGATGAAGGACACAAGAGACGCTGTTAATGATCCGGACTGATGAGTTTCTACTCTGACGAGACAAACATCAGATCACAGCAGGGGTCGTCATGACACCAGGATGTTAAACTTCGACACCACGGCAACAAAAATCTAAGTCCTAGACACCTCATAAAATAATTTCTTGCAGACACACTCCTGCACTCTGAATTGCACAAAAACATTGGCAACAGATGGCTTCAGATGGATTCCTCTCTTGTGAAAAAGAGATTGTAACTTTTTTTTTAAAGTGTATTCAGTAAAAGTTTGATATAAAAAGACAGCAGCGAACCGTTCTCTGCTCCATTCCTCTTCTTCTCTCTCAGTCTCCTCCTCAGAGCGGAGACTTCCACCTGCAGAGTTTCCACCAGACGCTCGCTCTCCTCCACCTCGCTGCACGCTTTCTGCCCCCCACACACACACACACAGAAATACAAACAAGAGTGAGTGTGTGTGTGTGTAAAGCAGCAGGAAGTTAAAAACATATGAACACAACGCTGCTCACCTGCAGCTCCTCCTGCAGAGACTCGTTCATGTCCTTCACCTCGCTGACGTCTCTCAGCAGCCCGTCAGACGAGAAAAACTTGCACCTGAAACGACAGAAGAAGAAAATGAGACAAGCAGGCGCACGGGTTTGATGTCATCATCCTGTACCTCAGTGTGTGTGTGTGTGTGTGTGTGTGTTACCCGTGTTTCTTCATGGTCATGTTGTAACCAGCTGCAGAACACGGAGCAGAAACCTTGCAGTACGCCAGCTGCTCCAGTAAACCCAGATTATTGACCAGAATGGGAACGTTTAAGAACCTCCTGCAGGAGAAACACAGCGAGCTTTGAGTTGTTTTCAACCCAGTGATGAGTCAGACGTCTCGCATTCTGATGCATGAAAACATCTGTAACCTGCTGCGTGAGGTGAAGGCGGCGTACTCCGTCCTGTGTGTGGACCCAGCGGGGGTGAGCTTGCTGGGCGTCAGCAGCACAAAGATCATGTGGGGGTTGGACAGAGACGCCTTCAGCTTCTCGTGGACCACTTTCTCTCTGAAGGTCATCTGTTGGTCAGTGTTCCTGCGCTGTCGGTACCACCCGATCACGCTCTCCTGAAACAGTTTAACAAATCAACATCCAAACCCAGAAACACAACCCTCTGATGTTTTTTAATCTTTTACCTGCTTATTGTCTGCCAGGATGTTCTGTACAGCGTCCAGGTCCACCTCTCCGACCCCGTTATGTAACCTGCAGACACAGAGGAGGATATAAGAGCATCTGCACCGACTGAGATCAGATTTAATCAGTGTCAGTACTCACTGGTTGGGTTTGGAGCAGGCGATGTGTTTCTGGACGTCTGTTCAAATAAATAAGGAAACAGGTTACTGAATGTTACTGATCACTGAGGATGTAGATCTGCACTATGATGAACTCACTGTATGTTTCCTCGATGTGGATTTGATCCGCCTGAGAGTCGCTGATGGTGACCTGCTCCTCAAACCGGCTCTCTCCGAGCAGCAGACCTTCCTGTGATGTAAAGACACACAATGCAATCAAAACACACAAACATAGAGAGTGTTGTTCTTTCTGTCTGTGCTGGAGGGTGGGGATGTTTTAAACACGCTCTCTGGACTCTGAGGTTCATCACTGTTTGTTGTCTTCACGTGTCTGATGCTCTTCTTTGACCACACGCAGACCTAAACACTGACATATTCTTTATTTGAAGTGTAACTCACGTCTGCTTCCTTCAGATCTTCTGACCTCCATCAGTCAGACGAGAACAGGGACTTATCATGTTCAGTCTCAGTACCGTTTGGTTCTGAAATGGTGAATGGACCACCTTCCTTCTCTGTCTCTAATTGACTAGTACATACTAACTTGTGCATGAGTTTTCTTACATGTCACCGTTCATAACGAAGGCCGTTTTTCCTCTACTGGATGGGACACTCCCAACACATTTAGAGGGGAAATTAATAGTATACCCACTTCTTAAGGCACTACTACACCAATGTTTAGTGTGGTTTCGATGTATAAATTAGACTAATATAAGAATCACTTTTTGGACTTTAATATGTTTGTTGGTTTGTTTATTTAAGATAAGATAAGATAATCCTTTATTTATCCCACAACGGGGAAATTTACAGTTAAATTTGTTACATCAGCAAAGAGCAAAGATTGCAAACAAAAAGTGAACACAGTACAACTTCAATTAAAAAAAAAAAGTACAAAAAAATAGATAGATAACACAATACAGATTTTAAAAAATAGATCAGCTGAGCTGCAGCTTTACATAAATGTAGTCAGAATATTCAGTGACACAGACAAAAACAGGTGTAACGTTAAAATGTGTATTTTAAAAGCTCGACGCAGGAAGTTGAATAAAAAAGCGATGTTGGCCTTTAGCAACTCTTAATCAAACCAACGCTTCAACTACAGGCTGAAATCTGTTTAACTAAAAAGCTAAACAACAAGTTATCATCTTGAAAGTTTGCGCACACCGTCAGGACACTTCTTTCTTTCTTTCTTTCTTTCTTTCTTTCTTTCTTTCTTTCTTTCCTCTTAAAACGGAAGTATTTTAGCTAACCGCCACGCGCGCTTAACCAACACATGATAATTTTATTAAAATATAAGTAAAGTTTTTCTCACCACGTCTGAATCACTGTTAACATGCTGGAACATCAGTGAAGCTAACACAATTCCTGACATCCGTACAGTCGGCTCCGCCATGCTGATTGTTGTGGACTACAAAGACGACGTCAAAAGCGTCACTGAAGCGCGACGTTAGCGCAGTAAAGTCCCGCGTTTTTATAAATTCTGTTATAAGTTTTCTCCTCTGTGTTCATGTTCTGTTTTAGAAAAATATCCTGTTTTTCTATTGTTATAAAAAAATGATACAAAAATAAAGTCATAATCATTATTTATAATTATGAGCTTTTTCTGAATTAAAAAAAATGGCCACTTGAATTTCAAAGGGAATCACATGAATAAATACTGTACATAAAGTGTAATTATATCTCTGGCAAAGTTGTACATTCATAAATGTAAATTTACCAAAATAAAACCCCACTTCCTGGCTTTTCAGAAAAATTACTTCTGCTAAAAACAAGGAAAGCTATTAAATCTTTGAATTTTCACTCCCAGTTTAAAGGTTTAATTTAAACTTTAGATTACACATTTTAATATGTATATTATTAATCAAATTATTTTTCTAAATATAAACATAACTAAATGTTTTGTTATTTTGTCCTCTAGAGTCATTTTCTTTGCTTTAGTTTAATATTATTTATTCTATTCGTATACAACGTTTTTCGCAAATAAGTCAATATAAAAGAGCAAACGAAGTAAAAACTTAAAATCTGCGTATCTTTTGCGCAGCCCGCCGCGATGACGCTCTGAGGGGGCTTGATGACGCTCTGAGGGGGGCTTGATGACGCTACCGAGGGGGGCGTGGTTTTAACCGCCCCTTGAGCTGGCTCTTCGCTCAGCTCTAGTTTCTCCGCTGCAACGGGACATTTCACACAGCTGGATCCGTCCCAGCTCCTGTAAGGTATTTATTCTGACAGAAACATTATTGTTTATGACTGTTTGTGATCATGTGACGTCGGACATAAAGATAACGTTAACGGTGAGCGACTAACGGTTCAGCTGGTTGCTTTTCTTTAGCCTGTTTACAGCAGCGGGATGTTTAACTTACATACTTCACTTCAGTACCACAGAAGAAGAAGTCCAACAAATGTTTAACCAGAAAAAAATATATTTTAATTAATCAGCATGATCACTAATTATTGATAACACACACTCATAAATAATGAGCGAGCGAGCTTTGTCAAATATTTAATATTTACTCTATTTTTAACGTTATCTCTGTGTTATTATGAGGTTGTTGTTTCAGCGGTGGTCACTTCAGTTCTTTTATACACTTCTGATGTCGATACTCACGATATATGTGTCACGATATCGGATTCACAATACAATTTCAGCACGTTTTTTTTTACGCTTTTCCAATTTTCTTTTCCAAAGACAGGAGATCAAAGTTCGTTTATGAATAGATATGATTCTCTGGCCCGTTCCAGACTGCCTAAGGTGCTGTAAGCTCTGTCGTCATCACGTCTTTGCACATTCACATTAGTCATTTTCAGACCGCCGTTTCAAGCCACGACATATTTAAGCCCCTGTGACGTTTCTTCTTCCTCTTCAGAAGTAGTAACAGAGGGGTTACAGAGAGGAGAGACGGGATCAGCTGAGCCAGCGGAGGAGCGCTGTGTGTGTGTGCATATCTGACTGTGTGTGTATGTGGAGTTCCTGCTGTGTCCCACTCTGGTTGTCCGTCCTGTTCACAGATGATGACGTGACCTCGGAGCTGCAGGGTCGAAGCTCTCTCAGCTGTCAGAGATGGAGGACCTGTGGTCTGTGGCTGTAGGAGTCTTCCAGGCGTGGATGTTCACGGTGCTCTTCCTCATCATGCTGCCTGCCATGTTCGGCCTCTCTCTGGGGGTCACCGGGGTCTACATCCAGGTCCTGGTCAAAATCCTGGAGGTAACAGATGCTTAAACCATGATATGAGTCGAGTAGAAATCAAGTATTGATTCATTCCTGTTTTGATGCCAAGGCAACAAATATACAAGTCCTAGACATCTGATATTGGGAAATGTTTTGTTTACACTCGTCAAAATCTGCAGGCAAACTGTCGGCCTGTGACTTTGTGTTTTTGCAATATAGACAGTGTGCACGATTTCACCTGCAGTTTCTGATGCATTCTGTCCTCACCTGCCCACCTGTCTTTAACCTGTCCTGAGGTCAGAAAGCTCCTGCCACACTTGTAGTTTTAAGAACTTTAAACTACAAGTGTTGCTGGAGCTTGAAGTTTTAAAACATGTGGTATTGTAAAACGTCCGACAGCCTGAAGCGCAGTCAAAGTGTTTATTTGTACATCATGCAGTTCTCAGTCTCACTTCTTACTTAATATATTTTTTGCTCAGTTAGGAAATGTGCAGCAGCAGGCATTGTGTCACAGGTCGTCTGTCTTTGCAGTGGGCCACAATACGGATCCAGAGAGGACGACAGGAGCAGCCCAGCGTGCCTGTACCTCTACCCAATGGTGAGTCGGATACACTGACAGCTGAAAACATGGAGCGCATTAATTATTATGTCAAAGACTTTTATTTAACGATGATTGTCTTCATGTTTCACTGGTTTATTCAAAGCTACAACAGTACAAATCCTTAGAGGACAAAGTTTGTGCACCAGTAGAAACGGCTCTGAAATATAAACAATACACGAAAGGCTCTGGAACATCAGTAGTAGAAAGCAGAAGGAAGGTCTTCATTTCAGCCGCTCCACAGATGGAGGTCGTTGCTCTCAGAGAACGACCACAGACGTCAAATATAATTTAAAGGATTCCTTCACACAGGCAGAATCCAGAGAAAGTACCTGAGCACACAAATTACAAATGGTACATTTATTAAAGGTCACATATCCTCTTCCTCCTCTTCAGTGTAAATAAGTCTCAGAGCTCCTCAAAACATGTGTGTGAAGTTTCTTGTTCTAAATCCACTCTGATCCTGTATTTGATCATGTCTATAAATCCCTCTATTTCAGCCCTGCTCAGAACAGGCTGTTTCTGTGTCTGTACCTTTAAATATGTAAATGAGCTGTGACTGACCACGCCCCCTCTCTGGAAGGGCTTGTGTGTACTCTGGCTTTCTCTCTCCATATCCTATTGTTTACAGTGAGAAGGCAGACTCAGAGGGCAGAACAAACACCTAGCTGTGGGAGTGTCACCCACCTGGGGAAGGGGCTACTGCCCTTTGTGATGTCATGAAGGGAAAATCTCCAAACGAGAGAGGATGAACTTTTCTCATCATTGGGGGGTTTGTAGACAGACTAGAGACACATATTAGAGTTAGAGGAACAAGGGGAGGTAGATTTTTTGCGGAATATGTGACCTTTAAGGTGCAAAGGACTAACGACGTGCACTGCATCTTCCTCAGAGTCAAAAAGTACAGGTACAGATTTGAAACAAAACTAAATATCCTCTGAGATCGTCTCTCATTGGTTGATAAATGGGAGGTAAGCAGACAGTTACCCAATCCTGTGACAGCACTCATGTGTAGGCCTCTAATACAACAATCCCTAGTGTGATAATATTTACAACATTTACAAGACAACAACGGTTTCTCTATAGAGACACAGCAGAAAATCTTCATTCCTCATCAGTCCATGATGTTTAAATGTGCTGAGTGTGTAAATCCAGAAGGCCTCTCTTCTCAGCAGTTTGTTAACGATGTCTCCCCCTCCTTTAAATGACCCCCCCCCTCGGAGTGATGCAGCCTGGAACATTAGTCAACATATGCAGAACAAAAAACAAGAAAAGAAGACAGAACCTTTTTGGGGTTTAAGTAAATAAAGAATGTATAAATGAAGCAGCAGACTGAAAACATTTGATCTGCTGTGAAACTCTCTGACTCGAGTCGTCGGTCTGTGGAGGGTGGAAGCAGCAGCTCTCAGCACATTGTGTGCTGCTGTTGAGGGATTTGTTTCAGCTGCAGACAGAGATCATGTGACGCTGTGTGTGTGTGTGTGTGTGTGTGTCTGTGTGTCTGTGTGTCTGTGTGTATGTGTGTGTGTGTGTGTGTGTGTGTGAGAGAGAGAGAGAGAAAGAGTTTTTGGGGCTGTGCATTGGTCAGTTTCAGCGTCAGATGTTGGGGTGTATCGTGGAAACACATGGCTTGTCTCAGACTGATGATGCAACAGCTGATTACATAACTTTAGTCAAACAGCAGCAGCACTGGTGGAGTGTGTGTGTGTGTGTGTGTGTGTGTGTGTGTGTGTGTGTGTGTGTGTGTGTGTGTGTGTGTGTGTGTGTGTGTGTGTGTGTGTGTGTGTGTGTGTGTGTGTGTGTGTGTGTGTACTGGTATTCTGACAAAGGAGCCCTGGAACGCTTACATACCTAAACATTCAAACAGTGGAAAATGGAAACACTTGAACCTCTGGAAACTGGAATGCTTCTATAATAATAATAACAATGAAAAGTCACCTCATGGCTTTGGGGCGGTTTGAAGCCGAGTTCTCTGCTGGAAAACAGTGGCTTTCTCCCTCCGGGTGGAGAGTGAGTCTTTGCCTGAGGTGAAGGAAGAACCTTGGGGTCTTGTTCACGGTGAGGAGCTCAGACATTCAGGAGGAGCTGGAGAAGGTTGCTGGGCAGAGGGAAGTCTGAGTTGACTTACCTCAGATAAGAGGAACAAAATGGAGGGATGGGTAATAAATGACATTTATAAAGCGCCTTTCAAGGGACCCAAGGACGCCATACATGTTGAAAACAATGAAGCACTGGAAAAACAGAATACCAAAGAATAGACAAATGGAATATTTGAACGTTGGCTGCCGAATCACAGAAACACCGGGACACGGGAATACTCAAACACTTAATCTCAATGTGAACTAAAGAGTGGAGGAGAACATACTGGAGAACAGGAAACATACAGCAGCAGGTTCATTAGAGCACGGAGATGGTAGAGGTGGCGTGCAGACAGTCTATGGTCGTGCAGCGATCACAGGGAATAAACGTCACCACCCCCTCCCACTCGCTCCAGGTGAATTCTCCTGATTATATCCTGCTGCGTTCTCACATCAGCTCACTCTGACTTTCTGCAGAATAAATACGAGGAGGCTGGAGGAGAAACTCCAACATTCAGCTGTTAGTGTTCACACATGAAGCTCAGACTGAACACCTTAGAGCAGGTACATTCTCAGACTGACTCTGTGAGCAGCTCTGTGTGCTCTCACACAGAGCTTCCTCTTTCCTCTCAGTGTGTCAGCGTCAGGGGAAGTGAAGGGTTAAATGTTTGGAGAGAGGTCAGCATTCTCGTGATCCTCAGGCTGCTTCTGTTTTT